AAGGAAGCCCATCTCTCTCTGGCAGAAGAGATGCTTTGAACCATTATCCTTTGGGAAAAATTGCTACTACCCCATTTATTATGTGAGCAAATGTTGGAATACAAAGTTCTTTAATAGTGAAGATAAACACAGAGCCCAGGGAATAAAATGCTGTGTAGATTATGATTCACTTCCTTTTAAGTGTATCAATCATAAACTGCCAAATTATTCTGTAAAAGTCTACACATGACAAAGGACCTTCTTTTCTCTGTGGTCACCTGCTCACCGCTCGAAGGACCAAGAAAGAACATTCTCTATATCCAAATACCAATTGGAAATCACAGAATGAGAAGACTGGTCATGCTGCCTGCTTAACACAGGACACTTGCTAGAGCCAAATCTGTGTTACTTTTCTTTAAGCATTATATACCATAGAACATGCCACATTATAAACTATCTGCAAGAAGTAGTTAAAAGTCAGGAAAAGTGCCAAAAGTTCCATCCACGGGGCAAGGCTTACTTTTCACGCAGAGGAGCAGTGAGGAACTGAGGTAGGAGGCCAGAAGGGAGTTGATTTTCTTGGGCGCCACGGTCCTGCGAAGGCTCCCATGTGTCGTGGTGGGCCGGTCCCCGTCCTGCTCCCGCCCTGCCCCTGACTCAGGGAGAAGCTGCAGCCTCGGAGACCCCGGGTGCCGTCTCTGGCCCTCCAGGCTGCTTCACGGAAATCACAGGGACTTGGACTCCAAACGCAGGTGTGCCTCCACCCTTTGGCTGGAGGATGGATGGGGAGGCTGTTCAAACCCGGTGCCGATTTTTGCCATGCCGGACCGGCCTCCTTCTCCCTGCCGCCTCTCCCGCCAGCTTCTGTCCAGGAACAATGCTTCCTAAAGAGACCTGCCTTCGGTTAATGTCGTCAATGAACTCTTCATGCAGGAATGAATTTCTGATCGCTCTCTTGACATGCGATTATTAAAGGATGCCCTGTACCTTCTATATATTCAGGTTTATCTTCAGAACACAGCTCGGAGGCCACGTAAACTTTCCTGCTCATTGACGCCACTCTCCTGTCCCAGCTGGATTTCTCTTGTTGGTAAAACAGACGGAGTTCTGGAGAGGAACGGAGTTTTCTTCTCCGACCCCAGAGCCCATTTATACCCTGATGTTGACGTCCTCTGGGGGTTCCTGAATTTTTGTTTTACCAATGTTGAATGCAAACCTGTGTATACTTATCATGCACACTACAGTCTTTTTCTCCAGATTTAATTGTTCAGGCTCTTAAGATTGTCTTGTTCTCGGACACTTCATGAAATGTCAATTAGTTAAAATGGGAATGCCTCAGCCTCTGACTGGGGTTGATGCTAGCGCAGGTCCTTTGTCCACTATTCAAACTGGTGGCTTGTTACACGTAAAATGAAGCTTATAGGACAGAGTTTACGTAAAGTTCGGCAGTTCTGTCAGCTGTTCGTATACCTTGAAATCTATAGTTTATGCCCATTGATCTAAGTGGGGAATAATATTTTGATAGTTTTCTTAATATTTTCTATTAATGCTAATCTCTCCCTTAATCTCAGAGGATTTTACTGGCCATGGTGGGGTTTCTCCTTTTAAACTTATTTATTTCTTATAGTGTTCATTACAGTTCTTATTTTCAAGATTTTCCCATTGTATGCCAATAACTTAATTTGGGCGATTTAGCAATTAGAGTAAAATAAACTCAGATTACAGAGGCATTTTCATCCTTTATTCTAATCCCTGTATTTTATCAACTGGAGAATCGAGATGCCCAGCAACTACAGTCGGCCCGGACCATCTAGAGAACCTGGAGCAACATTAGGACCCGAGTGTCCCCACCGATTTCTAGAACATTATTCCCTCATTAAACCCTGTGGGTTCCTTTATTCTCACATACCCCTTCATACTCTGCGAAGTTTACATCCTTGACCAACTTAATCTCCCATTTGTCCTAAACACACCTCCAGGAGAGACGAATAGAGCAGAGGACTTCGAGGGTCCTGAAAACACAGGGTGTTACAATGACGGATGCGTGTCACGTGTGCTTTTGTCCAGCCCCACAGCAGGTATAATACCTGGTGTGAGCACACGATGTCAGTACATTTCTAAAAATCTTTTTGGGCTTAAACTATGTGATTTTGATTGATATTAATATAGTAACTTTTTGGTCTCACAATATTTAAAAATGAAAACGTTTACAAGCGTCTGTAACACTTACAGTTACTCGAGGGTTAGTAGCTCCGTACCGCCTGCGCTTACAGATTTTGTATTGGCCGAAGCAGCACCGGGGGCCGCTCGACTGTGTAAGGCGCACCTCCGTGTGCGGGCGGCTTCCCCGGCGGCCCAAGGCTGACGCCGCCTTCCGTTAACGTGCGCACTTCCCCGGAGGCCGGCAGACCAAACCGTCCGGTCCGCTGAGACGCCGGCTGCGCTCTGGGGAGCTGGTGGCGGCGGCGGTGTGTGATGACGGTCTGCTTCCATGTGATAGATGCCTCCTCGAGGAACAGGCGCCTCGGCCTCGCCTGCGGCCGCCGCCAGCAGGAAGCTGCTGCGCTGTCACTGGTGAGTGCCTGCCGGGTCAGACCTTGTCAGAGCATATGAAGGTCTCATGACTCGTATTCTGTACCTTCTCACTAATGAACCTTCTAATCGCCAGGTCTGTCTGTACTGATCACCTTCCGCGAACTGCCCAGTGGCCTTGAAAAGGTAGGTAAGTGGGAAATTGTACCACTGGGTTTTTTTTTTTTTTCCTTGCATCCTGCCTTTGAGGTTTAGTTTTGGACTTGCTGTTTATGACTCTTGGGATTAAGAATGGGTCAACATTATAGGACAGTGATGGCCTTGGTTATAGGAGTCCCTCACGCAAATAGAAGTTACAAAGACAAAACCATGTATAATCATAAGAAGAAATGTTTTTTGGAAGCATGCAAGCTTCTCGCGGAACATTTTGTCAGTAGAAAAAAACCTGTGCCCTGTCTGTGCAGCCCAGCTGGTTAGAGCTTCTGTCCTCATTTGCCAAGGCGGTGGGTCTGATGCCCGGTCAGGGCACATAACAGGGGTAAACAGTGAATGCGTAAATAAGTGGAACAACAAATCAAGTTTCTCTCTCTCCGACTTTTGTCTCCCTCCTTCCCTCCATTCCATTCTCTAACAATCAATGGATAAAATGTTTTAAAAAAAGAAAAACAAAATGTTACAGTATTTGTACCAGGGTTTGCTAGAAAATCATTTAATGGGAAAAAAGATTTGAATTAACAAGAATTTTGAAAGGGTGACTTTGAGGTCAGTATTTAAGCAGAAGTTATTCGATATAACCTGCACACCTCCAAAATGTATGTATTTTCACTGTCCAAGGAGTTGTGATTGCTCCAGAGCGGTAACATGTTCCATTACGTCTAAGACACTATCATTTATAAGATGCATCATCATTTTATATGTGCCACTAAGAAAGAAAAAAGGGATGCCAATTACACTGACAAGTCACATTAGAGAGGTTGAAATGTGGAAAAAGTACCTCTTAGAACTGAAGATTTAAAGATTTATGTTATTTTTGTAAAAAATGTGAATACCAGGTAATAGGAGTACAGAAAACCTTCTACGGTATCATCATCTTTCCTGACCAACATTTCAACCAAAGCTGTACCCACCAGGGTGTAAAACTGAGTACAGGCTTCCTGAATTTACACACTTCCTCCCTTCTAGTTTTGACTGAGGAGGTGACTATTCAGGTCTGTTAATAAAAGACTAGCCACTCATTCCATCACAGGACACAGAGGTCAGCCGATTTCTATAAAGGATCGGATAGTAAACGTTTTAGGCTTTGTGAACTGTAGTCTCTGGTGCAACTGCTCAGCCTTGGCAATGGCAGCACAGAAGCAGCTGCAGACAATTACTCAAAAAAATCGCTTCTATTTCCCTAATTCTTTCTAGCCCTCACTTTACACACGCCAGGCAAAGGAAGCCTCATCATCCACCTGTAACCTGCCAGCAGCCTCCGCCTTCAGCCTTTAGGGAGATTTGTCCTCGCACACCCTGAACCCCTTCCTCACTCCAGCTCAATGTTTTGATGTTTCTGGTCCCAGATTCTATTTCTACATCTTCTACATTCCTTATTCACTTGTTTTACTCATGTATAAATACTTCTACTTTATTTTTACTTCGTTGTGGCTGTTCATGTGTCTGTGTGACATTCTTTTTTAAAATGACTTTATTTAGGGTTGCCATGCACTACTGAGCATGCATTATAATTTGGTCAGTGGTGACCTACGCATCCAGTACCGAAATCACTACAGGCAAAATAATGCACAGAAGTTTTCTTTCGTCCTTTAAGTGTATCACATTGAAGGGCGGGCACTTATCAATTTTATGAGTCTGTTAAAATAAGTCCTCGGGACAGCAATATCAGTATCACCTGGGACTCTGTTACAAACGCAAAAATCTCAGCTACTGACTCCAAAAGTTGTCCTTGTGGATTTTTCTTTTCTTTTGGCTTCTCTTCCTGGCCTACCCGCTTATATTATACCTATCTGTACATCTCCCCAGCCTTCTGTGCTCAGTAAGAAGCCAGAGAATAATTTTAGGGGAAACCGCGTCAGCCGTTTAACTCAGAAAAATAAGGAAACGCCCTGCACACGGGTTCTTCGACGCGTTTGGGGACAGGCTCTGCGAGCGGCTGCGTGGCCGATCACGGCCGCTGCCCACGGCGCCCCAACGCCCGTCCCTGCCGCCCGCTTCCGTCCCCCGCCAGCCACGCTCCCGGCGCGGTTTCCGCGGGCTCAGTCACTGCGGGCCACCAGACCACCGCGAGAACCCGAAAGCACCGACTTGGCGCGTTACTCGGTGCCCCGCGCGGGCCGGGAGGGCTCACGGGGCCTGCGCACCCAGGGCGCGCGCACATGCGCAGTGGCCGGCGCCAGGCCGCGCGCCGGGCTCCGGGCGGCCGGGAGGCCGGGCGGCGGCGCGCGCCGTTGACGTGTTCGGTGGGGCCGGCGCGGAGGGAGGGGGGCTGAACCCGGAAGTGGGTCGGCGCTGGAGCGAGCGCGCCCGGAGTGGAGCTCAGCGGCCGGGAGCCAGCGGGGGAGCCCTGGGTTCCCGGTAATGGATCCGTGGGGCGTTTGCCCAGGAACCCCGCGGTGGCAAGGGGAGCGGGCGGGCCGTGGGCGGCGCCCTCTCTGCCGGGGCTGGGCCTGCGAAGGCGCTTGTGCTGGCGGGGGTCGTTCCTCCGGTTGACCCCACCGTCCTGCGCGGCGCCCTCCTGGGGTCGTCCCCGCCGGGTGGCGCTGCCTGAGGGACGCTCGCCGTCTCCGAAATCGTGCGCCTTGCCCGCCCTGGAAAGCATGTTAGCAGAGAGACTTGCGGGTCGCGGCCGTGAAGGCCTTATTGTCGCCAGCCCCGCGCCCCTTGTCCACCTGCACTCGTGGTGGTTGGCGGGCGCCCCTCCCCGTCCGGCCCTCCTTTCCCCGCACCCTGTGCGTGCGCTCTGCCCCAGACGTGCGCTCGGGCTTCCTCGACGATTCTTTTGTTGGTGGTTTTTTAAAATGTTTTTTTCCTAGCGCAGCCCTCCGTGTTCTCCGCCCTGAAATCTCAGCCACGAGCGAGTGGAAGCCGTGACTTTCTCATCATGTCGTTAGGGTTTAGAAGAGATTGGCGGGTGGCGTGCAGGGTTTAGGGTGGCTTTGCCTTGGAGCTAGCTGTCTAACGCGGTTCCCACTCTTTTGCAGCCATGAAACCCTGGGGCACGCCCCTCCAGAAGCTGTTAACCCAGACAATCTAGTTTGTTGTTTTTTTTTTTCCTTGATACATCCCTGAAGACACTTATGAAGTTTCCTGTTCTGAAATTGTTGTACTGCAATGAAGAAAAGGAGAAAGGTTGCTTCCAGTCTTGACGAGAAGATCCATCTGGGCTATCACAAAGATTCTGCGGAAGGACATGTGGCAGGGGCGTGCGACCCGCTGACCTACACCCGTTGCGGCGACAGACCGGCTCCCGAAGCTCTGCACCGTTACCAGGACCTTCCCCCGTCTCCAGATCAGAGGAAGCTTTTGAGCTCTTTGCAGTATAATAAGAATTTGCTCAAGTATTTAAATGACGACAGGCAGAAGCAGCCGTCTTTCTGTGACTTGCTTATCATAGTCGAAGGAAAGGAATTCAGTGCCCATAAGGTGGTTGTGGCTGTGGGGAGCAGCTATTTTCATGCGTGTTTGAGCAAAAACCCGAGCACGGATGTGGTCACCCTGGACCACGTGACGCATTCGGTTTTTCAGCACTTGCTCGAATTTCTTTACACATCTGAATTTTTTGTGTACAAGTATGAAATACCCCTTGTTTTAGAGGCCGCAAAGTTTCTGGACATTATCGATGCCGTGAAGTTGCTCAATAACGAGAGCGTTGCCCCGTTCCAGTCCGAGCTCGCGGAGAAGTCGTCGCCTGGAGAAGCCCTAAGCGAACTGACCGGACGACTCTCGACGAATCACCAGTGTAAATTCTGTAGCAGACATTTTTGTTACAAGAAGTCTTTAGAGAATCATTTGGCTAAAACCCATAGGTCCCTTTTATTAGGGAAACAACATGGGTTAGCGATGCTGGAGAGAAGCTTTTCCACCCGGAGATCCAAGAGGAACCGCAAGTGCCCCGCGAAGTTCGATGACACCAGCGACGAGGAAGAGCAAGACAGCGCCGACGGGTCTGACACTTTGAATCTGGAAAATTTCGACCAGGAGAAGTCCGACAGGAACGATTCTGAGGATGCCGGCAGCGACTATAACGCTGAGGACGATGAGCTAGACGAGGAAATGTCGGAGGAGGACTCCGACTCGGAGGAGCAAAGCGAGAAAGAGCAGCACGACGCGGAGGAGGAGCCCGAGGAGGCCGAGGATGCGGGGGCGAGCGCTCGCGAGGGCCTCCGGCCCGTGGTCCTTCAGCGCAGCAGCAAAAAAATACTGCAGTGCCCGAAGTGTGACAAAACCTTTGACCGGATAGGTGAGAAAAGAGCGCTGCTGGTTCTGTCTCCAGTGACTTTCTTTTCGGGGCTCTTTTAAAGGCGATGATTAAAAACAGCTTGCAAAGTAAATTTTACAAAGAAGGCTTGACTAGGGTGTGTCTTGGATTTTCAGTGCAAGTTTTATCCCGTTAGCGTAAGTTTGGTGTCGTTCAGGAGTTAATCGCAGTATTGATACTGGCCTTCATTTTGTGTTCCTCGCGTCCCAACAGGGGACACAGATCATTAGTTCGTGTATTGGGTATGAGAAACTCCAGAGTGTCAATTATGATGAATGCAGAGGTTTGATTGAGATGCTAATTTAATTTCATAGGTAAGTGCTATTTCTGAGTAATTATAGAGGATTGAATTAGGTTATATTAGATTTAATAATTTGTATGCCATTTCCCCTTGAACTTGGTAATATGTGAGTTAGAAATACAGTCTTCTTTCCAGTGTCTAGTGCTGTTTAGAATTGGGATGCTTCCAATCACACTAAAACAGAGTTGAGAATAAAACTGTACCGAATGTAATTTAATTTTGTAGGTAGAGCCTTTTACGAAGTGTCCTAATTAGTAGGTTCTTTGGCTTTTTTATTTATGAGTAAATCAACTTTTATTTTTTAGAAAAGTATACATAGGAAATGTGGGCTGTCAGCTTAAGTTGAAAACATGTCAGTGAATATTTAAGTTTAAGAGAGCTAATATTTGCTAGTAAAATAATTTTTTGAGGTCATATGAACTATTCTAATGTGAACTTCTAAATTGCAACAATTAAGGGTATTTATATATAAATTAAAATTATGAAATTGTGAACTATACTTTACCATGTATAATGATAAAAGGAACACGTAAATGTAATCCGGCCTTCTAAAATTACTTATTTGGTTTAATATATCCCCGAGTGTCTTGCAATACTGAGTTACGTATGTTACTGGCATAGGCGGAAATTGGTGTTATAAGGTATTGGTGGTCGTTGCCTCTCAGAATATGCGTCCGTATATTTGGTGGCAGGGCAGTGGTGACCTCTTTTTGCTTATTACGCCTCTTAATATTTTTCACTCCAGATCAGACTACTTTTGGCAACCCAGTTTAATAATTTATTACTGTTTTTACTGTGTGGCTCTGTACAGACATGAACAGTGGAACTCGAGCAGCTCCGTCAGCTGCAGGGGCACCGGGACATGCGTGAATCTGTTCGGCGCAGGCTGGATAGATGCTCTGGTAGCGCTGGGAACAAGTGCTGTGCGGGGCGGAGAGCAGAGAGCAGCTTTTGGATTGAGATGCACGAAAACTTCATCTTTCCAATAGATTCTGTTGCTTAGACTTTGGGTTCTTAGCATATGTTTCCTGTGTGCTGCCTGAACTTGACCCAGCTCAGCTGGAGGTGAACTCGTGAGTGGCGCTGCAGGCCAGCCCCCAGGTCCCAGACGGCGCTGTGGAACGCCGGGCCTGCGGGCGCCTTAGGAGGAGCATCCCGTGTGCCAGTAGGACCGGGAAAGCCGGGCACAATGTTCACAGTCACTGTTAACTCCGGCCAGTTCTCAACGAAGAAACCTGTTGCTTTTACTTAACCTGGCATTTCCTGAAATAATTTTATCACAGGGCATTTGGGGGTATTTACTTTTAATGTCCCAAGAGACTAGAGTTTTTTGCGCATAATTTGGGAAAATACTGTTCAAGATGAAAGTCCTGACAAACTAGCAGGAAAGCCTTTTACAGCTTTAAAAAAAATTGTTTGTTTTTTTAAGAGGGAGAAGAAGGGGAGGGGAGAGAGGGAGGGGGTAGAGGGAGAGGGAGGGAGAGAAGCACTGACTTGCTGCCCTGCCTGTTTGTGCCTTCACTGGTTGCTTCTCGCATGCGCCCTGGCTGGGTCAAACCCCAGCCTCGGTATGTTGGGAAGATCTCCCTCCCAGTGGGCCACCCAGTGCGGGCCTTTTAAACCCAGGGCATCCGAGATAATCATGGGCATAAATAGGTCACATCGTCGGCTTATTTCTAGCCGACCTTTCTGAATTCCTTTCTATATTACCTCTTTTATTCACCACCTCCCCCGACCCACCCTTTGCCTAGCCTCATTGGGGTTGTGGACTTCCCCTCAGTTCTTAGAGCGAGATTATGATTGAAATTCTACCACACTGGCTACAAAAGCTACAAAAGCTACAAAAGCAGGAGCTGGGGATGACCGGTTGCCTGCATTTTTGAATCCAGACCTCGGGCAAGTCACTTAGCCTGCCCTTTGTTTGTTCTAAGTGGTGTGCGACTTGCGAATAGTACCTTCTCCTGGGGGTTGTTACAAGGGTCGAAGGGGGCAGTCCTGGTGAACCACTTAAGATGCGTGAAATTTCGAAGGCGCTCCAGGAATGCTACTGCCCCTGCTGGTCACTAATCCCGGACAGTGGAGGGTCGGGGCCACGCCAGCTGGTGTCATGAACTCCGGCAGCTTCTGCTCTGTTCTGCACTCCTCCCGCCTCGGTGCCGAGGACTTGAGTCTTGGAACCCTCATGGCCCTTCGCTCGCAAACAGGGACCTGAGTGGGAATCTAGCTGAACTCCTGTTTTATAAACCCACTTGCGGCTTGTGGTGTCTGTGGAAGCCCAGGCCAGGTTTTGCCTGGTGCTGGGCAAGGGCGCCTGTCCCCCAGTAAAGCACAGGGTTAAACCTCATCCCTTGAACGGAGCAGGGGAAGAGGTGACCCAAGTTTTCAAGGAAAGGTATATTTGGAGCAGTCACCTCAGAGCATGAAGTCTTCGAGGCTTATCAGATTGTAAGTTTAGGGGAAATTATGCTTAGGTGTGGCTGTGGGTCTGTGTACTAAGTAGGCTATGAGTCATGAGGTATTTTTCTTTCCCCTGTCAAATTTCGATCACTCTGGTAAATGTGCTGAATTTAATTTTGATTTCTCTCTTTTCATAGGGAAATATGAGAGCCACACACGTGTTCACACAGGTGAGAAGCCCTTTGAGTGTGATATTTGTCACCAGCGCTATTCGACAAAGTCTAACCTAACTGTTCACAGAAAGAAGCACAGTAATGAAACAGACTTTCATAAGAAGGAGCACAGGTGCCCTTCTTGTAATAAGCTCCATGCAAGCAAGAAGACTTTAGCCAAGCATGTTAAGAGGCAAGTATGATCTTGCTTCCGTAATACACTTCATTGCGCTTCGAGTTTAGACGCAGAGCGAGCCGAGACACCTGTGCTGGCCTTGTGTCTGGTGTCTTCAGCGCTTCGTGTTTTGCAGGCTTCCCATTTACCAAGAGCAGCAAGTGTTAGTTTGTTCATGTTTTTTATCAATGCCATTGAGACGAAGTTCTTGATGTGGAAACGGGCTCCTCAGTCTTCACAATAGAAATTTAAAGTGATCCTGTGTTCTGTCTTGGGTTTTGGCAAGTACGTGTCCAAGGTCGTATGGTCTTAGAACTCCAGGAAACTTACTCCTCAGGCTGCACTCTGCCTTTTGTTGATAAAATAAAAATTTGTGAAAGACTAGTATCGTTTGCATATTTAACTCTAAGAAATTAAATTTATTGAAACCTGGACTGAAAAAAAAAAATGAATTCCCTTGAAGGTGATCTGTGAATAGTTAGGTCCCTGAATGTATTTAAAATCTGTCTAGACTTTTCTTTGAAACTTTCTGCGTAAACTTAGGCATATACATTCATTTGTTGAAATGGTATTGTATTGATATGTATATCCTTAAAGTACTCACGTGTGTCTGTCTGTGTAAGGAAGGAATCTGTGTGATTCTTGTGATCACTGTCCTCAGATTATATGGAATACTGACTTGACTAATACAACCTTTTTAAAATAATCTTTTTATTTTTCTCTTCCAGATTTCATCCTGAAAATGCACAAGAATTTATTTCCATTAAGAAGACTAAGAGTGAAAGTTGGAAATGTGATGTAATAGCTTTTAATTTGTAATAGAAAACCAAACTAAATGTAATAGTACCTTTTGGAAAAGTCGTTAGATTTTCAAGTAATACAAGCTGAGCTTAGCTCCCTTTTAGATGTTCTTTTGCGCAAAGGCGTCCCGATACTCTGATAAGTTGAGGCTGGCGCAGTGAGCTTTTGGATGGTGGCCCTGACCAGCGGAACCCCAGCTTTATTGTGATGAGATCACCCTGCCGCGCACTTGACATTGTGTACGCACACTGCGACATCAGGGTCGTGTGGGAGTCCGTTGTTAGGGTTCCTCCTCTGCTGCTGATTATCTGTCGCTCCGTAACAAACCCCCTCAAGACCAAGTGGCCTCAAACAGGTGGTTACTGTATCTCACCATTTCATGGGTCAGCCATGCAAATCTGGGGCAGGGCTGTCCGGTCCCGCCCGGCTTCCGCCGAGGCTGCACCGTTGTTTTCCGCTGGTGCGCGGCCTGATCTGGCCTGGCTTGAGGACACTTCCAACGTGGCCTCACTCACGGGGCCGACAGCTGGGAGCTCCGTAGGGACAGGTGGCGGGGGCCCTGAGTCTTCTCTACCGTGGTCACTCAATGGGCTACTTGAGCCGCTTGCTGGCATGGCGGCTGGGGTCCAGGAAGCCTCCGCAAAGACCACGGAGCTTTCCAGCTCCAGAGCAGCACTCCCAGCACGTTCTTTCTAACTGCTTGAATTTATGGGTTTATTCTTCATCATGAGCTTCGTACTTTAATTTTTTAATTCAGGTTCCCTTACATGTTGTGTGCATGTTCTTTCAGATTTGCAAGAAGTCTTTCACTCGAAGGCCTCACTTGGAGGAGCACATGATTCTGCATTCTCAAGACAAGCCTTTCAAGTGCACCTACTGTGAAGAACATTTCAAGTCGCGGTTTGCGCGGTTAAAGCATCAAGAGAAGTTCCACCTGGGTGAGCAGACGGCCTTGTGTGAGAGCAGCCGTGGCGCCCGCTGATGCGACGGCTCGTGCTGGGGCAGCCAGCTGCTGTCCGGCCGCCTGGGAGAAGGCGCCGCGTCGGTTGAGGGGGTGCCACCTTTGCTGTGGAATCTGGGGACGAAGACACACGTCTCTTTTCTCATTTATTGTTTCAGTGGCAGATGTGTCCGTGGTTCTAAGCCGCGCTCGCTCACAGCTGGTGGTGGGGCGGCCTCGTGAGTGTGGCTGGGATACGGCGTCTTTGTGTTGGGGGTGCGATAAACTTAGTCTCCGTGGAATTCAGTGTCGCACTGGATGAATTCCCTCCCCAGCGCTCAGGGCCACGGTGGGGGCTTGGGGTCCCCGGGGTAGTGCAGCCAGGCCTGGTGCCGACGTTAATCCCGGTGACGGACGGCTGCCGTGCCGGCTGGAGGGAAGGCCTGGTCCGTGTGCGCACAGACAGCCGGACACAGACGTGTGCTGCGTGCTCCTGAAGTTTGTAGCGAACGTAAAGCTGGCAGGGTTAGTAAACGGGGCAGAAAATAAAGCTGTAAAAAGAAACCTCTGCGCTGTACAAAAGGTCAAAACAAATAAATTTAATAAAGAATAAACACAGACTCGCAGGCATGAGGACGACCTGACTTTTAGTTACTGAGGTAACTGTAAAATGGTCCAGGATCCAAGCTCATTTTGCAGGCGGACTCATGAGCGGAGTTTGGGTGGGAGGAGGAGGAGGAGGGGTATTTCACAGCGCTTTACTTATTTCACGCTATAAAAGTGAGCTAATTAACTAAGCACTCGCTGAGCAAGTTAATGGTTAAAAGACTCAGTTCCTGGGGAAGATGCAACAGTGGGGATATTAAATGAGAACATGTTAAAGACATTTGATACAAGTGCATGTGGAGGTCGCCCCTCGATTCTGCCGCATATAGTATGTGGGAAGTTCTCCAGAATTACTTGGCCTCTGAGCAGTTTTGCTCATCGACATGCATCTGAATTCCAAATGTGTTCCAATGCCATTTCTTTTGTGATGTTACAATTAATTCTTCATTAATTAACAAATTAATTCCTTTTTTAGTTTATTTTTCCAAATTCTGAGACATCTTCTAAATACACAGCTTCTTCCTTGAGCAATACATTTTCAGCCCATGAACTCTAATTTTTCCAAAGTTTTCCATTACTTCCTTATTCCAGAAATTTAGCATGTAACCTTTTCTACTTTTTCCAGTCTGATTTCAATCTAGTAATTGGCCATTTCAGTGTATGAACTCATTTGTTTATCAGCATTTATTATATTAGAGCCAGGTGCTGTACTCAGCTCTAGAGATATAGAAATGACTGTGGCCCTGCCTTCTAGGAAAGAAGGAAAGAGAAAGCTCCATATAAGGGGTCGCACTGTTATTATATACATGCACTAAGAAAAGTAGGCATAAGTTTATTACATACTGTAATGGAGAAAACCCAGTGCGGTCTCCTGTGCAGGGAGACACCCAGTTCTTAGTCGCCGCGTCTTCCTTGTGAGTCCCCTTTGTTACTCACATAAAACACTCCACTTCTGAAACTTCTGGTCACCAAATGTGCAGGTGTTTTCCTCACAACAATAAGCAAGACTCTGATGGCAGCTTGTTGTCATCACAGAGACAATGTGACTCAATTCTGCCACTCTGGTTGGAGGCAGCGACAGGTCCCACAGGCTAGGGCTCAGGCCGGCACCACCCCGCCCCTCGGCCCAGGTGCCAGGCGCAAGTCGTGGGTCCCCAGCTAACCCGCAGCCTCTCTTACCGTGTACCAATTAAGTTGAACTTAGAATCTGCTCCTTAAACTTCACGTACGCACTGTTCTTTCCTCTTCAGGTCCTTTTCCATGTGACATATGCGGTCGCCAATTTAATGACACTGGGAATTTGAAACGCCACATAGAATGTACCCATGGTGGAAAGAGAAAATGGACTTGCTTCATCTGTGGAAAATCGGTGCGAGAGAGGTGAGGCGTCGCCCCAGGCCCAGGGGACCGCTGGCGCCGCCGGGTGGGAGCGGCGGGTGCGGAGCACGAGGGTGGAGTAGTGCCGGCGCCACGTGCTGGATTGCGCTTTAATTTGAAACGTAAAGGTAGAAGAAGAAAGTATAGAAAATGTTACAGGAGATGATACAAAGTCAGGATTTGTGGTTTTAGTTGAATGTAAGCTAGACACCATTTTGTCTCTGAAATCCCGCTAGATATACATTAAAGTTATTCATTCACTTATTTATCTTAAAGACAGTAAGCTACAAAGACAGAGGGAAGAGAAAGGGACAAGAACCAAACAGGGTTGAAGCTAGAAAGCCAATGGATCCCTGCTAAGTGACTTAGAGACCTAAGAAAAACGAATCCCCAGCTGGTCACGCAGACCAGGAGAGCCGGTGTGGAAGCGGCATAGGAGGCGTAGGAAGTAGCAGCTGCAGGTGCCCTGGTGCCAGAGTGAAGGAGGGGCAGAGAAAGGGGCTCTGCAGTGAACAGGCTCGAGAAGTTCGATCGTGGCTCGTCTCCCCCACACAGGCCCCTGCTGCGGGGCACCTCCCTCCCCCAGCTCGGCAGGAGTGGGATTCATGCTGGGCCATGGAGGGCTGAAGGCAGCCAGCCGCAGGCCTGGTCCCTGCGGACATCGTGGATTATAGGGTTTACCTTGCAGGCAGAAGATTGGAAAACAACGCCTTGAAAATCTGAGCAACCCACGGGCAAATGCCGTCCCCCCAGGTAGCCCACCCAGGTCGCCCACAGCGCAGCCGCGCCCTCAGAGCCTGCCCACGCTCCTCGATCTCTCTCTCTCCAGGTTTTACCCCATCACACTTCACCACGAGCGCTCAGTGGCGAACTGCAGGATACGGAAGGAGAACGGTTAACATGGAGGGCAGGGTTCAGCGCAAACAAACAGAAAAGGAAGAAAACCTGGGGGAAACAGGTTATGCAGGAAAAAGGAAACTTGCAGACAAATAAGTAAACAGTTAATATTCCCAGTTGAAGATGTAGAATCCATTAAACAAGAACAGGCTGTTATATAAAAGTCTGCAATGATAAGTCAGAGCCCCCAGAAATTCAAAGCAAGATAGCGAAGGGAAAGACCAATGGAAGGCTCGAAGGGGGATGTTGAGGAATCCCCCAAAGAGTGGGACAAAACTATACAGAAATGTAAAAGAAAGTCTAGAATGTTAGCCGACCAGGCAAGAGGTCAAGAAAGAAAGAACAGAGAAAATGGATAAAAAAAAAAAAAATCACTGAAATCATCCCAGGTGATCTCCCAGAACTGAAGGCCGTGCGCTGCGAGACAGGTGGTCCCTCCGACGCCGAGGACGGCCCACGGCAGTAGACCCCCCTGAGGCGCAGCGCTGGCGTCTTTGGACGCTGGGGGCAGACAGGCGCTTCTGGTTCTTTCTAGGGAAAAAGGAACGCCTGCTGAAATGAGAATTAGGCTGCTCAGGCTTTTCTCTGCGGTTGTACTTGCAGAATTCTGAAGGAAAAATGTTTCCAACCTCGAGTTCCATTCTTAGTCAAACCAGCAGTGCCAGGGCCGGACGCCGTGCGTTGTGCCTTCTTTCCCCCCAAACGGCGCTGTCGGCCCTCGCCGGGGTGGGGCGCCTCTGAGTGTTGCAGGGGACTGCCGAACAGGCTGGGCGTGCACTGGGACCTCCGCGGTCTCGCCGTGGCCCAGCCGGGACCCGGAGCTGGAGGACGGAGGAGTGACGACAGTCGTATTCGTGTGGTTTCCCTTTTCACGCGGACTAGTCTCAGAGGGAGACTGTTCGCTTGGACACCTTTCTAGTGAGCTGTTTGGAAATCTGTGTTTAGTACATACATTGGCATTAAAAAGTCTTTCGTTTCAATACATGTTTTCTAACATAGAACTACCTTGAAGGAACATCTGAGGATCCACAGTGGAGAAAAGCCCCATCTTTGTAGTATTTGTGGGCAAAGTTTTCGCCATGGAAGCTCATACAGGTAAGTGAGGCCATTTTTCCCTTTATATTGAGGAAGATAAAATTACTCCTTCATTTTCATTCTATTTTTTAAACCAGTGGTTTAGTTGTTTGTTGGGTTAAAACATTTCTTAGCATTTATGACAAGCAAAGTTGTGCAGAAAACCTGTATAGACTTCTCCCCTACAAATTTTAATGTTCTTTTCATTCTGTGGTATAAAATATTGTTAAACATTTCCTCACCACCAAATTGGTAGGTGCTTTACTGTCTCAATTGATGTTACTTAACAATTTATTTCATTACTTTGAGTAGAATTTATTATAACTCCTGTTCTAAACTTAGTGTATTTCCTTACTCTTATTCATCACAGAACAGTTTGGTATGAAAATATGGCAAAATTGAAAATTCCAGGATTCTCAGTTTTTGAAAGACTTTGTTGTTTTAAGCTTACGTAATTATTTTTATAACTGAATCCCTGATCACACTGGGAATTTCTGAAAAGTTGTTTTTTCCTGCATAAATAATAGGTGACTATGTGTGACATATGTGCACAATTCTGCTTGTTATGAATGCTCTGAAGAATTTTAATCTTAGGGCTTTGCTGCTCAGCACGTCCTCCATTACCTGCCCCCTCTAAGCCCGAGCAAAACGCTTCCCCTGTGCACGCAGTGCGGCCCGCTGACGGGCTCCGGCCGCGGCGGCGGTGGCACGTTTGGGCAGCTTGGGCGGGACGGCTCTTAGCTTTCCTGGGACATCCGTAGGTGGGGGTTGCAAGGATAAAAGTAATTCTAGTTAAATCAGTTGTAACAATTTAAACCTTTCATAATCTCCTTGGGTGACTGTGAAATGAGCCATGTTTTGTTTGGTGAAATGTGAAGGAAAGTAGTAAAATGCATTTGTCAGAAAGTTGATGAGTCACACGTTCACTTACAACCAGTGAATTATAAGGTTATTTATTCAGTTAGAAAGTAGTAAAGTGTAATTGTCATACAAGGCGGAGGAGTTGTAAACTCCCTGAATCCTCAGCTGTCCGTCCGTAAGGACACCGTCAGCCAGCCGGAAGGGCTTGCTTGGTTACTGGTGGTGTCCTGCGTCGCCATCGGCCTTTGTCCCTTGCATCTGATTCTGATTCCTCCTGGATTCACACCTGCCCTTGCTGTTCTGAGACTTCAGTGGCCGGGCAGAGACGACTCTAGACATTAGGCGGGTTCAGTGGCGCAGACCGAGGGTGGGAAAAGCCAGGAAGGAATGCCACCCAGAGGTCGAGGGAGCTTGGGCAGAGGTTGGGGTGCTTCCTGGAGAGAGGGAAGCTGAGGAGGAGGCCTGGGAGCGGGCTGGGGCCCTTCTGCCCCTCAGTTCTCCTGCCGCCGCCTCCTCCGCAGGCTTCACCTGCGGGTCCATCACGACGACAAGAGATACGAGTGTGACGAGTGCGGGAAGACCTTCATCCGCCACGACCACCTCACGAAGCACAAGAAGATACATTCAGGTAGGTGCACGTGGTAGGGTGGCTTCCGGAGTCCTTTCTTAAAGGGGCTGCAAAGGGCGCACTTCCCTGAGTGTGTGTCGGCCCAGGTTCTGATAATTTGGTGTAGGTTGGCCACCCCTCGGTAATGCTGGTTCTAACTACCTTCTTTTAAAAGCATCTGAAAGGAGCATAATTTTATGGCTTGTTTTTCTTCACTGTAATTTTAATCATTTGGTTGCCTTTTATGACTACAGACTATATTTTAAAATTGTGTAATCAAATGCTCAGAATTTGCATTTTGCATATGACGTGGATATAAGCAACAACAGTTGCTGTTGACAGCTGCCCAAGGCGGGGGTTGCCAAGACAACATTGATCGCTGCGACTGAAGTTGAAAGCAGTTAGCAAGCCTTAGACGTTTGTAGGGAAACGATTGTAATTGGGTATTAAAGTTTACTGAAACCCAGTCTTTGGAAAAGAGTACCTTAATCATCCCGATCAATTTCAGATCTTTTTCCTACACTGACAGTTTTTCTGTTCTGGGGGTCCCACATTTCCCTCTCTGACTGACGCTCAGGGAGAGCGAAAGAGCCCGCGCTGGGAGCCCAGCAGACCAGCGATGACTGTTGTCCCTGCAAACACAAACACCGCGCGTCCGGCCCGCGGTCTCTGGGTCCGGAAACGGTCCCAGTGGGGCAGGTTGAATTGCTGTGGCTGTTTGTAGGACGTTAAAGATCTTAATGACTTTTCCTACTGGAATTATGCATTTTCATTTTTAGGTGGACAATTCTAAATTTCCAGTCTAGAGGCCATATGCTTAAATTGCATGCGGGTATGAAGTTGGGAAAATGATTTTTAAAGGTCAGACCTTTGCAAATGAATGTAAGAACAGAGATGAGAAATTGGACTCATCTAGAATTTCCTTTTATATTTGTACTTTGCCTCATTGCAAATGTAAGCAATCCTCGTAGATGAAAAGTCCTTAAAAAAAAGTGCAAAGATTTGAAAATGTTCAGGTCCTTTGTGTAAACAGTAAGACAGCCTCAGTTCGATCCCATGTACGTTCACTTAAGGTGTTTGATACCCAGACATACATGCTCCCCCAGAGCCCTGAGCTCTGAGGAAGCTTCCGTTGTCTTGCTCTGTGACGCTGGGAGGCGAGGTTTGAGTTGGGAGGCAAAAGGCTGCGGACGCTGGTGAGAGGACCCACGCCCGCAGGGAGGAGCGCCAGCCGGCGGGGGAAGGCGTCTGAGTGAGGGGCGGGCGTCCGTAGCCCAGAACTGGGTGGCCTGGCTCTCCTGGTGTGTTTCTCCCCGTGTTCTCCTCCTGTTCGTCATCTGTTTGTGGGGCAGAAAACTGAAGTGCACATCGTAATCAAAACATTTGGGTCTTTAAGGTGAAAAGGCGCATCAGTGTGAAGAATGCGGGAAGTGTTTTGGCCGCAGGGACCACCTCACCGTGCATTACAAGAGCGTGCACCTTGGAGAGAAGGTGTGGCAAAAGTAAGTCGGGGGGCGAGGGTTCCCCTCGTGGCTGCGTCGGCAGAGCCTAAGCTGGGCAGCGGCCCATGTACCTCCTCTTTTGTTTTGTCTATTGGGGGACAGGTTGGTCGGTCAGCTCTTTCTCTCGCTTCCGTAGCTTCTCTGCAGACCTGAAGGAACTGTGCAAAACAACCTTCGTCCTTGTTTTCAGTCATTCAAAGGCTCGGAGGTGGTAGACATGGAACATAATGACTAAGATAAAACCCTGGCATTCTTTGGGGAATTCATTTGGTTGGATGCTGTGGGTCTTTCAGTGTATAAATTTACTGCCTATGTATTATTCTTACTGAAACAGCAGTTATTGGGAAATGTTTGTAGTCAGAATTTAAACCTTTCTAATCACACAAGCATTTAAAATGGTATTTTCTTTGAAGGATGCATGCAGGGCCTGAACATCAGCTTTTTGGTATGATCCAGATATCCAAGTTTAACTGAGTTGTCAAGTGTAAAATACTGGATGGGTCCCTGCTCTTGGATGAGGCATTTGGAGCAAGAGCACAGTAATGGCCTGGCCGAAGGTGCTGGGAGGCCGAGCTAGATAGGTGCCGGGCTCGGCGGCGCTCCCCACATGGTGTTCTCGGTGCAGAAGCTGCGGGCTGGCCCGGGGACCAGGAGGCTGTGCTGGTTCGTGTCCGATTCTGTACATTTGCATGTGCTGGTTTAGTGCTTCCTTCACTGAGTTTGCTCAGTGACGTACTCAGCATAGTCATTGTACTCGTGCATTCATTAGGTGGCAGCAGCGCTGCCCAGGGCTGGGACACAAACGTCCCCATGATGCTGGCGGAGGAGGAAATCCGAGCTGGAACACACCGTGCGAACGGGTGGGAAACAGGCTGAGACTCACTCCCTCCAGAGCCCTAAGCTTTTTCCTCAGCCCCTGAATGTCACTTACACTCTAACGTAGATACTGTGTTACAGTTTAAATAAATTACATAAATCGTTAGAAATTAAAATGAGAAAAAGTTACTTGTTTTTTTAAAAATAACATACTCATCACATGCTAAATAAATGGTAATTATGTGAAAAATAAGGACTTTACAAAACAAAAAAACTATTAAAAGAGTGGCATTGTTTTACCTTTTTGTAAATCTCTTCAATGGCTTAGTAGCTGAATTGCCACGGGTTATTTTGGTTGATGTAAATGAAGAAAATCTAGCCTCATTCAGATACATGATTGGTAGAAGGGGGAGCATTATTAATAGCCTTTTTCTTAGATAATTGTGGATGCTGTCCTTGGCTACTACACTAAAACTAAACAAGTGGTCGTTTCGTAAGGGAAGTAGCAGCAAGGTGGAACCTGAGAGAAGATTCATGAAGTCTTCACACTCTGCTGTGTTTAATCTCTTGGTCTGCCTGGTACTTTGAATGGGCGTTCCGCCTACACACAATAGGGCAGTACCAGGCATTTGTCATTGGGAAGGTGGGGCTTCACTGAGGGATGCAGGTCTCCCAAGTGCTGGCGTGTTTCGGGGGCAGGACCAGCAGTCACGTGCGCGGACCCTGCCGCCAGCGTCTCAGGGAAAGCGAGGCTGGGACACAGGGACGGTGCGTGTTTTCCAAAACTCCCACAGCAGCTGCAAAGCTCAGATTCTGTCACTAACAAATACTGTCAGTTTTTTCCCTTGGCGCCGGGCGACTTCCCACAGGCCGCCGAGCTGGCCTTCCTGGAGAAGTTTGCCTTTAATTCTTTCAAGCAGAACGGTATTTGTTCCATGAAAAACGTGGCTACTGGAGCTCCCAGCCCAGGCTCAGCGGTGCTCTCCTTTGAGATGTCATTGCACTTGGGTTTGCGGCATGTTTTTATTAAAGTTACGTTGAGAAACTCAAACCCTTTCTGTTTTCTTAGATATAAAGCAACCTTTCATCAATGCGATGTTTGTAAGAAGATTTTTAAAGGCAAATCCAGTCTGGAGATGCATTTTAGGACGCATTCAGGTAAAGCTTAATGGGCAGTTTATATATATTTTGGTGTAATTATTCAGGAGTAAAATATGGGCCTTTAAACTTGGTTGTTGGTTAAAGTTTTTTGATTTTTTTCCCCAGTAAGTTTTTTTACTCAGTATGTTAAAGTCGATGTCGTGAATGAGCAATATTCTGGTCTTCCATTCTGTATTACGTGAGCTTCAAAACTATGCACGTCATTATGTACAATTTGAGAAAACTTTTTTCCCATCGGGAATTGACTCATCTCCTCTCTCTCATGTTCCTCTTCTCCTTGTTATGGCTCCTCTACATCTTTGTGACTCTCTGAAGCCATTTATTTTCTTCTCTTTGAAGAGAGTCATTCCAGCATGGCCCCATCACCTCCGTTACCAGCTCACCGCCCTGCGGGTTTCCTCGGACAGTCACTTGTCACCTGTAGGTAGTTGGAGTAGAAGGAGTTGCTTCCGCTGCTTGCCAGAAATTGCCATTTTCTAAATCTCTCTCTCCCCCTTGGTAGCGCTGCTTTGTTTTGAAACGCAGGCTGTGTCGGGTCCCTTCCTACGTGCTGTCACTGTCCTTGTGCGGCGCCTCATCTCAGTTAACAGGTTTTAGTGCCTTTCTTTTTTTGAGACACTCATTTATGCTTTTATAGCTGCTTGGTTTTAGATGTAGTGTGAGTTTTGTCACACTGCTGTTCTGGGAGAGAAAGATGACGGCTTTCATCAGCACCGCAACGGGCAATGGTTAGATTCGGGCGTCAGCCAAGAAGCACAGGGAGGAGCTTACTGCCGCCACAGCGCCGCTGTTGGAAGCGGAAGTTCACCTCGCTCCAGACGAGGCGGGCCTGGTTTGGGGGCACCCGCAGGCCCCGTCAGAAGGAAGGCACAGCGGCGCCAGCCGAGCCCCCCAGCGCTTCCCGGTGCCGGGCGGTGCGGGCTGGGGGACCCCGCTCTCTTGCGCGGGGTCCCTGGCGCAGCCCCGGGCGCTGGAAAACGCCGCTGCACGTCCTTGTCTTGCCGAGCGCGTGGGTCTGACACCTAGTGTCGCTGTCGTCCATACAGGCGAGAAACCGTACAAGTGTCAAATCTGCAACCAGTCCTTCAGAATTAAGAAAACCCTGACGAAGCACCTGGTCATTCACTCGGACGCCCGGCCCTTCACCTGCCAGCACTGCACGGCCACCTTCAAGCGGAAGGACAAGCTCAAGTACCACACGGACCACGTGCACGGCATCAAGGCTGCCGACGAGCCCGCGGGCGCCGCCGAGGACAAGCTGGGGGCCCCGCCAGCCGAGTGCCCGGCCGACGACAAGCTCTTCCGGGCGGAGGCCAAGCCCTTCCCGGACCGGCCCAAGGGGTACCCGGCGGAGGCCAAGGCGCTGCTGTCGCACGTGCCGGCCGAGGTGTGCGTGCCCGTGACGCTGGTGCCCGTGCAGATGGCCGAGCCGCCCGGCGACCTGGGCCGCCACGCCGCGCCGCTGCCCGCGCCCGCGCACGACCTGCTGCCGCCGCCGCCGCCCGCCGCCGCCGCCACCACCGCCACCCGCGCCGGGCGACTTCCCCCGGGCCGCCGAGCTGGCCTTCCTGGAGAAGTACGCGCTGCCGCCGCCGCCCGCCGGCCTGGTGCACGCCGTGCGCGCCGAGCCGCTGCTGGACCCGCGCGAGCAGTCCTACCTGGGCTCGCTGCTCGGCCTCGATGGCGCGCCGGCCGTCCCCAGCCTGCCCGGCGACGAGCACCGCGCCTAGGCGGCGCCGCGGGCGGCCGCGTCCCTCCGCCTCGCAGCGCCCCGCGCCCCGCGCCCTGCTGCGGGCAGGGCGCCTGTCCGCCCAACCCCCGCGCGGGGCGCCTGTGGAGGTACCACGTCGGAAGTGAACGCTTCCGTGATTTTAAAACATTACTTAGTGCCAATTTTAATTAATGTCTCGAACTTTTAAAAATTATTAGCTGTTGACATTATGTTTTTTTTTTTAATCAAGGGTGGAAATTTTATTTTTCTGTAGTCTTATTCCTCTCTTCTCCCTTTCCCATCTTCCAAACAAGCTTAAGGACCATGTAGGCTTCAAGAAAGAATTTGTGAGAGTTTACTGATAATTGCAACTGTTCCTTATCCTAATACAAGCATCATCATTACTTCCTCCAGATTTTAAATAATTGATATTATGAATCTGAATTTATAGGAAAGTCTTGGATATTTCTGTGTTGTTCCTTTATCTGGCCATAATTTCACCATCCTTTGGCCTTTTGACGAACTCAAAGCCAGAAAGCTAACTAATGTAAAAAAGCAGCTTGTTCCGTGAAATGTAAAATTGAAATAATTATCCAAATTATTGGTTATATATAAGAAATGCAAATTATTGTGAATAAGAAATTACTCACAATAATTATTATCCTAAGTAAATTATTCTAATTATGAATAAGAAATGCAGATGTGATTCTAGGCATTATACCGATTGATAGTATGTTAAAAGCAAAATGTGACAGTTATTGTTCAAGGTAAGTTCGCCACTTTTATTTTGCCATTTATTTCACATTAACAATATACCTTTGACTCACTAAAGGTGGGGAAATGATAACTAATTAATCAGGTTTAGTCGGGTTTTTCGGTCTCATTGGCCTTGGCTAACTGAAACTCGAGGAAACAGAACCAAGATACTCCATGCCTAACTGTTAGAAGTGCCAACCAAATTACAAAATTCGTGTCTAACTAAACTCAGTGCTGTTTACTTTAATGAGAGGGAACCAGTGTGTGTATACAAATTTACACGTAATCCAGATTTATGTTTGTTTTTCACATAAGCCTACTTTCTAGTTAACCTCAATTTGTGTGTGTGTGTGTGTGTGTGTGTGTGTGTGTGAGAGAGAGAGAGAGAGAGAGAGACAAAAGTTGAGCACTTGGCGAAAGGAAATAGCAGTTACAGCAAAACCTAACTGATTAAAATTAGTTGAGGAAAACGTTAGTCAGATGCTAGGTAATTTTAAAATACCTTTAAAGATGTGCACTTTCCATATCTTCAAGTCAATCTGAACTTCAGCTAGGATACTGTTTCCTGGTAGAGCTGCTTGGAGGATTAGACTAGGCAGGGTTGATTTTTTTAGCATGTCATGTGTATGTAAACTACTGGAAAATAGCAATTTTAAGAGTTTCCTTTTTCTGTTTTGTTTACACTCCTATTAAGCACTTTTGTGTGTGTGTGTGTGTAAACTATAAAGTCTTGCCCGGGCCTTGTGGGGGGAAAAAAATCACAAATAAAATAATGAAGTTTTAATGAATAAAATTTAACCACTTCATGGGAAGCGTGCTTGCCGAAGCACTTCGAGCCCAGGAACGTCACGGGAGCGCTCGCCGCACGGGTGGGGATAGAAGGGCAAAGTGCCCGAACTGAGGCGCTCAACCCACGGAGCTCTTGTAAATGAGGAAACCAGCCTGGGTTCTGCCTCATCTATTGAGATTTGCTTATCATTATCCTGGGACCAGTAGATACAATTAATGTAGTATTCTTTTGGAAATGTTCTTTTGTGTGGAAATGTTATTATATTTGGGGTACTTAGATGATTGAACTTGATTATGAGGTACTATTAGTCTGCTAGCCTTTCGAGAGACGTTTAAAACTACATCTCTTTCTGACATTTATCATAAAGAACAGCAAGACCTTAAACTAAGAAACTTACTGTTAAGAAAAGAAATCATGCCTGACAATGTAGCCTGCCTCCCGTGGAAGCCTGCGTGGAAGACTTGGGACTTCCGAAAAGGCAGATGGTATATTTGTATGTGTCTATGGTGTATTTTATGTTTGGTAGCAGAAAAAGAGATGTTGCATTTTCACATTGAAAAGAATACTTGGTTTTTTTCAAGGTATTTACTTTAGGGTTCTTTTAATAATAATCTCCTCATGCTTTAAGTATAGGATTCGATTGTCGGAATGGGTTTACAGCAGACAACTTCTCTGGAGCGCGTCTCTTCCAGAAAGGGAAACAGAGGCGTAGCTGTCGCGGAGAGCTTGGCCTGGGCAGGGGCGCCGCAGCGCTGTCCCGTGGTCTCATCGCGGCCTCCGGAGCCGCTCTGCGGCGAGGGCGCGCCGCGCTCCCCGCCTAACGCCGGGGAACCCGCGGCGAAGGGCTCCGCACCGCTCGCACCGGCCGTCGGTGGCAGTCGCTAGTCCCAGGGCAGGAGGCGCGGCCGAATGCGCAGTGAGCGCGTCCCGGGGGCCAGGCCCTGCGTTTTCCACTGGCAGTGGGAGCGTAGTTCCCACGAGAGAGCGCCTCGGCGGGTGCTGCCTCTTGTTTCCAAATTAGATTCTAAGAAACTTTTAACATTGTAAAAACCTCATGGATGGGGGCAAACTGAATGTATATAAGTTTTTGCAGTTGGCACAAAAAATATGAAATGAGGCCTACTCTTTTCAGTTAACCTTTTTTGTAGTGTTTGGGAGTTTTGTGGACAAATGTTCCATTAACTCTAAAATTCATTAATTCTGTATCTGTACTTAAATTTTGAATCTTGCAACTAAGTTTAGCCTCATTCAGAATATTTTATGAGCATAATTTATTATTTTAAATTAATTTTTTAGCTGATAGCAGTTAGCACTTAATATGTAAGGTGAATAATTTATTAAGTGTAGACATTTGTTAACCTAATCGGTTTTTACTTAAATGCACCAAAGATTATAGTAGGTATTAAAATAGTTTAAAAGAATTTAAATTCTTTGTTGTTTGAGTAAATATTTGTCCAAAGAAGCACAGTTGAAGTTCTAGGCTTACGAATTAAAAATAAAAAAAATTGTCTGAATACTAAGATTAAGTGTTCGTGTTGAAAACACTCTGGGATAGTCATACTGACGAATTATAAGTAAGAATACTCAGTTTTCCTCAGTTTAATTAATTGAATGTTATCTTTTCAGTGGACACTATTAAATGCAAAATAATAAGCTTATTTTTTACACTACACTATTAAAATCATTTGCCTTAGAATTTTTTTTATGACGAGTTGAAGTTATTTTTGTAAGAAACCCCCACCTATTTTTTGCAGCCTAAAATACCATTTAAAGTTAGGGTTTGTTCTTCATGCCAGCAAGATTTAACCAACTCTGAAGGCAGTGATCTTTGCATACTTTTAAATAATTCAGTTTACTGCTAGGAGAAGAGGAGTAGCAAAAATAGGGTTCTAAACTGGTGCTTTATTCAGTGACTTCCTTTTAAGTGACTTTAGGTCATGAAATAGGTACACTAATTTTCTGTCAACCTTTAAAGTGTCAAAATATAGCGGGGTGACTATAAACTGTTAGTTAAGGGCTAATAAGTCATTAAGTATCATGCATTGTTTTTCATTCTATTATTGCAAACAAATGAAAAACCCTGCCAAACTGGCATGTTTGTAAGTTTGACTTGTCTGTGACCGCGGTGCCGCCCCCTTTGCAAGCGGGCAGGTTGGGAGCGGCGCTTGGGGACAGCGCCTTCTCCGCGGTAACCGCCTGGCGCTTTTCCATCCTTCGCGGCTTGGAGTTGATTCTGCTGGCTGGGTCACGCTCGTTCATAAATGAGCTTGACTTTCTTGTTGTGAGTCTTATGTTTGTGCTGCCTGCTGGTCAGAGAGCACTTTTTTTTTAGGTTGCTTTTTGTTGATAAAGGCAAATAGGCACTAAACACTTGTGTGAATATTTGTTTTCTGTGTCTGATGTCTGTTTGGGCCTTTATAGTCACTGTAAAGCCACTCATGAGCCTGTCTCTACACGCTTCTTAGAGGAACCTAACAAGTAAAATAAAATGAGTTGCGTGTCTGCCTCTCTGTCTCCTCCTGTCCCCAGAGTTAAAAATAACCAGTTACCATAACGCCCAGCTGGACATGGAACCGCTTCTGATTTCATTTTGCCTAAGACTGAACAAGAGATGATGGTTTGAGATGAGTTTCCCTTTGGGAGCAGCAACGTCCCAGCCAACATGCAACCTGAGTTTATCAACTCAGGAAAAGCTAGGACTTCTGAAGTCGTGTTAGGATTACGTGCAGACTCAGTGCCAAAGTTAAAATAATGAAAAATGTGTAAGAAACACGTAGCATTTCTAAAACTTTAAATAGGATGATAGGAAATGTCACTTAACTATTGAGAGTGAATGATGGGTAATGTGAGAATAATTTTCTAAACAATATTTAAGAACTATAGACCATTCTTCCTTAGATCCTCCCCTTTCTTTTGCATTTTCCTCTCTTGGTAAAGTCTATAGTGGTTTTTGGGGAATCACTTTATTTCCTCCCAAGTTATTTTTACTCAGAGATCCTTTTTTTCCTGGAATGTGAGCATGCTTTCTGCACTTCCTCTTTCGAAGTAGCATTAATAAGGAAAAATAGGAGGACTAGGTTGTGTGGAAGATGAGAGGTTTCGGTAGAGAAAACGCCTGGTTTTTTTTGTTTGTTTACTCTTCAAATATCAACTTGCTATGTATTGATTGGTCTCAAATCTATGTCTATTGGAAAATCCCCAGAGTTTAAATTTACCTTCAGCAGCCATTATGTAAACAGAAATTACGAATTATATTCACAGAATAGAGGTTATACAGATAAGGACATGTCTCTTTTTTTATTTTATTTTTTTCAAATTCTTAGGTAAAGAAGTATTTTCAGTGCTTGCATTACCGTTGGAAATGCTAAAACATTTCTTGAATGAAGCGCATGTACACTTCTCATGGTTATTTAGCCTCTTTGCTTGGTATTCCTGCTTGCATTACCGTTGGTCTGCGTACCGTGGTAGAATCACAGAACTTCCTCACGCCTGTAGGCGACGCTGTCGCAGTTGATGAGTGTGGCTGCCAGAACACGAGTGCAGAGCCGGACGCTGAGCTGCTCCACGTCGTACAGTCACTGTTCCGAGGAAGGGGATTTATGATGTGCGTTACAGTGAAAATGCTTTCACACTTAGTTTCAGCCTCAAATCATAAGTTTTTCATCATTAAGGACGCGTTTCAAAGCAGTTACACAGAAAACTCTAAAATATCAATGCGTTATTTTGTCAACTGTGTATAAAGTTACCTTGTGAGTTTTATAGATACCTTGGCTGTCTCATGTTTCTTAAGTACCAATGTCTTTATAGAAAAATTCGTTCTCTGTGAAGACTAGGAAGTGTATTGTATATTGAACTAGTTCTTTCTGTTATTTTGATATTTAAAATAAATATAAAGTCTTTTGGTCCTCATAAAGCACATTGAGGTTTTACTGAACACACTTTCCCAGCATGGGGTGCAGAACCTCTGCATGGTGGGGCAAAGGCTGAGCAAACGGGAAACACGTCTTTTGGAGCACATTGATGTACATTTTATTTCTCATAAGCTAGATAGTATTCTGAAGTATTTCTGCATATTAAATATACGAACCATTAAATGATTTAATGGTTTTAAGTGGCTAAATGATATAAATTTAAACACGAATAGTGACTCATAAACAAAACGCACTACACTTGAGCTGAGACAAATAGTTCTGCGACTGAAGCTTATGTATGAGGGCTGCTATTTGCGATGTTAATTTGATGAATAATATTCGCAGTATGAAATAATAGACACCGTTTTTGGGAGTTATCATTCATATTAACATTTTTTCTTAAAAACACGTAGTAGTGTCCTCATTACACATCATTGTCAACGGACTAAGAAAAACCACTGTAGTAATTTTTTAAAAACATTGTTCATGTAACAGGATTTGACTTCAGGCCCCATTGGGTGTCAGTGCACCTTATTGTTTTTCCACTCGGGCTTCGCCCCCCCCCCCCATATGTTGTGCACACATACCCACATCATGCGTAGTTTTAAAGTTTCCTGCTGTCTTTCGGGGCGGGGCGGTCTCCGGGCAGCGCGGTCTCCGGGCAGCAGGAGGCGAGAGCCGAGCCAGCCGCCTGCGTGCAGATCCTGGCTCTGCCTCTTCCAGGCCCCGTGGCCCGTCTGTGAAATGCAGGCGATGGGTGCCGATGCCCGTCAAGGGCTACAGTCACTATTAGTGGACACCTACAATAAAAGTAAAACCAAGGGGGTATTTGTCCAGGGGATTGCCTGTCGACACCATCGGCGGTGAATTAATTATGAAGCTTGGGTTGCATCTAGTTTTTGCTCCCGGGATCCCAAGAACCAGCAAACACACTGCAATGTACCAATGATGTATCATAGAATTGTGCCTTTGAAACCTGTATATTACTATTCAATGTCACCCCAATAAATGAAAAAAAAAAAACTAGCATGTAAATTTACTGGCCCCTGCTATGGTCACTCACGGAAATACTCTCGTTCACACAACCTATACATTTAATTGTCTTCTTTTTCGCACCTTCGGCCCGGGAACCGCTAAAGGAAAGTAATGGATATAAATCGGGGCAGGGTACGTTGGATAGGAGGACGGCTGAAGTCACTATTTGCCTCATCCATGGTTTTGCCTAAGGCTGCCTCTGGCAACCGCAAGGATGGCTACCTTCATTGTGGAAGTGCTGCTACTCTCTTCCCCTCGACACCTTTTTTAAAATCCAAAAGGCGAATTTCAATTCTAAACCGCGAGTTTCAGGCTGTCACAAAAGCCCCGCCTCGGTTTTAGGCTCCTCAGAGAGCGACAGGCGGTCGAGCAATCATTTAAATGAAGCGCTGCCGTCTCATTGGCCCGGGGCTGCTGCTCACCGATTGGCCCTTGAGGAGGACCAGCGGCGGCGCTGCTCGCGGATTGGTTCTGTGGAGGCATGGGGCGGTGCTGAGCGTGCCCATTGGTGGAGGAGGGAAGTTTAAATCGAGGCAGAGGCCACACCTGTGTTGCCCTGTTTTGGCGAATTTGCGGGGTTCGTTTCGTGTTTTCTGCGGTGCGAACGACTGGGAGAGAAAGGGAGGCGATTTCGCTGAGGATCGGCCTGCGGCCGTCGGGCTGCCATGGAGACGCGGCGAGACTGCCGCGACACGAGCCCCTCAGAGCGGAAGTCGCCGGCGGGGCTGCGGGGGTCCCCGCCGGTGCTGACCCTCAGCCACTTCTGCCCCAAGCCGTTCCTGTGCTTCGGGGACGTGCGCGTGGGCGCCTCGAGGACGCTGCCGCTGGCCCTGCTCAACCCCAACGCCGAGGCGGCCGCCGTGACGCTGCCGCGCTGTCCCGCCGCCGCCCAGGGCTTCCAGGTCTGGCCTTGCGCCTTCGAGCTGCAGGTTGGTATGCGGGCCGGGCCTGATCGCGTCTCCGCTCTCTCCCCGCCACTCTGCCGGGGGTAGGAACGAGGGGACGTGCGGGCTGGAGAGCAAACTGCAGACGCGGGGTACTTTAGAGGATGAAGCCAGGTCTTTTCGTCCACTCCGGGGGCGTCCCGGTCCGGCGTCTCCGGGCTCCGGGACGGGAGTGGGTGGGGACCGCTCGGCAGCGCGCGTGCGCAGAACATCCTTGGGAGCATCTCAAAAGCCTATTAGAAAGGCGTTTTCGTGGATTTAGGCGTTTTCCTGCGGTTCTAAAGAAGTAGACCGCGCTTTTAATAAACACTTTGTGTGTTTTTAATAATGCTTAGAGGCGTACCCTGGTTAGAGCATCTTTTTATTGCTCCCTATCAGCTATCTTAAATGCATTTTAGTCGCCATGGGTGTCGGGGGAACCGAGCCGTCAGGCTGAGGGCCACTGTGTATTCTGGTGAGATAGTTTTGGGCGGAATGTCTGCACCAGAGGCACAGAAGCGTCGCTGTCGGGTTATTGTGCACAAGCATATACGGAGTTGCTTTCGTGCAGTTTTCACGGTGAATGAGTCCGATTTAATTTTATCAGTGTTATTTCCAAGAATCTCCCCGGTGGCTCTTCTGCACGGCGTTGGCCAATGTTTTTGTCTTTGTCAGCAGAACCAGAGCAGGTCAGTGCTTCTCTTGACCGCTGGCTTTTCCGTTCGGGAGAACCTGTGAAAGTGTGAAAAAGAAAGCTGAGTGTCACCAGTTCAAGGCGAGACCAAGGGCTCAGCTCGGTGACCTGAGCTCCACCATTGGTCCCCCTCCCCTGGATTTCTCTCCAGGGCACAATGATTCCTTTCTGTTATGTGGAACGAAAAATGTGTTTTGGTTTGTTTTAGAATTCACTGTTTTGCAGAGTAAAAAGTCACTGTTCTTATTTTCTGAAACCAGCTGTTTTTGATGTTTAATAGTTGTCTCCCCGCCTCCCTTGGAAAGGCGCAGACAGAGTTTGTTCTGTCCTGCAAGGGTTTGAGGTGGCGGGGCAAGCTGTCCAAGTCTGAACTCTAGAGGCAGACTGCCTGGGTTCTGGTTACTAATGGTTTGAGTTAAATACTCAAAGCTTCCTGGCCCTTGGTTATGGTGTCTGTATGTCTGTCAGATGTGACAGGCACAGCGCTGTGTCCCAGGCATGGGAGGCCGGGTGTTCCGGAAGGCCCCTGGGCTGTGTCTGGAATATGAGTGCTTAACGGATCCTGGTACTCACGATGATCTGGGTACAGAAGTCGGTGGGAGAAAGGACTTAGTTCATTCTTCTCATAGTTTTTTGATGAAAGTCTTCACAATGAAAATTCTCTATTTGACCTAGAAGAACCATGTGATTAGAATATATGTGATTCTAAAAAAGTAGAACTATGTGATTAAAATTTTAAAAACCACCGATAACTAAAAATGCTACGAACTTATACTGCTCCATTGCTTTACTTACAGTGAAGATTTTATTACAGTTTTATTTTCTTGGGAACCTTGTTATTACTAGTAGCTTTTTTTCCCTGATAATAAAATGAGAGGTGAGGAAAGTATATTTGAATTAAATGTTATTGTGGTAGAGAGTGTTGGTGATGAACAATTATGAATCTTACACTGTAGTCTAAGTTGTATATAATATGTTTTGGTTAGTATGCACCATCTACTGTTATAGTAATTTTAAACTGTTCTTCTGATTATAGCCTAAGGAAAAAATTGTCATTTCTGTTACCTGGACACCATTAAAAGAAGGCCGAGTGAGAGAGATTGTGACATTTCTTGTAAATGGCATTCTGAAACATGAAGTTATATTACTAGGGAATGCAGAAGAGCCAAAAAAGAAAAAGGTAACAAGTTTTCATTATTCTTTGATTTACTCTAAGAAAATAATATGTAAAAATTATTTTGCTAACACTCTTGAAGTGAGGAACATACATAAAATTTCTTATTCAAGGCAATAGTCAGTAGTCACCAACTTAATTTGTATTTTTTGCTTATTTTTGCAGAGAAGTCTTTGGGATACCATTAATAAGAAGAAAGTTTTGGCCCCTTCAAATCGTAAGAAGAGGATTTCAAATATTCAAAATGTTAATAAAACATTCAGTGTTTCCCAAAAAGTTGACCGAGTTAGGAGCCCTCTACAGGCTTGTGAAAATTTGGCTAGGAATGAAGGCTGTTCTCCAACAGAAAACAATTCGATCATCCTTGAAGAGAATAAAATACCCATTTCACCGATCAGTCCCACTTACAAAGAATGCCGTGGGGAGACTTGCTTGCCCCTTTGTGTCCGTCGGTCCACTACCTACACATCTCTTCATGCACCTGAAAGTGGGGAACTATGGAAATTAGAAGATGCCAACATTTCCAAAGATTTTAATGAGAAAATCCTAACGGAAACTTCCTTTAACTCCATAAATAATAATGGCCAAATTGAAGAGGATAGTAAACTTATTCTCATTCCTAACTCTTCTTCAACTTTGAACATCACACAAAGCCAAGGAAATTTCTTAAGTCCAGATTCCTTTCTAAAGAATAGCCATGCAGCTAACAGTGACCTAAAATTAGTGACATGTATTTCATCGGGTACCTTTCTGAAGGATAATGCAGGGCCCGTGCATTTGGAATCAAAAGCTGTACGTGAAGTTTATAGGACAATTTTAAGCCCAGATTCTTTCATAAAGGATAATTATGGACTAAATCAAGAGGGAGAATCAGAATCAGTGAATCCAATTCTATCCCCAAATCAATTTCTAAAAGATAATATAACATATATATCTGTATCTCAGCAAACATGTAAATTATCGCCGTTGCTCAGGGAGAATTCTCAGGCCTCAGCGTTCCCTCCAGTGCAGAGAAGAAATGAAGCTTCACTGTGTGTTCCTGAACGCCAGGGTCCAAACTCTCCCAAAGCCGTTTTTGAAGAACCTAAATCTTTAGAAACGAAACCAAATTATTACTGCTTTACAAAACAAACTCAGCCTCAATCTTCTGCAGTTCAGGGTATCTCTGGTTACAGCCGCACCGCACAGCCTAAGAGACGCCCCATACTTTCTGCAACTGTCACTAAATTGAAGCCCACGGGCAGCAGAGGAAACAAAACTGAGACTGACCAACCGAGGGCAAGAAGATGTCTCCGCAGTGAATGTGAAAAAATAACTGATAATGTGGAAGCGAAAGATGCTTTTCATCCTTATCTTCCAGTCATAGGTCCAGTAGTCAGTCAGTCTAAGAGTTGTAAAAAGGTAACGAGTCTTTCCTCCGAGGCAGCTTCTGGGGCTCGTAAAAGAAGGAGTGAGGGAAACAAGGAGGATGCAAATGTGATGATTACAGTTACAGAACATACAGAAGTACCGGACATCAAAAGGATCCATTTTTCTCCTGTGGAGTCTAGAACGTTGACCGCTAAAAAAGCAAGAAAGGTGATAACGCCCGTCCTAAAACACAGCAGCGGCAGAGAGAAACTAAACCTGAAGAAGAAAACTGGTGAGTTATCTGTAAAACTTTAATGAAAGTTTACTTCTAAGGGGCATGTTTCCTGTTTCTTTCAGTTCATAAGTTTGCTGTTGAGAAGCTTGAATTAACGTCCCTTCTTCAGCTGCCTGTTTGCTTAGCAGAAGGACCAGTGGAGTGTGAGGCTGGGTTCTGAAATAGCTGGGATCTTGTTCTTATTTAAATTTCGGTATTCCTCATGACTTTTCATGTTTGAAATTATTGCATTCACATACTTACCATTACTGAGTTTTTGAGCCCCCCGCCCCCGCCCCGAGTTTTGGACGCAGAGCAGCACTTCCCTTACGTTGCCTTAGTCGCTTAGTCAGGGCCCAGGTGGGGAGGCCCGGGTAAGTCCCCGGCCCCCAACACCGCCTGAGGCAACGCGGGCGAGGCCTCCGCTCACCTGCGCTCCTGGGGACGCTGTTCTGGCTCCGCCAGGACTTGGGATGGAGGGGGCCCCAGAGACGGCCTTCCCGGGGCTCCACTGCCCTTCCCCGGACCCACAGCCCCACCACGTCTGGCCAGTCCCGTCGTGCCCTTCCGACCAAACTGCCTCATGGGACAGCCGTGGCCCAGGCCACTAGTTATTGAGGAGCTGATTTAAAAGGATCCTAGGACCCCCAGGAAGCGTCACACATCCATATTTGGATCTCGTTTCCCTCGGAGCAGACCCCACTTGAACCTGGTCTGTGTCTCTCCGGCCACTTAAACCCATGCCCTCTGGACTCACCAGGCCCCTCAGCTCCCACCTTTCTTCCTGAATCGTCCTCCTGCGGCTGCTGAGAGCACCGCTTCCCCGCGCCCCCCTCCAGGGGCGCCCCCCACGCCCTGGCCGCTCCCCCGGGGCTCCCTGCCTTCTCCTGCCTTCTTCCAGCCTGTTTTTCCCTTGCCTGCTTTAAAAACAAGGAAAAGGAAGCAGAAGCACCGAACAGCAGGAAGCCCCCCGTCGCGCTCTCCTGGCCTCATTCCTCCCTGTTGCGGGGGCCTCGCTCTCAGGATTTCCCACCTGACTCACGGGGCCTTCTCTCAGCTGCTGCCATTGTTCCTTAGGATTTTAAAACCTGGAGAAGAGCCTTCCAACACCCCGGCCCTGGAGTTCCAACCTACGTGGGCCACGCTCTCCTGAAAGCAACCCCATCTCTACTCCTCACCCCCCTGACGAGAGCATTTCCTCCGGAAACCCAGCTCCCCGTTGTCCCCGTCTAACACCTGCAGGCCTCCGATCCACCGTGGCCGCAACCCCTGTGTCCAGCGTGGCCCCGCGCCCGTACTTAACGCAGCTTGGGCCCCGTGATCCATTAGGGACACTTCATTCACCCCTCTTACCCTCCCTGTGCTTGTCTACAAGTCCCGTCCCACTTCACCTGTGCTTACTCTGTGCCCGAACCCTGCTGGTTGGCCTTTAAAGTCAGGACCTCTAACCTCAAGCAAGCCCTTAACCCTTTTTGGCTGTATTTTCCCGGTTTATCGACTTGATCACTTTGCTGCAGGCCCTCTCCACCGAGCCTTCCTTTCCCCTGAAAGCTCTAACACCTCCCTTGTTTGGCCCCCTTCCTTACGAAGACTGTCGGTTGCGCTGTTAAAATAGCGCTCGCTCTGTCCCCGCCGCCTCTCCCTTAACAAGGCCTCACCGCGGCCGACTCGGCCGCTCCACAGCTTCCTCTTCGCTCCGCGCCTCTGCGGCTGACCCCTTTCGCTCCCTGCGCCCCCCGGTTCCTGAGGCGCTGGCGGGCCGGGGCTGCCCCTGTAGGTTGACGCGCCCCCTGAGTCACAGCGTCATGCCTGCTGCTTAGTGTTTTTGCTGAAGGGACGTGATTGTGGGGAACTCAAATGGTAACTTGCAAACAGTTCATTCAGGGAACTCATTCCATGTTTTAATGCTGTCATTCTGCTTTATGATTTATTTTAGACCCCTTAGCGTACAAAACTCCTAGTTCTAAGACAGGCAAGAGGACGAAGCGCATCGTTGCCGTGGCACAGTCTAACCTGACCTTCATAAAGCCGCTGAAAACAGGCAAGTGTGACCGTCTCTGCTGCCCCTGAAAAGCTGCCGTTGGGTGAAGCCGTAGTTGTGTTCCGGGCAGAAAGGAACGGAAGTTTTTGTGGAACAGGAGCCCTGAGGGGCTGTTACAGTCTGTATTTGCACAGCAGTTAGGATGTGTTTCCTGACCTGCATGAAACGGACTCTCTGTGACGTGGGATTTTTGAATAACCAGGAGGCGCTGCCTTACTTTCCTTTTTCACTTGTTTGTTTGTTCCGTTTAAAAACAGCAGCCTGGCTTTTTATTGTGCTTTTTCCCGTCACCGCTACCCCCGGCCCGCTCGTCCCTCTCCCCCCGACCCCCCTGCGCCGGCCCCGCAGTCGCCGCACTGTTACCTCGGCCGCGAGTCCTCCTCCTTTCTCGCTGGGTCCCTTTCCGCCTGGATTGCATTTCCTACCCCGAAGTGCTGCCCACTATTTGCAGCAGGTACCGGAGAGGGAAGTATTATTGAGCGCCCTGCCAGTGAAAGTGGTCTTTTGCTATAAGTTGTGTAATAACTTAAAGGAACATTTCTTATGCAATAACTTAATTGTGTCCTTAGACATCCCTAGACACCCAATGCCGTTTGCCGCGAAAAACATGTTTTACGATGAGCGCTGGAAGGAGAAGCAGCAACAAGGGTTCACGTGGTGGCTGAACTTCCTGTTAACCCCCGACGACCTCACTGTGAAGACAAGCGTCTCTGAAGGTGGGTGTCCCGTCCATGCTGGAGCTAGATAATACCCTTGTTTTGACAAATAGGGTGTGACACGAATTTTTCCTTTTTTAATTGCACATATTTTATTATAGTTAATGGCATGGTTCACTAATTTATTGACATAAATGCTAAAGATTGTGTTGGTGAGAATGTTTAGGGAATTCCCGACTGAACCCCCCGAGCTTTACGTTTTCTTCTCACTTTTCATTCACACTCATCAGCCAGAGCCATTTCCAGAGGAATCATTTCAGTGCCGATTCGGCCTGAGTTGCAGGGAAACATGGCTGCCAAGAAGTCCAGTTCAGAGTTATCTGCATCGACCAAGCGTCGCGTCCTGCAGAATAGATTTGTCGTGTGTGGCCTTATCCTTTAGGCACCTTGTCTCCACCTTCTCTTCTTCTTCTTCTCCCAAGCACCTTAGTTCAGACCTTTGTAGGCGAGCGACAGAATCCTGGGGGCTCTGAAACCAGGGGCCGAAGGGCGGCTTTCAAACACCCCGGGGTTTGTCCTGGAGAAGGCTCGTGCGGGAAGAGGGAAGCCCGCTGTCCTGCACACGCTGGGGCTTCCTCCGGAAAGGGGACGAAGCTGAGCTCTGCCGCCTCCCCGAGAAGTGACGGGTCCACCCATTTGTGCTTTTGTCTTCACCCAGTGAACGCCGCTGCGCTGCTCCTGGGGGCGGAGAGTCAGCACAAGCAGAGTGTCCCCAGAGCCCCCACCAAGGACGAGATGTCTCTCCGAGCTTACACGGCCCGGTGCCGCTTGAACAGGTTGCGTCGTGCTGCGTGCCGCCTGTTCACTTCCGAAAAGATGGTGAAAGCTATCAAAAGGCTGGAGATGGAAATCGAAGCCCGGCGGCTGGTTGTTCGCACAGACAGACACCTCTGGAAAGACGTGGGTGAGAAGACTGTACAAGTGTTGTGGTTCTTTCTTTAAAAACACAGAGATTTTGTTTTAGAGTTAAAGGCTTTGTGGCCTACAGGCTCACATTTTTAAATATCGTATCTATTTGAGTGGAAGTGTAGTTTACTTAGCTTGACTTATTTCATATAAGTGATTATCCTTTTTTCCTACTGATTTCTCTCTGTGAAATTTGGTTTGTCGTGGCCTGATTTTTCTTGCTTTTTACCTGCGTCACAGGAGAGCGGCAGAAGGTTCTGGATTGGCTGCTGTCTTACAACCCTTTGTGGCTTCGAATCGGTCTCGAGGTAAGTGGGCCTTTCAGCTGTTAGAAAAAGACTACATTTTTAATAAATATGGCTTCCCTTATGAAGTCACTTGGTCAGCTTAATGGATCTTTCAGTTTTAAATGAAAGGCCCTTTAATCAACGCTTATTACGTAAAGTAGACCGTGCCAATGTATTACTGCCATTTAATTTTATAGCAATTTTTTTGTTTGTTTTTTAAATATACATATAAATCGGTACTAGGTATGATATCAAGTGGAGTAAGCTCCTTTTTCAGCACCTACAAATGCCAAAGTAAGTTTTCTTAAGAGATATTTTCTAACTCAAACTTTTGTGACAGCCACTGAGGTACGTGCTGTGTTCCCCACTTCACAGATGGGACAGACGCTCAGGTGAACGGTGACCAGGCCGGTGCCATTGTAATTGTGTGGGACTCTGCTCACAAAAATGTCACCAGAACTGGGGGTTTTCCTGTGGTTCATGGCTCAATAATATTTAGCATGTTAAAATGAATTAAGTTAGAAAGACATTAGTAGTTGACTGTTAGAAAAAAGTATGCCTTTATTAAAGATATCCACTGTCTTTTACTGGCATACTTTTGTATTTTTTTTGGCTTTTTACCTGTGTCACGTGGGATACCCTGTTCTTCAGCTTATTGCAGGTTTTGGTATAGAACAATCTTTGGGTCTGAAAGGAATCTTTCAATAATAGTCCGACTTTTATTTATCAAGAAATTGAGGCCTAGAGAGAGCAAACAGTAAGCCCATTAATGTCCCATAAGTTGATAGTGTCCTTGCTAAGATTTCCTATTTTAAGCCTTATTTTAATTGAATTGAAATTCGGTTCGGTTTCTTATCTCTTCAGTGGAAGGTTAGTGAGAACAGTCTCGGGCCACACGGCTCCGGAGCCTCAGCGCCGCAGAAAAGGGAGGCTTAGGAAGACTCCCGGGGCCGTGTAGCGCCTGTGCTTTGGGGGAGCCGTCTCCTCCACACCCCGCGCCCGCCCCGCCCCGCCGGCCAGCCAGAGGCCAGGAGGCAGGGCTGCCTGTCCGCCCACAAGAGGCGCCCGGGTCTGTGGCCGTCGGTGGGACGTCTGAGCCCATGCAGGGAGGGCCGGGAGGGCCGAGGGACTGTGAACAAAACGCTGTATCGGGCCCCCGCACCTTGGGGTCCTGTTAGCGGGCGTGACCTTGGCGGAGCTGAAGGAAGCATCGAAGGCCAAAATGTGTGAGCCGGCAAGTGTTAACGCTTTCCCATGCTTTCGTCCCTGTGTCTTGTCAGTGTCAGGTGAGAGAAAATAATTTGATTTTTTTGTTTTTTTTCCTAATTGCTTTCAAAATCATAACACAACGGTGTTAAATTGATTTCATATTTGAATCATTCATTATAAACAGATCTGTACTTCTCAGACTATTACCGTAGGTGATTTACAGGTGGCTTTTAACGTATCTATTGGAAAATGGGGCATAGTTAGGTGTCTGTTTTATCTTCAGGATATACTTAGTGGGACAGTTATAATTTAATTTGAACATGTCTACATTTGAGAGTTGTTTGACTTTAAGAAAAATTAAAACACCACTATTGCCTGTCAGTGGGTTTTGAAGAATGATCTGAGTCCTAAGCTTCTGTCTTTTCCATTGTGAGGTATATACCGCACACACTAAAAGATGCGCAGAACGTGTGCGTCCAGCTGGAAGAGGTTACGTGGCCGGTACCCACGTCCCGCCCTGCTGCTGAGGAGGCCGTTACCGGCCCTGAGAAGACTGCCGTCCGCCTTCCCGTGGCGCCCTTTGCTTCTCAGAGACAACCCGGTCCTGACTTCAGCTTTCGTTTCCCTCCAGACAGTTTTTGGAGAACTCCTGGCTCTGGAAGACAACAGCGACGTCGTGGGGATGGCCATGTTCATTCTGAACCGCCTGCTGTGGAATCCTGACATAGCCGCTGAGTACAGACACCCCTCTGTCCCTCACCTGTACCGAGACGGTAAGCAGCTCTGCCTCCGCCGCGCTCTCTGCCCCGAGCGTGGAAACGGCTTCTCCTCCTCCTCCCTCTGCGTGCATTCACCTGCCTGAGAGACCAATGTAAAGAGGATCCTCTTTCCACTACCTTCTCCTCCTCCTCCCCCGCAGTCCCCACCATTTCCACCCGAAATTATTTCCACCCGTCTGTTGCCTCTCCCCACCACGTGCCTCCGTGGGCTGTAGCCCTAGGAGATGGTGTTCGCTTTAGCTGTAATGCTGCGTGTGGCGCCTGGGGTGGTGCCTGCCTGTCGAGGCGCTCGCTAAGGAATGGCTGAGGGGGATGAACCGAATCCCCTGGTGCGTCTGTGCCTCCCTTCCTCCGGCCCGGACTGGACATACGCCCAGTGCCTGCCCCGCGGCTCTGTCGTGTTAGACGAATCCAGCCTCGAAGCACAAAGGAGGGCACGTGGTGTTCTGTGTGCTCCTCTTGCGTTCTTTACAAGCACAGTCCTATCACCATATCTTAAGGCGAAACTAGCCAGTGACTTGCTATGCTTTTTTGTATTCTCTTCAAGGTCATGAAGAAGCTTTGTCTAAGTTTACATTGAAAAAGTTATTGTTGTTGGTTTGTTTCCTTGATTATGCCAAAATCTCCAGACTTATTGATCATGATCCTTGTCTCTTCTGCAAAGATGCTGAATTCAAGGTACCGTGTTCATTTTCTATTTTATGCTGTGTATTTCACATTCAGGACTTTTGCTTGCTCTTACTGTTCGTACAGGGTCCGGCAGAATTCCGTAAGGCCTGCTTGAGTGTGGTGGGTAGGGTACTAATGTGGGTGTAATAATTTATAGTTTTAATTTGAACATTCCACCTAAAATGTCATGAGGTGTGTTTGCATGTGAAATTGTTATCGTACAGAATTACATGCCTGTGGTTTTGTAATAAAAGATTTAGTAATAAAAAGGGAGCATCGTTCATGCTGGACCCTGTATCTCTGTCTTTAGAGGAAGCCAGTTTCTGGAGGGGCGGTGCCCTGTGGGGCAGGGGCTTGTCCAGCAAGTCCTTCCAGGGGCTCCGTGCTGCTCCGGCCTGATGCCCTGCGCCTCGCTTTAAGGATGAACCGGCTGTGCTTCTGAGGAATCGGGTTGCGGGGGATTTTCTGTCCTGATCTAGTGTATTAGCAAATCAGTGCTAATTTGTAGAGTGCGTTATTAATTAGAGCAAATTTTTATAAGGTGAACAGGTACAGGATGATTTAAAGGATACTTTTTTTGGCCAAGAAGATGATACTGTTGGAACATAATTCCTGCGACTGACCCCTTTCTCCGCAGGCTAGTAAAGGCCTTCTCCTGGCCTTTTCCCGAGACTTCCTGAGCGGTGAAGGCGACCTTTCCCGCCACCTGAGCCTGTTGGGGTTGCCGGTCACCCATGTTCAGACGCCATTTGATGAATTTGATTTTGCTGTCACTAATCTTGCCGTAGATTTGCAGTGCGGGGTGCGTCTTGTGTAAGTATAAGAAACAGAATTGTTTTACTTAGGGATAGACTAAAATTTTCTGGAAAACATTTTTTTTTTTTTTTTTTTTTGTATTTACATCTCTCTCTCGCTATGTCATGTAATGGAATGAATTTAGGGTTATAGCATTGGAATAGATATCTGCTACGCTTCTGGAAAATGGTGTCAATTTTGGGCCCCGACACCCTGCCTCCTGTGCCCAGCGGTGTCCCTGCCCACATGGGAGTAGGGTGTGTCCCCTTGCGCCCGTGTATGTGTCCTGTTTTGCTTTCTCACCTGCTCACTGACCTCCACCCCCTGGGCCTACTGTGACAAATGGCCGTGCTTGCTGACTGAGGATCAGCGCAGATTTGGTAGGGTTTTAGAGTCTTTCTGACCTAGCGCTCCCTGAACTGGGGGGGTTTATGCGGGTGATAACTATATTTAAGTGAAGTTTATTCTTCTTGTACGTGGCTACGTAACCATTTCATCCGAAAATCCCTTTCCTGTGTGTCAGGCGAGTCGTGGAGCTGCTCACGCGGAACTGGGGCCTCTCGGAGAGACTCCGAGTTCCCGCCATAAGTCGTCTTCAGAAGATGCACAACGTGGACCTCGCCCTTCAGGCCCTCAGGGCCCGAGGAATTCAGCTGCAGGACGACCACGGTACACGCGAGTCGGACCTTGTCCCCTCCCTGGGCGGCCCGGGTGCCGGCCTCGTGCTGAGGAGCTCTTTTCCTTTGCAGGGAACGCGATCCTGTCCAAGGACATTGTGGACAGGCACAGGGAGAAAACTCTGGCATTGCTTTGGAAAATAGCATTGGCTTTCCAGGTATTGGACATTTAGTACATTTTGTACTTGTTACCAATTTGTCGAATAAAGACTAACAATAACAACTCTTACTTACTAGACGTTACTTTGAGCTGTGGTGAGCGCTTTATATTTATTCCAGTTTAAACTTCAGCACCCCCCACCCCTCTAAGGTGGGTGTTGTCACTACCGCACAGGTGAGGGACCTGAAGGGACAGGTCGCACCAGGGGCAGGAGATGGAGCCGAGGGTGGATCCCAGGCTCGTGTGGCCTGGGGTCCCAGGGCCTCCCCCGGCGCACATCCCCTCACTTCCATGCAGACGTGTTTGCCTTAAAAAGAAATAAGACTTTCATGTTTGTGGCTCCAAAATAACATATCAAAAGATATGTAATCTTCTTGCAGGGCAGAGATATTTATTCTTTTTTTGTGTTGCAGGTGGACATTTCTCTTAACTTAGATCAGTTGAAAGAAGAAATCGACTTCTTAAGACGCACGTGGCACCTGAAGAACACGGCGTCCACGGGCTCCTGCTGCCGCCCCGCTGCCGGCAGCGCGCAGGCCGGCCCCAGGCCGCGGGCACCCGCCGCCCAGCACGGCGAGAGCGTCGCGCTGCTGATGGAGTGGGTGAGCGCCGTCTGCGCCTTCTACAGCAAGAGGGTGAGTGCCTCCGCCCGGTTCAGCGCGGGTTTCACTAAGCCTTGGTTAAAGTCAGCTACTCTCAATGCATCAGTTCCACTTGGCATTTCTTAAAGGACTGCGTGTTCATGTGTAAGCGGACTTTTCCCCAGTGAGCGAAGGCATCGTCACAGACCGATGCCACCGCTGGATAAGTTGTGCTTATTTTATGTGTCACTAAGAAAGGAAAACGCCCCTGTTGTGGGAATTAGCAGGACGCGCGTGCATAGAACTGGGGCACCGAAGGACCTCCCCTTGCGGTAAAGGTAGATGCAGAAAAGCCCCCAGCAGAGCGGGGCAGCAGAGCGCCTCGGCTCTAGGGAGGGGGCGAGGAGGGGAAGTCCAAGCTGTATCATGACATGCACCGTGAGTGTGAGTACCTGGGAAAGCGTTGTGCTGACACACGCGAAAAAGGTACCCGGTAAGGAAAATAACGTGTGAAAACTGGTACGGAGTGCGCGTGACTAAATACGGTGAACTCCTGTGCCCCGAGCCAGTGTGGTTGGAGAAACTGTGAGCTGTAAGGATGACCTGGAGGCCGCTGAAGGCTCTGGGGGATACTGCGCTCGCCGCCTTCCTCTGGACCCCCGGCGCGGCTGGCCATCCTCCGCTCGCAGACGTGTCCCTGCCTCTGCCCCCATCCTCGCGAGGCCTCCTCTCTGTGGGCCCGTCTCTGCGTCTCTCTCCTTTGCTTATAAGGAGGCCCCCTGTATCCAAAATCCACCCTACTCCAGTGTCAGCTCACCTTCCTCAAATCAGCAGTGAACCTCTGTCTGAATAGTGTCATATCCCGAGATTCTGGGAAGGACATGAGTTTCTGACAAACACACTCCAACCCAGCACAATTGTTTAATCGAATTCTGTTTGGAAGAGTTAATGATTTACAATTGAGAATTGAGCTATGACACTCGGTGGTAAGAGTAGTTAATGTGAAATTCTTAGCTATTAAAAGGAAATGGGGACCACAAAACCACGCGTTTCTCTGTTGCTCCATAAACACATCTATTTCCTTTCCTGGCCTTTCCCACCAGGTGGAGAATTTTACGGTGTCCTTCTCAGACGGCCGCGTGCTGTGCTACCTGATTCACCACTATCATCCTTGCTATGTGCCTTTTGAGGCCATCTCTCAGCGGACCACCCAGACCGTGGAGTGCACGCAGACAGGCTCGGTGGTCTTGAACTCGTCATCCGAGTCTGAGGAGAGCTGCCTGGATGTGTCTCTCAAAGCGCTCGAGCACGGTCAGTCCCTCTAGATCGGTCAGCATTTCAAACTTCAGCGTTGCTGTGTCTGGTTTTCGGCCAGAGCCGTCTGAGCTCTCTCTCTTCCTTGCATAACAGAAGACACTTCCGAACTGCACAGAGAGCTCCTAGAGAACGAGAGGAAGAACTTCCAGCTGGTGAGGGCAGCAGTTCGAGACCTCGGTGGCATCCCCGCTATGATTCACCATTCCGACATGTCCAACACGATTCCAGACGAAAAGGTGCGCAAAGCGGGGCTTCTTCGGTGGCCGCGGAGGCAGAAGCGTCTCAGGACGGCAGTGGGATAGTCTGTGTGGCTCTTCTGTTTCCGCCTTTTGTTTCCTGTAGGTGGTCATCACCTTCCTGTCGTTTCTCTGCGCGAGGCTCTTGGATCTCCGCAAAGAAGCCAGAGCGGCTCGGCTTATCCAGATGGCGTGGAGAAAGTATAAACTGCAGTCAGACCTGAGGCGCCATCAGGTACCCCTGAAACGTTCAGGCGGGACGCAGACCCGCTGTTGGCCTGCCGCCTGCCTGACTCTTGATGTGGTTTTTATATTTTACCGATGCTGGAAATAACTGAGGAAACTTCCATAATCGTGTGGGCTTTACGTCAGGGACGGCGGTCTCGGTGGCCTGATCCCCGTTGTTTCCTTTGTTGGCTGCATCTGGCCGCGCGTCCGCTCAGTCCGCTGCGGGGGAGAGGGAGGACTCACGGCTGTGTAAGCCTGGGAGAGTGGACTGGGGGCGCCCGCCCCGGCACCGCCCCGGCACCGCCCCTTCCTCCTCGGTCAGGAGTTCTAGGAAACAGATAGCCGTCGGAATGTTTGGGTTTTTTTGAAAGAATGAAACCTGCTTTCTTGTCCTCAGACTTTTTTTTTCCCCCCAAGCTAATCCGATATTAACTGCAGAGGTTTCTTAGCTTTTTTGCTGGTGAGATTTCTTTTCTTGGTTTGTGTCTGTGGTCCAAGCAGTAGAAGCTTCCCCTTCACGAAGACCATGACTTCTCTCCTTCCTGCAGGGGCCACGCTCCTTTGCCATGCAGTCACACCGTGACACCGGTTACACGTGTCATCTGTGACTGGGAACACTAAGCAGCAGGTCCCTGTGTGTTCTCGTGGGAACACGGCAGGCCAGCGAGCGCAGGAGCATCGCCCCGAGGCCGCCGTTGCCTGGGCTCGGCCCTTTGCTTTCCTGCCACGGCAGTGATTCACGTGAACTCTCTGCCGAGACAGATCAGCTCTCGGCGGCAAGGAAGCCTTGGCAAACGGCCGGAGTTACCTGATGGATGACACAGGGTTTGCACAGGGTCCCGCCTCTCAGGTCTCCCTGTTAGTGGACGGGCGCAGACTCTGAAGCAAAGAAAACCCTTGTACTTGGCCTGCATACAAGCAAAAGAGAAATAGGTCGGTAGCACATTGGCTCAGCAACAGCGCAGGATTAACCGCGATGGCACGCAGTCCCACAGGGAGGAGAGGCAGTGACTGCAGCCGGGGCCCGGGTCGCCGGCTCGTGCCATCGGCCTTGGGAGGAGATCCGTCCGCTCTCCCGCCCCCGCCCCCGCCCCGGAGCGCCCTGCCCGCCCCGGCCGGTGGTGTCCTGGGGGTTTGCTGGAGGCCGAGGGGCGCTCCACACAGAGGGCACTTCCAGAGTCCTCCGCCGGGTGGACCCGGGGCGCCCGGCCCTGAGAGTTTGACCGCAGGGCCGCTTTTGACCTGCGTCATATTTTTTCTAAGCCGGTCGGTGGCCGCTGTTATTTTCACCTGAATTTCCTTGGTAATTATGGTAAAGAACACACACCATGAAATTGGCCGTCTGACTTGTTTTTAAGCGCCCCGTTGAGGAGCTTCACAGGGGCGCCGGCCGTGCTGTGAGGGGCTTACTCATCTGTCGGACATAATTCCCCAGCCTGACAGTAGGACCGGCTGGTCGTCTTCTCACTCAGCGAATGAGCCAGTGTGTGACCATCACTCTGTGGACGTGTTTCAATCCGTGAACTACCGTTTGCCTTTGTAAGAGTAGCAGCTCGATCCCTTCCGTAGATGGCTGTGTTTTCAGACTGTGACGATACCAAAAACTGATTATGGCGAGGTGACAATTAGACTCTGTGCCCAGTTCCGTGTTGAGCCCGCCCTTGCATGGGGGGCTGTCCCCGGCGGTAGCAGGGAGGGGCATCAGACTTGCAGTGAGTTCTGGGGGAGGGGCGGTTATTTCCAGGATCAATTTGATTAATGTTTAACAGATGATTTTTTTTTTTTTTTTTTTTTTTACAAATAGTAATTTAGGGTCTCAAGTGACTGTTTAATTTTGTTTTTAGGAAAGAGACAAAGCTGCAAGAATAATCCAATCAGCTATAATCAATTTTCTAGCTAAACAACGACTGAAAAAGGAAGCCAACGCAGCACTGGTCATTCAAAAACACTGGCGAAGATTCTTACAACAGAGAAAATTATTGATGTTAAAAAGGGAAAAGCTAGAAAAAATTCGAAATAAATCAGCACTTGTTATTCAGGTATAGTGTCTTGGGATTTTTGAATTTGAAAATTTTTAATCACATTTTAAGGAAGAAAGTGAAATATGCTAAAGTTTTACATTATTATAGTTTAGATTTCTACATTTTTATCTAGCACTTAGTTCTAGCAAATATTTTGGGAGAGCATTTGCGATCTTGCTGCTAGTGTATGTCATTGGTTTGACTCAAATTGTTAGAAAAATGCCCCCCCCAAAAAAGCAAATACTCAGTACTGCGCCCCCCGCCTCCCGCCCCCGGTGAAACTCTGCTGCGTTCAGCATAAGGCTCAGACACACGGAAGTGCCCGCTCTACCTCGAAGGAGCCAACCATCTGCCTCCTTCGCCTTTGCTGTTTGCTCTGGGAGAGGTTTTCTGCTCCCGCTCAGCCGGCCGTGCTGCTCTGCGCCCGGACGCGACCAGGGTCGGTTTTGTGGCTTCGCTGCGAACCTGGAAACTTTTCTCTCTGCGATAAATGTGCACGTTTCCTCTCTAGCCCGCTTAGATGGCACGCAATGAAAATACCGCTTATAATTGGTCTGTAGCAGGCTTATGCTACTTTTCTAGTTAAAAAAAAAAATCTTTAACATGTTTACTTTATATCGTAGACATTGCTTACATCTATACGTTAGTTTTTGATGCTCCCGTAGATCCTGTTGCGATCGCATCAGAGAGCTGCGTCATTGACAGCGGCCCTGTGTGAGTGCCATTGGCCGTGTGACGGTCCACGCTTCTGCTGGCGAGGGACGGCCAAGCTTCCTCCCCCGGGCGCTGCACCGCTCCTAAGGGACAGTTGGTCACTTCTCACGTCTTTTCAGAATTCTGCTTTTTGACCATGTATCTATAAGTTCTAAACTTGGAAAAAGGAAGTAATTTTAACGCTAATGAAAATAATGCCTCTGAGAGTGATCGGGGTCCCTTATTTTTCAAATTCCTGTGTCGATACCATCAGGCCTGTGTTGTAGCGACAGCATAGGACTCCTCCCCCAAACGGTTTCCAGCCATTACAGGACAGATTGGCAGCCTCAGCAGAGGGGGCAACGTAGGACGCAGAGGTACACTGGTACGGAATTGCTTAGAATCAATTAACAGATAGCAGAATATTATGATAGCTTTATTTTGTCTCTTCTAATATGTTATTCTAACATAACCTCAACTTGCTGATACTCCTTAAGTCACTGGAATACAAATGTAATATACATATTAGGGTTGAGACAAAGATTTCTGGATTGGCGATAGCTGTAGCAATGCAGAAGCAAAACCACAAACAGAAGAGATAAATATGTTTTTCAAAAATACATTGTTTTTTTAATTTAATGTATTTTTAAGCAAAATGTTTAAACAATTAGTACATTCAAATGTGTTACGTATACAAAGTTATGTCTCCTTGTGTTCTTTCTTACCTCTTGCAGAAATATTGGAGAAGGTATTCCACTAGAAAAAAATTTCTGAAATTGAAAAATTATTCAATCATCCTGCAGTCTAGGATAAGAATGAAAATTGCCGTTGCTTCTTATAAGCGCTACGTTTGGGCTGCCATTACAATACAGAGGCATTGGCGTGCTTGGGTAAGAAGAAAACGGGATCAGCAGAGATATAAGATGCTCAGATCTTCGTGCCTTATAATCCAGTCTACATTCAGAAGATGGAAGCACCGTAAGAGGCAATTAGAAATGAAAGCGGCAATAACATTGCAGAGGGCCTTTAGAGGATGGCGTGCCAGAAAACGAGCCAGAGAAGAAAAATCTGCAACTGTCATACAGTCCTGGTATAGAAGGCATAGAGAACTGCGGAGGTACTTTCATACTAGATCTTGTGTTGTTACCATTCAGACAAGATTTCGGTGCTTTCAAGCCCAGAAATTGTATCAAAGGAAAAGGGAGGCCATTGTGACCATCCAGAGGCACTGGCGCGCACACGTGGAGGGAAAGGTGGCGCGTGCTCACTACCTGCAGAAACGGGCCGCGGCCGTGCGCATCCAGGCTGCGTTCAGGGCGGCGCGGGCCCGGAAGCTGCACAGACAGAGTGCGGCTGCCTGTGTGCTCCAGTCGTACTGGAGGACGAGCCGGGAGCGGCTGCGGTTCCTAGCCCTTAGGAAGATGATCATCACGTTGCAGGCACACATAAGAAGGCATCAGCAGTTACGGAAGTACAAGAAGATGCAGAAAGCTGCCCTCGTCATTCAGACTCATTTCCGAGCACACGTGGCAGCCAGGACAGCTCTGGCGTCCTACCAGAGGACGCGCGCCGCTGTGATTGTCCTGCAGGCTGCATGGAGGGCGAGGCGAGCCAGGAAGACCGTGCATCACGCCCTCACCTGTGTCATAAGGATCCAGACGTGTTATCGAGCTTCTGTCTGCAGAAGGAATTTCCTGAGCCTAAAGCGTGCCACAGTGAAGTTACAATCAATTGTCCGGATGCAACAAGCTCGTAGACAGCACCTGCGGTTGAGGGCGGCCGCACTGTTCGTCCAGCAGAGGTACCGGTTCCTAAGGTGGGCCGCACACCGGCAAGAGGAGCAGAGGCGGGTGCTGGAGGGCTGTGTCAGGCTGCAGGCCTGGGCTCGCGGGCACATGGTCCGGCGCCAGGTGCGGCTGCAGAGGATGGCGGCCACTGCGTTGCAGGCCCACTTCAGGATGAGGATGGCGCGGCGGCGCTACCTGAGTGCGCGCCGAGCGGCGATTGTCATTCAGCGGTGCTACCGTGCGCACCGAGCCCTGCGCCAGCGGCAGGAGGCGCTGCGAGTGCAGAGGGCCGCCACCTGCCTGCAGGCGGCCTTCCGAGGCCACCGGGACCGGAGGAACTACCGGCGCGTGCTACAGTCTGCCGTCCACATTCAGAGGTGGTTCAGGGCGAGCCGCGCCATGCGCGGTCTCCGGACTCAGTTTCTAAAGACACAGGCGGCAGCGCTTGCTCTCCAGGCTGCGTACCGCGGCTGGCAAGTCCGGGAGCAGATCAGGAGGGAGCGCCGGGCGGCTGTGGCGATTCAGGCAGCCTTCAGAAGGGCCTGGGCCCAGCGGCAGTTTCGACGGCTGAAAGCTGCCGCACTGGCCGTCCAGCGACATCGCAGAGCGCAGGCCGCCGGCCGGGCGCAGCGCAGGGACTACTTGCGGCTGCGGCACGCGGCGCTGACCCTTCAGGCCGTGTGGAGACGCCGAGCAGCGCGTCGGCAGACCCAGAGGCGGCAGGAGTGCGCTGTCCTCATCCAGGCCTGGTACCGGATGCATGCGCAGCGCAGGAGGTGGGTCGCCATGAGGAAGGCAGCTCGCCTGATTCAGGCGTGGTACCGGGCCCACAGCCAGGGAAGGAGGCAGCAGTTTTCGTACTTGAAGACCAAGGCGGCCGTCCTGGTGTTGCAGTCTGCTTACCGCAGGATGCGAGAGAGAAGGAAGAGCACAGAGGAGCGCGGCAAGGCCGTGGCCACCATACAGGCTGCATACAGAGCTTACAGGGCCAGAAAGCGCCAGGCCGCCCGCAGGGCATCAGCTGTCGCCATTCAGAGGTGGTACCGAAACGTCAAAACTGCAAACCGCCAACGCGAGGAGTATCTTCATTTAAAGACAGCAGCAACCACAATCCAAGCCGTTTATAGAGGTATGAGAATCAGAAGACGTATTCTCCGTATGCACACGGCAGCCACTTTTATTAAAGCCACGTTTAAAATGCATCTGTTGAAAATGAGATACCATAAAATGAGAAGAGCGGCTGTCGTCATCCAAGTCCGGTACAGGGCCTACTGTCGCGGGAAAGCTCAGCGTGCACAGTACTTGGCCGTTCTGAACGCTGTTGTTACCGTCCAGGCACGTTTTCGAGGAGCGAGAGTTAGGCGGACTCTTGGCACGATGCGCTCCGCCGCCGTGGTCATCCAGTCGAGCTACAGAAGGCACAGGGAGCAGGCGTGCTTCCGGAGGCTGCAGGCGGCGGCGAGAACAGTGCAGCGCAAGTACCGGGCCCTGAAGGCCGGGAACGAGCAATTTCAACAGTACGGCCGGCTGAGGCACGCTGTGCTCCGCATTCAGGCCGCCTTCCGGGGGATGAAAGCCAGGAGACGTGTGAAGGCGATGCACCTGGCCGCAGCCCGCATTCAGAGGAGATGGAGGGCTGCAAGGGTGAGAAGGAGGTTCCTCTCCCTCCGGAGAACTGCTGTTTGGGTCCAGAGAAAATACCGTGCCAACGCTCGCACCAAGCGTCACTTGGAGTTTCAGCGCTCGCGAGAGGCGGCGATCACGATCCAATCGTCATTCAGAGGCTGGACAGTCAGGAAAAGGCTGCAAGAGATGCACGTGGCCGCCACAGTCATCCAGGCCGCGTTCAGGATGCACAGAGCGCACATGAGGTACCAGGCCTTAAGACGTGCCGCGGTCCTGATGCAGCGGCGTTACCGGGCGTGCAGGGCTGCAAAGCTGCAAAGAGAAAGGTTCGTCCGGCAGAGGCACTCCGCTGTGGTCATTCAGGCCGCCTTCAGGGGGCTGAGGGCGAGACAGCTCTTCCTGGAAAAGCACAGAGCCGCCCTCCGGATACAAAGCGCGTATAGGATGCACTGGCAGTCTGTTTCCTACCAAAAGGCTCAGTGGGCTGCAAAACTGATACAAGACAAATACAGGGCAAGTAAAAAGAAGGCCCTGGAACCCAGCGCGATCACAGAAGCAGCTGCCCGAGTCCAGGCAGGTTCTGGGGACACGGCCACGGGGAAGGAGGGCCAGGAGCGACATCGGGCTGCCACCATTGTCCAGAAGCACTTCAAAGCCTTCCGAGCAAGGAGGCGTTATCTCCGCATTAGAGCCGCCGTGGTTTCCGTCCAGAGGAGGTACAGAGCGCTCGCTGCAGCGCCCACCCAGGCAGCCCTCCGTCTCCCGGCGTCTCCCGGAGGCTGCGAGGAGCAGAGCGACAGCCGGGGTCGGCACCTGGCCGCGCCCCCCATTCGGTCCTCCTGCAGCCCGCCCAGGGCCCGCGCTGCTCACCATGCGCAGAGAAGCACGGCTGTTGCCACGCGGGGTCCCTGCCAGCCGCATGTCAGAGCAGCAGCAGGGAACAGGCAGTTCTCAGCGGCCCGGACGCCTGCGCCCGCCGCTCAGGCCACATTCCGGGGCCCGGGGGCTGGACTTGAATTGGAAAACATCTGCGAGGAAGAGATGGCGTTCACCGCTGCCTCCCGCCGTGGCACGGCCGAGGCTGGACAGGAAGCCACCCAGAGCTCAGCGGCCGGGCCTGGCCTGTGCCCCGGTGCTTGTCTGGTTGTGGGTCCTTGGGCCACAGGGGGTCACTCTCAAAGCAAGGCTGCGGTGACCGTTCCCAGTGCTTTTCGGACAATGGCCACAGGAACCTGGGACCCACAGCTGTGGGCTGCCCTGAGAATCCAGTCCTTCCTGCGCATGGCTGTGTGTCGGAGGGGGTTTGTCCAGCAGAGGAGGGCCGCGGCCACTCTGCAGCGGTCGTTCCGGGCGTGGCGGACCAGGAGGCAGTTCTTGCTGTGGCGGAAGGCGGTGGTGACCCTGCAGACTCGCCTCCGGGCCTGCCTGGCCGCGAGACATCAACGACGCGTGTACTTACAGATCAGGAGCAGTGCTGTCGTTATTCAAGCCAGGACGAGAGGGTTTCTCCAGAAGCGGAGGTTTCAGAAAATGAAAGAGAGCGCCTTAAAAATTCAGGTATTTAACTACTTAAATATAGAACGTTTTAATATTTAAAAGTTAAGTACTAATTTATTTGACATTGAGCATATATGGAGGTAAACGTCAGTCTTGATTGTCTTGAGTCAAATATATGTTCATCACCATTTTTCCTCCTCTAGCGATCGGAACAGAGCGCCAAAGTCAGGCTGCTTCGCTTCTCCGCGGCTGCGTATCACCACCTGGCTGCTCTCAGAATCCAGAGAGCGTACAGACGGCACGTGGCCCTGAGGAACGCCAAGAATCATCTTAGTTCAGTGATCTGTATTCAGGTTAGCTTCTCCTTTGCAGGGCAACTAGGGGGTATAATTTTTGTTATAAATTTTTGACATTTAATAAGTAACTTCCAAGTACATTATGCTAAGGTTTTATAATGTTTAGCCTTTTGCCGTCAAGCTGTTAGGATGATCTGACGGGTTAGGGAGAGGCTGATGTTTTACAACACAGCAATAGAGCCGTGAGTTACTCTCTGAAGTAATGGTGCCATTTAGCCTCCTGTCATGGCGCCTGAGGGGACCTGTTTCTCTACCTCCTTGCCAACATAGGGCATTAGTAGATTTTCTGATTTTTGCCACTTTATGAATGGCAAATTGTATCTCATTTTTGTTTCGGATGTACATTGTTATCTGTGTGTTGTGTGCTTTTTTAAAACATGGTTTTTTGATATATACTTGGCCCATTTTCTGTTGGGTATTCTTTTTTTATGCTTTATTGGAGTTCTTTATATAACCTGGATATGAATCGTGTTTGTGTATGTTAACCCATTTACACATAAAACAGGGAGTGAAGGCACATATTGCAGAATGATACGTGCAGCGTGATAGAATTTACAGAAATTGTGAAAGGAAGTGTTGGGGTTACATTGCCGCCCTCCAGCGAGGCCTGGAGGCTTGGGGGTGGGGGCGGGGGGGGGCGGTTCCCCGGGAGGAGGGCTGGCTGGTGGTTTCCGTGTCCCAGTAAACGTGAACTGTTCTGTTTCATTAGGTACATGTGTACCTATGCATTTATTTACTTTTAAAAATCTTCATGTTTCAAACAGAGATGGTTTCGAACAAGATCACAGCTAAAGAGGTTGATGCAGATACGTCACAAGGTCATAAACATTAACCGTGAGGTTCAGGAATGGCAGAGGCGGCAGAACCGGGCTGCATCAGTGATCCAGAAAGCTACGCGCCACTTCCTCCGCCGCAGGAGGCAGGAGAAATTTAATAATGGGATCGTTAAAATCCAGGTAACAAACTACTGTGATTTCAGTTCAAGACTTTGGTTGGCAGTTCATTTATATGAAGTCTAATGTTTTGTAAAGAGGCACGTATATTTTAAAACACTGAGATGGTTCAATAGGATGAGTCATAAATACGAAGCCACTACAGCTTCGCTGCTACACCCCTTTTTCACTTTCTCAGATTTCCTGGAGGAAATTTATGTTTGAGAGATGAAAAAGTATATTAGCCGTTTGAAGAGAGGTTAAATATCTTTGGTTATGGAACGAACTTCAGTTTATGTACAGGAATATGAATGTTTTTCTTTTTTGAAAAATTCGTTTAGCTATTTCTTAGAAGCTGAAAAGAGGTTTTAGTTGCAAAGTGCCTGGTCCCATGATATAAATTTAGTGAAAACATTTACTTCGTGGAAATAAATGTAGACACAGCAGTGTGCGTTGCAGTCTTTACATCGCAGTGTTTTGTCTGGAAGGCACTGTGGAGAGGCTACTGTTGGAGGAAGAAGAACGACTGTGCAAAACTGACAGCTGTTCGCAGAAGCCTCCAGATGATCAACGGGGAGATTCGAGAAGAAAACAAACTGTACCAAAGGGCTGCCTTTGCCCTTCACCACCTGCTGACGTACCGGCACCTGTCGGCTGTGCTCGAGGCTCTGAAGCACCTGGGTGAGTCACCGGGTCCCAGCCAGGCCGCCTGAGGCCGCAGGGGTGCGTGGATCGCGGCCGTGCTGGCGGGGAGCTCGCGTTGTCGCTGTGACTCACCCGCTGCCTTTCCCCTTCAGAGGTGGTCACCAGGCTGTCCCCGCTGTGCTGTGAGAGCATGGCCCAGAGCGGAGCTGTCACCAAGGTCTTCGTTCTGATCCGGAGCTGTAACCGCAGCATCCCGTGCATGGAAGTCGTTGGCTACGCCGTGCAGGTCCTGCTCAACGTGGCCAAGGTGGTTTTCCGTTCCGGTCATGGGGTCCTCCCGGGTCCGGAGGTCTGGCTCGGGCAATTGAGTTTTGTTTGCTCATCCCTAGAGCTTAGGTCCCAAATTAAAACTCAGTTCATGTGCAAGAGTCTTGGGGGGGGGGGCGCGCGGAATGTGTAATCTGTTAACGGGACTGCTCAGGAAGCACTGATGCTTTCTGGTTTTATTTCTTCTGTCCTTATAATATTAGTAACAGTGATTACTAGCATTGATTGAGTACTTACTGATTGAGACCTACCTCAAAGGTACTGCATAGTATGATTCATTTTAGTGAGTAGGAATAATTTTTACATAAGTTCCTTAGCTGGCGACTCAAGTGTGTTGAGCGGTGGAACTGATGTTGGATCCTTGTCTCTCTGTTGCTAGACTGGGGTTCTTATCTGTCGCGCCGTCTCAGAATAATAGGGCCTCCCGTGTACACGTCTGGCAAAATGTGATAGAGAGACTTCTGTAACCTAGTCGCCCTGTGTTGCTCTGCCTACTGGCATTGAAGTCTGTTGGGTCTGGCCCGGTAGCAGGTACCTGTACTGACCTGCGACATGTGCAGCCGAAGGCAACGGGGTGGCAGACTTGCCGTCCCCACCCAGCCCCTCAGCCTGTCACCCTGTGTTTTCTTAGCGAGGAGGAGAGGTTAGGGACACAGAGCCTGATGCCACCTGCCCGGGTCTGGGCCCCAGCCCCGCGGCTTTCTCCGAGGCTCCCTGCGGTCACCGGCTGTATCTGGGAAGGGGGTGTGGTGACATCCCTACCTCAGGGTCATTGGAAGGATTAAAAGAGCCCAGAGAACTGGACATGTGGGAGCGCCAAAGAAGCGTTCGCTGTTCATCTTGTTTTGTTATTTCTATCTCCCTGTCATGAGCATTATTTGTCACCATGCGCATGAACGTGATGACACCACCTGAAAACTGAGGCACAAGAGTGTATTTCAGACCCGTTAGTATCCAGTGTGCCCCCTGTCAGCGCAGGTCCCCTGCGGAGGCGCACGGCAGGGCCACCAACCAGGCCTGCCTTTCTCATGGTCCCGCCCTGCGACGAACGCGCACAGGCAGCGCAGGGCGTCTGTGTCCTGAGGGGGCCTCGCTCCGGGCTGGTTTGTATTGACTTCAGGGTGTTCGCTCTCAGAGATTTTAGATTTGATTCATTTTTGTGTGGCATTTTGAAGTAGGTAGGGAAGAGAAAAATTAAAACGCAGATGTGCCTCTAAGATGCATTCAGAATTGATAGCAGTGTCAAAAAGTCCTTCTATTGAGTTTTGCGCTCGCTGCAGTGGTCCAAAAGTTTGGCTCTGAGCATTTATTTATTTATTTATTTATTTATGTAGTTATTTATTTATTTATTGATTGATTCGCGTTGGTCAGGTTGTTCCTAAGACTGTATGTGATTGTCCTGGCTTCTAATCTCACTCTGTTCTCGTCAAGTATGAGAGGACAACCGCCGCCGTTTATGACGCGGAAGCTTGCGTGGACACGCTGCTGGAGCTCCTGCAGATGTACCGAGAAAAGCCTGGTGACAAAGTCGCAGACAAGAGCAGAAGCATTTTCACCAAAACTTGTTGTTTGTTGGCCGTCTTGCTGAAGGCGACAAGCCGGGCCTCCGTAAGTCCCACTCCGTTGGTTTCCGCTGTCAGTGCTGTGGCTCTGGCCGCCGGTTGCAGAGCGGATTTGGGAGGGCCCGAAGGCGGGGGGTGGGGAGGGGTCGGGGAGGGGGGCGGCCAAGAGGCCCGCGTAGGTGCGTAGCGGCCCAGGCGAGAGGCTGTGCTTGGCCGAGGCTGCACAGCTGGCAGCTCAGAAGAGGTAAAGTCGCAAGACTTGGTGACTGAATATAATGGGTGTTGACTTTAATATTTGCCTTTTTACTCTGTATTAAGCATACAGTTTTTTAATATTTGCCTTCTTTATAACTGTCTTACAAATGAGCTTATAATTCAGACCCGTCTAACTTCTGAACTTTGAGAGCTTGGTTTTTGATTGTTAAAAGCTCACAAGTTTACTTCATAGCACTGATTTTTTACAATTGATTTTGGTAGCATAGATGCAATGTAAAGTTTACTTCTTACTAGTTTTAATCACTGTGCCTTTTCTTTTTTAGGATGTTCGAAATAGGTCCAAGGTTGTTGACTGTGTTTATAGTATCTACAAACTCACAGCTCGTAAACATAGGATAAATACCGAAGGAATACCTTACAAACAAAACAGGATTGCTTCTCTAAGCCTTCCCTTCATTCCGGAGACACCTGTACGAACCAGACTGGTTTCAAGGTAAGCAGGAGGCGTGTTCTGTAGTTTTGTGCCACTGTTTGCTCACGCACTCAGCAGGCGTTCACTGAGCAGCTGCTACAAAGAACGCACGGTGTTTGGTGACGGGGAAACAACAGGTGAGCAGGAGGAGAAGCTGCCGAGTCCGAGGGAGGCGGTCTCTGTCGATAACGAAGTGAGAACGCTGTCGCTCAAGAGGGATTTCGGGATCTTTAGTTTTGCCTTTTCTGTGTCGTCACATAAAGGGAATCCGACAGTACGTCACCTTTGTGACCAGCCGCTTTTACTGGGCCTCACCCCGCTGGACGAGAACGCCGCTCCGCGGCCTCCGAGCCTCTTCCCTGGCGTGGACCCGCTGCGCCGGCCCCGGCCCCACACCGCTGGTCGGTGCGCGTGTCTGCAGCGCAGGAGCAGGCTAACCACACGCGGGGGCGGCGGGGGTTTGCAGGGGAGGCTCGCAGGCGCGCCTCACGGGTGGACGCCGTTTTCTTGGGGAAGGACGAGGTCACCCGCGGAGCGGCCGCGCGGGTGTGGGGCGGCGGGCGAGTTTGGGCCCCCGCCAGCGTTCGCGCGACACCACCGGTCCCCGCGCCTCTGCGTTTCCTCCAGCGACAGGCCGCCGCACAGCCATGGAGGCAGTGGGGCTAGGGTTCCCCTCAAAACCCAAGCAGGGCTTCCCGGCTGGCTCAGCAGTAAAGAGGGGTTAGAGCTCCTGGCGGTGCGGAAGGGCTGTGCAGCGTCCTGAGCGGGCCGTCCTGAGCGGGCCGGCGGCGGCTGGGGGCGCGGGGGGCCGGGGGCGGGGGCGGAGTGGGGGCGTGGGGGGCTGCAGGGCTTGGCGCAGCAGGGGAGCGGCAGGGCGCGGCGGGGGGCGCGGCGGGGGGCGCGGGCCGGTGCGGTGCGCAGGCCGCGGTGGCGCCCCTTCTGATGGCGACCAGGGCTCCTTGGCGGCGTGAGCAGGGGCAGGACGAGGTGGAACAGGTGGGAAGAAGGGGCACAGGGCCGGGGAGGTTGTTGGCATTTTGACTATGTGGATGGTGGAGTCACTGGGGACGGGACGGTGACAGGAGACAGAGAAGACCAAGCACCAGGTTTGCGAGGAACGAAGTGCGGGGTTTGGCGAACGGCCAGACGCAGCGGGGCCGCGCAGTGGCCTGCGGCGGGTCCCGGGAGCCGGGGTCCCCGCAGGGAGGGTGGCGTCAGTAACGGAGCCTGCGGTGGGGAAGCGAGGGCCCCGGAGCGGCCGCGTGGTAGTTTAGACGCAAACGCGGCGGCTCGTCCAAGGGAGGACCTGGATGGGTGCGAGACCTCTGCTCTCTCCGCAGGCTGCGGCCAGACTGGGCTCTGAGGCGGGACAGCGTGGGGGAGATCACGGACCCCCTGCAGGCCATTCGGATGGTGATGGACACGCTGGGCGTCCCTCACTAGGGAGGCGGCAGAGCGGATCGTGTGTGAAGCGGCCTGGCTTGCTTTTGTTTTCGTAGAACTAAAATCTGCTTTTGTATTAAAATTTAAAAATACATGTACCAAATAAACTTTTTTTTTTCATGTCATTGTTTCTTTTATTAACAGCTTTATGCACAGAAGAAACTAATGTTCCTAAAATGGTTGTAACACTGTTACTCATGGCTATTTTAAAACATTATGTTAGTTTGAATATCATCCTATTTCTACGGGGAGTAGAATAATTTATTAGCTCTGTCTTGTTGATAAATCGGGGTGTTTTTCTGACACAAATGTTGGAAATTTAAGATTCTGCCAGCTCACAAGCGCTGAGAGGACAAAAGACTCCCAGGGAGGCTGACAGCCCACACCGGCGTCCGTCTCCTTCGCTGCCTGGGCCGGCCCGACCGGCAGGAGCCCGCTGCGGAGGCCAGGCCGAGCGGACCCCACTTCAAAGCGCTGGGGGACCCAGGCGGCCGGGGCGACCACGGCATGGCTCGGAGCGGAGCCTTGGGTCGCGCGCCGCAGCCTCACGTCGTCCCGGTCGGGAGCAAACTGGTTTTCTATGCTTTTGGGTCACGGTTGTTGGCGCTGAACCCATGTGGTTCCTGCACGGCTGTGTGGGATCTGATAGGACCCTAAAGTCTGTCCATCAGTGGAAGCCCCGAAAATTGGTAACGGATAAAGTCAGTAGCTAAAAATGGAGAGACCATGTAACTACTTAATTTACTAATTTTTTTAGAATAAGGATTAGGCCTAATTAGCCTGAAATTGCCTGGAGTTTGGGTAGGATAGATTTAAAAATCATATTGGTGTATTAAAAAGTACATTGAAATTAAACTGGATAAGTTTGGTGTTGCTTGCTTTTTTTTTTTTTCTTCTAATAAAGTGTTTTAGGAACTCTTGGTAGTCAGTATTTTCCAAACACATTTTTTTGTTGATTCTCTGAAGTGCTTTGTTTTCCTCTTTCATTTAACACAATTTTAGCATAGACAATCTCTTTGTAAGTTATACTAAGATGTCAACAACCAGCATAAATTCTTAAAAAAAGTTTTTGTTTTTAGAGATAGGGGAAGAGGGAGAGAAACATCAATGTGTGGTTTCCTCTTGCAGGGATCCTGGCCTACATCCCAGGCATGTGCCCTGACTGGGAATTGAACTGACGACCCTTTGCTTTAACTTTAGTTCGCAGGCCAGCACGGAATCCACTGAGCCACACCAGCCAGGGCAGCTTTGGTATCAATTTCCTCCAGCGTGGGTATCTCCAGTTTGCATTTGCACAGGACATGTTTCTACGAAGTTACACATGCAAGAAGATGACTTGAGCTGTTCAAAGTTTTGATGTTGGGATTCAGACTAAAATCTCAAAATTTTACGTAATAGGCTATTTTTGTTTTTTTAAAAATGTTGTTTACTTTTTGAGAGGAGAAGGAAAGGAGAAAAGGAAAGAAATACCAGTGCGTAGTTGCATCTTGTGTACCCCCTACTGGGGGCCTGGCCTGCAACCCAGGCACATGTCCTGGCTGGGAATCAAACCAGTAACCCTTTGGTTTGCAGGCCAGCGCCCAACCCACTGAGCCACACCAGCTGAGGCTGTAGAGCCCCTTCTTTAAGTGAAGGGTATTTCTCCTAACCTGATGTGCTAAATCCACACCAGGATCCTAAGCCTTCCCAAAAGGTAAAAAGGCCGTGTATTTGGGTGTGTGTGGGTGGCAGGGCTCGATGAGAGGTTTATTGAGCCTGTTCCTGGAGAAGTAGCTATTTTCAACAGTGATCACATTACATTACAGAAGGAGTCTCAATTCATTGGAATCTAATTTTAGGTGAGTTTTTTGATGGTGAAGTTAGGGGAGTCTCAATGGAAGCGGCCTGTTAACTGCAATAACTCAAACTTCCAGCAGATGTCCCCCTGAGCATAGTGTCATTTTAAACTTCGTTTAAATGTACAAATGAATAATATTTCAGAGCTATGATTTTTGCAAATAAAGTACATACACTTACCTGCTTGGATATTTTTATCTATCTATCCCTAATTCAGCTTGTTATTTACTCACACCGTATTTTCGCTCCGTCTCGAAAGGAAGAAATTGACATTGTGCATTCTGTATTTTAAATGGTCAAATTTTTCTCAATGGGTAGGTGCTTTTTTTCTTTTCACGATTTATTATCTCTAGAACTTAAATTACTTGTTATTAGCAATGAAAGCCTAGTATTTTAAAAACATCTACTCATTAAAAAGACGCTTTCTTTTTACGATTGCTTGTTGCTAGTGCTAAGGGTCCTAATAAGCCTGCTTTTAATTTTATATGGTTTAACCAGTCATTGATCCTTGATGTCACAAAAAAGTGGTAGGTAGAGAAGGAGAATTCCGGTAAATAGGCAGGCAAAACCAGACAGGAAATTTCTGGAAAAGAAGACAAGAGGGAGGACGGAACAGACCAGGTGCTTAGTCCGTCCCGTGGCTGGTGTGGCTAGAAGTCCGGCTGAAACCACAGCCAGATGAGGCCTGAAACACAGAATCTGAAAGGAGACCTAAGAGATCCACCGGAGTCTGGCATGTGAGAAAAGTGGAAATTCAGACCAGTGGCAATAAAAAATTATTTATTTGATAACTAATTGGAGCAGCATGATACCTCTGGGGACATATGAGCTGTGTACTTAAGCGACACCCTTCACAAAGGTTTACTTTATATTCATCGATTATAAAGTTAAACCAAAGAAGTACTATTAAAAAACAGGCGATATTTTTGAAAAAACAACTTTGGAGTGATTTTAATGAGAGCAAATCCAAAAATCTTGAAGGAGAAGCTAAATTAACTTGCAAAATCTACCGTAACAAGCTTAAGTGATAAATAGCACTCCAGGAAAAAAAATAACATACAACTCAAAACCACACACCCGTTCTGTCTTCCTTAATATATAAAAAGTTTCTACAAGCCTATAAGAAAAAAACAACAGTTTAACAGAAAAATAAGCCTAGAACATGCACGAAACTAAAAATGCCTTTCAAATCCATGTAAAAGCCTTCACTCTCACTTGCACGAGAAACTGAAGTTACACTGAGATGAGGTTTGTCCTCGCCACATTGCAAACATGACATGTCTGTCAACACTCTCAGGACTGTGGGAGACGCCCCTTGAGTTACTGGGAGAGTTAGTTGGCATGATTCCCATTCCCAAAGTTCAGCACTATTTATCTGTATTATAAATGCACGCTAAATTCTGGGGATTTATTCTCCTCGATATCCGCACGTGCAAAAAGCCGTGTGCTGCACTAGATGTTCCAGCCATTTAAGCACCTTTTTTATCCAACGGCAATGAACTTGATTTGAATTATATATATGTCCATGTACTGGAAGATGACGCTGATCGGAAAAGAAGGAAACCAAGCGTTCACATACTGCCATGGAGCCATCTGCAATACGTACCGGTAATTAGAAAAATGAGTTGGAAGGTGTGGATTTGCTCGCGTGTGCCAGGAAGACGCTTGAGAAAAGCAGAAGGTGCTAAGGACATCATTTGCCTTCAAGAGAGTAGAATGGGGTGGCCGAGGGACAAGTGACAGCAGCTTTTTATTTTATACCCTTTGATGTCTGTACCAGGAAAATAGATTAAAAAAAAAACATTAAAAAATTGGGTTGCTTACCATTGTTCTTACCTGATATAAAAGATTTTTCCAGCCGTGATTTTTGAAAAGCTAAATAACCTGTTTATTTCATTGTATTTCTAGATGCTATATACTTTCTATATTTACTAAAACTAGTAAGTGGCAGTGACTTTGAATTGATTACAAAGTTAGAAATTTAATTTTGATGCCTCTTTATATATTTTACCTCTTAAAAAATGACTTTCTTTGAACCCTGGCTCTACTATTTACTAGTTTTGCGATCTTTGACAAGCCTCTTCACCATCACTACTCTCTAAGGTCACTGCACTGTTTTGAAAAGTACGAGCGCAATAAAAAGGAGTGAAGTACTGGTTCCCACAACAACATGGATAAATCTCAAACGTTACGCTGAGCGAGAGAAGACTTACAAAAATGAGCACTTGCGTGTTTCCACGTTTACGAAGTCCTAGAACGGACAGGCAACGTGGTTGGTGGAGCCACTGGAACTCTGGGTGCCTGTGGGGTAGGGGAGACAGGTCATGCCCGGGAAGGAGCACAGGGGAGAATTTTCAGGGTCCCTGGTAATAGGTAGGGTGTTGAGGTAGGGGGTGTGCGCGGTGTTCAAGATGCAGAGCAGGTATGCTGAAAAAGCTGTGCATTTCTTTGCACATTTCATATCCAAAGAATAAGCTGTAGAAAAGAGTGAGTTGGAGTTAATGATCTATTTGCTTAAGTGTTTAGAGGAGCATTCGCAAATAACTGCAATTTACTTTTAAAAAGCATTAAAAAAAAAAAAAGAATGGATGGATAGAGGGTTACATATGTAATTTAAAAGTCTCAGATGTTCATAACAGAATCCAGGTGACAGAAGCATTCTGGGTCCCGGGACCTGAAGGTCGCACAGCCCGCTGTGGATTCCTGGCTTCGAACAGGAAAGCATTCAAAACGAACCAGCACAGAGTTTCAAGTGACAGAGAGAGTTCAGGAGTGAATCAGCGGGACAGAGGGCGCTCTACTGCCCCGCGGGGCCCCCCTCACCGGGATTTACTTCTTTACTGGGGCTCAGTTAATTGCGGGGCGGGACATTCAATCATTCACTAAGAGGGAGGAAGCTCAGGATTTTTCCAGGAAAGGGGCGGAGTCTTCTCGGAAGAGCCCTGTGGGCCACGCTGTTTCCTTCCACGGGCTTCTGTTTCCTATCCCAGGGGAGGGCGGCTGTTGTTTAGGCAGCTTATGTTTTACCGTGAGTGGCACAGGAGGCGAGGGCAGTGCTTTTCCACCAGCGCGCCGCGGGAACCCCTAAGACATGCAACACCTGCCTGTTTAGCCGGGGGCACGGACCAGTTTCCCCCTAGACCGTCCAATTCAGAAATGACAACAGCCAACACAACGATAGCCGTCCCGTGGGGACGCCGTGTCTTGAACCATGAGTACACAGGTCACAGAATAAGAGCTGCGTCCTGTTGGTGATCTTGCAGAGGACGGTTGCATCTGACCTGTTAATTCTTTGGTGCCAGACACCCTTATATACCAGCATAGGCACTTGATGTTTTTAAAGTCACTTTGGAGCAGAAAGGGTAGATAATTACTGCTATTATTACTTTTTATAAGTCAATTTACCTGACTTCTGTCAGAATTCTACTCACTAGTTTACAGGCGCCGGGAGACGCTGAAGGTGGACCGCCGCCGCGCTCGGGGCTGCGGCGGCGGCGGCCGCCCCCTGCCGGCCCGGCGGGCGTTCTGCGGGCTCCGAGCCTCCCGTCTGTCGCGGGGGGCCTTCCTACCTCCCTGGGCGTCCGTGAGCCCTTTCCCTTTACAGCCGTTTCGCCGCATGCCCTGTTTCTCTGGTGGGGGCGACTGACGATTTTAAAATTTAAAAAAAAAAAAAAATTTCATTGCAAATGAGCAGCGACCATAGGATATCCCTAAACTGGAAGTCCCCTGAATGTCCACGAACAGGCGAGTGAATAGGTAGCCTGTGCCTTAGTAACAGAAAGAAACACCGCACGGCGAAGGAACGAGCCACCACAGCCCGAGAAGCGAGCGGATGGCTCTCACCGACGAAAGGCTAAACAAGAGATGCCAGACGTGTAAAAAACACTGTGTGGTTTCATTTCCGCAGATAAACCAGTGACACCCATCTGTGCTGTTAGAAGTCGAGGCGGCGATTGAGGGCGGGGACTCGGAGGGAAACGCTGTCGTGTGGTCTCTTGGTCTGGCTGCTGGTTTTGCACAAGGTCCGGGGCGGGAACCCGCTGACCCGTGACCCTAGGGGACGCGCGCTTTCCTTTACTGCGCTGTGTTCCTTAAGAAGCGACAAACTTGAAATCATGATCGCTCCCTCCGCACGACCTTATTTTGTGGTTTAAATGAAAACCCATCAGAACGTATCAGCCTGACAGGGGCAGCCATTTTCCTCTGGTTTTTCACTTCTGTCCCCACGCGAGGAGAACACATGACTTGCTGCCCCGTCGGCTCTCAGAACACAGCTCGCAGCGCACCTGCCACTGAATAAACACCAGCTCTCCGGCCTTCGATGGTTCGGTCAATAATATTGTTCTATCATTGCTTAGAGCTACTGAAGTCACTTTTCTCTGCAATCAGTGTGATCGAGACACCACCATATTTTAACAGCTGTTCATTACCTCCTGTTCCCAAGTTCACCTTCGCATTTGATCGACAGCGCCCGGGGTGAACTTTACTCTGCAGGCTTCTAATGGGGAATGTGGGTGAACGTTCACCCCGTGTATTACACAGTCCGGGTTCATTATTTGTCCTGCGGCCCCTGTTGCCTGCGTGTCGGTTGTCACACTCTCCTTGGATTCTGGCATGAGAAGTATTGTCGATGCCCTTAGTTCCGTTGTTTTAGTGTTATTCAAAAACATTTTAGCTGAACCAGTAGGCTTGTTACCAAAAGACTTAGACGGATGTTGTAAATTATTAACTTTTGCTCCCGGAGAGTATTATGTACTTAATGAGGAGCCCCAGGGCTTGCAAATTGTTAAAAATCTTTGTTAAGCGCAACGTTGAAGATGAGGTCGAAAGGCTTTGCTTTTATTATCATATTAATCATCTCAGGAGAGCTCTATGCAGAAGGTAAAATTAATTTTTAATATTCTTTATCCTCTCAAAATTATCCAAGGAAATTCTAACATTCATTTAACTTGAGCTTTTAGTATAGTCTTTTGTTTTTATGTATCAATTTTATGAAAACATACTTCTTATAAGTATAATGTGTTATAATATTTAGATAGACGCTGTTCATTTGGGAAAAACTAGTGAACTATTCTTATAGCAACATAAGTTAGAAAAATGGAACAAGACCGAAAACCCTTTGTATCTCTAGATCGGGGGCCCAGATCAAGATCTCGATATTGTAAAGGGGTGTCAGCCTCACAGTGTGGCCATTTAGAAGTAGTCTGTTAACCTTCATTCTCATGCCATATGATGGTCCATTCCTAGCCCTGCAGAGCTTGGGTAAATTTAATTCTCTGTTCATAAAGTGAAAGCTTAATGTGGGAAATCTGTAAAAGAAAGGGCATAAAGCAGCAGAAAGATGTTGGGCTCTTGAAATTGATTTTCATCCTACTTTATTTACTGACTGAAGTCACTAAGTAGCGGTTGCCAGGAGGACCCTTTATTGATGTTGCCAATGAGGACGTTCTCGAGAGTGGAAGGGGCTCTGCTAAGAGTTCCGCACGACAGCAGTTGTGAATGAGGACTGTTTAGACAAACCAGTGGCTGTCAACTCCGTATCGGTGGGAAATCTTCATTGCCCAACGCCTAGTGCGAGGTTAGCGTGGGAGTGAGGTGCAGCGACTGGCAGGCGGTGTTAGCGGGCTGCAGAGCTGAGAAACCCGGCAGGTAATTCCTTGTCAGCAAGTCTGAGAAGGCCAAGCAGGAAACCCCAGCATCAGACGCTTCTAAAGTAAACACTGCAGGGAATTTGTTGAAATAAAATATCCTAACAGATTATAATTGCTTTCAGTTAAATAGTTTACTATACATTTTCTACCAAAAGAAGAGTCTGCAATTAAAATTATGTAAGTGAAATAAATAGAATACACATATTTTGATATATTTAATTCCACAGTAAGATAGCATTTGCATGAATGGTTTCCTTTGGTTTTATTTTTCTGTCTGGGTCGGGATAGAAAAGCCAGCTGATACAGTTGTCTATTACACATGTCATGAAGGCATTGCAATCTTCCAGCATGTTCTAATTACTACATAGTTACTGTCTGCTTTTGCACACAAAAAAACGTGAGCTGCCGGGAGAGAGAGACCGCGGCCTCACACTCTCACCTCTGCCCTGGCTTTGTGGCCTGAGGCTGAACTTCCTCTGTCCTGGGCTTTGCTGTCCGCACGCTGGTCTGGGCCGCGTGCGGCTGCTGACGTGTGTGGCTGGGCCAAACTGGGGTGTGCTCTCTGTCAAGACGCACAGCCACACAGGTTAAGGAAAAAAAAGAATGAAAAATATTGTTAACATACCGGGCGAATAAAACCTATTAGTGAAATTAACCCCAACTATTCTGTTTATTAACGTGGCTGCCGGCAACGCGCAATCACAGGCGGCTGAGGTGACACTCCAAGTGCAACGCGCTGCGGTGTGAAGTTAGGGACGGTTCCCTTGGAAGCGGCCAGCCCAGTGTCCGCCTGCCTGCTTGTCGGGCGTCGGGGCTGCTTGCAGGTTAAGTCTGGTTGAAAACGATGGTCATAGAAGGACTTCAAAATTTACGTAAGAAAAATAATACCAGGCAACGTGTCTGCAAACGCTTTGAAATGACCCGTCTTGGTGCTCAGCCGCCAAGTTCATGGCTTTAGGTCCATTTTTCGGTTTTCAGCGTGATTCTTTTCTCATTTCAGAGAAGCCCTGTGGTCTTCCTAGTGTGAAAAATGGGAGGATTGCCCCATATTACTATACTTTTGAAAGTTTCTACTTTCCAATGAGTGTAAACCAAAAATTGTCATTTTCCTGCTTGGCGGGCTACACAACGCTCACCGGGAAGCAAGAGGACAGGACAGCATGCACGGCCGAGGGCTGGTCCCCGGAGCCCCGGTGCTTCAGTAAGTCCCCGCCGCGCGGCCACTGGCACCTGCGTCATGCCAGTCCCTGCGGTCGTAAATCTAAGGGGCCCACACGACACAGCAGGTGGTGCGTCCTTTCGGTACGTAGCAGCACAAGGGCTGGCCCGCTGCCTCCCCACCTCCCCACTTCCCCGCCACAAATGAAGGCATGCTCTGAAATTCTGCAAATAATGTTTCTCATTAAAAATGTTACTTTTTACTTGTTGTTAATAAAATCTGTGAAGAAAATAGAAATAGTAACTGAAATGGGCATTCATCACATGGCAAGGAACAGAGACTCAACTGCGTTCCTTTACGTGCTAAGGCAAAACTTGCGCACAGGAAGCTGGGTACGTGCTGATGTGTCAGAGTTGGTTAAGGATGTGTTTTTGTTAAGGACGTTAAAAACCATCAATCACAGTGGACTTAAAAGGGTGGGAAGTAAATCCAAAAAAAAAAATTTCCTTTTTATTTGCCATTAGTGACAGTGAAGAGCTCTGCATATATTTTCTGGAAGTAGTCGTGGGAGAGACAGGAATGACTGTAAGAACTAAAGAATGTTAATGTCAAATTGAATCAGTTTTTAAATGAATTCAATGCAGAACATGCAGGTCATTTCCAAAATTAAATGAAATCAAGGGCTCGTAGAGTGAATATTTTTCTCCTTAAAATTCAAAGGACCATATTAAACTTCTGCCTCCGTTTTGCAACTTAGTGGCAGACAAGCTGAATTTCATCGAGCTAAGCAAAGAACTATTTTCTCCCATAGAAAAATGCACTAAGCCTGACCTGATACACGGCCACATCCCCGAGGCGAAGCTGCTGTACACCATTCAGGAGCGCCTGCGCTACCGTTGCGGCCCGGGATACAAGACCCCCGGGGGGCAGGACGAAGAAGCTGTGCAGTGTCTCGCCAGTGGGTGGTCTTCTCTGCCTGCCTGCAGTAAGGGACAAGGTATGCGCCCAACGTGCACTTCCCAAAACGGAGGGGAAGCTCTCCTGCGGCTCTGCTTTCACGCGCGTCGATGGGCACTTTTATTTAACAGAACTGAATTTTCAGTATGTTTGCAAATGTAGGAAGTTATATTGTTGTTCTCAAATGTCAGGTGTTTCCTTTATTCAAGGTTCTCAGCAACCCCCACAACACACCCAATCCGGCCGTTCTCACCTTTGATTAATCATAACAATATTCAAGTGAAATAAAAGGAAAACACCTTAATAAACCCATGTCTTGCAACATGTCTAAATTACTATTTCCTTTTCTAGAGAAGACACCGAGGCCACGTACATTATTTTATGTTGTAGACTAATCTCAGGTATACCTAAAATAGTGCAGTAATTTGAACGTGCAGACTTTATTAGTGTGTTGATAGTTGTTAAAATTATTACAAACCCAGAAATGGTGCATAACCAAAACTTGTTGAGCCTTCTGTGGAACTGGGCCTTTGGTCAAATACACTAGACTTGGATTGTAAGAATAGAAGGTGGGTGGGGTTAGGACACAAGGGGTGTGTGTGTGGCGGGAGGCGGGGGGAGGAACAGTGAGGCAAAGCAAACGTGGACTCCTTCGTGGTTCCCCAGGGTTGGTTCTGCCCTATATTCTTGAGCCAGCGACAATTCATTTGGAGATTTCTTTTTGCTATCGCAAATTTAGTGATGAAGTCCATAACATAAATTCCTGTTCTTTCTGTCAGAGACCTGCGTGGCTCCCGAACTACAGCACGGAAATTACACCACAACACAGAAAACCTTCCGAGTGAGGGACAAAGCGCGGTACGAGTGTGCCCCCGGCTATGTCACGGCCGGGGGGGCGTCCGCAGAGGAGGCCGAGTGTCGCACGCACGGGTGGTCTCTCACGCCGAAATGTACCAGTAGGTGCTCATTTTGGACAATCAGGTTCCCTCTGAAAATGTCCTCTCAGGCAGATGTGCATATGAGTTGTGATGCTAATTATGTTCAATTTCATTTTTTTTTTTTTTTTGCTTCTGGTTTTCATTATGTTGACAGTAGGCTTTGGTCCTCAAAGGTGCTCTAATAGGGGGACAAAATCCTTGTAGCTCAAATAATTAAGTTAAAATAAGTCTAGTGAAATATAATAAATATATAAATTGACAAGCTTTCATTTTATGAAATAAAACATGGCAAATTTAGAGATTTCTATTCCAGATATGGCCTATAAGTGGTGAGTGAATTGTGTGCTCTAGCAAGAAAAATAACAATTCGTTGTGTTTTTATTTGTTTTTTTTTATTTTTAGAATTAAAATGCCCTTCTTTAAGATTCCTAGAAAATGGTTATTTTCATCCTGTCAAGCAAGCCTATGGAGAAGGAGAGGTAGTTCAGTTTTTCTGCAATGAAAATTATTATCTAAGTGGATCAGATTTAATTCAATGCTATAACTTTGGCTGGTACCCAGAAGCTCCTGTATGTGAAGGTAATTTTTAAAATTTCACACATACAAATAAAACACCCTGCCTTGTTTCTCTTTTTTAATGAAATACTTCTGTACTTTATTCTTTTAAGTTCAAATTACTTTTCAATTACAGCTTACCTTTAACGTTATTCCGTGTTAGTTTTGAGTGCACCGCGTAGTGGTTAGACAGTCATGTGCTTTATACAATGGTTCGCCCGGGGGTCTCCGGTGCCACGGGGCCCCACGCGTCGTTACTAACAAGCTCTAATTCTATGAAAAGAATGTCTTGGATGGTATCCAATTCTTGTCCTTAGTGCTATTTAAAAAAATAGCACATGTCTTTTACATAGGTGCTATTTTCAGAAAACTTTAATACAGTTTATCTAAAGATATCTTAAGTTTTGTATTAGATTGTAGAAGGGCTATGCCTTCTAAGCATTTTTTTTTTTAAAAACCTCTTTTCTACATTTTAAACCTCTTATTATGATAAATACATTTTTCTAATTGGGAATTACTAGACTCAATTATCCCAAGCCGGCAGCTTCACCAGGAACTGCCTTGCTTGACCACGTATTTCCTGAGGTGAAAATACACCGCAAAATCGTGTGGTAAAGAACAGAAAACGCAAGAGTGTCACCCAGCGGGAAGATGACAAAGGAGGCCGTCGATGGGGGGCTGTCCTAACATGTAACAGCTATGGTTCCATCTCTATGGCTGACGTGTCCACGCAGGTGGCAGGACTCTCTGCTGGGAGACATCAGTTCGCTAGTCATGTAATCACACCTACAAAGTGGTGGGCTCCCTGTCTGGCGCAGGAAACAGACGCGAAAGAGGTAGTGCTAGGACGCGACAGATGGAACAGCAAAGTCTGGTACAAAGGAGCGGAGCAGACATTACCGATTCTGATGCAGGGGTGCGTTGGGAGCAAGTTCACAGAGGGGACAGGCACTATTCGGCCTGGGCCTTAAAAGACAAACAGGAGCCGGAGGATTGGAAAGGATGGGGAGAAGGGGTCAAGGGCTTGGTAGCCTCTATTTCCTCTGCGACCCAGAACACAGGGTCAGGACCGATGGGCGGGAGAAAGAGCCTGTTGTGAGAGGCATGACAATGCGAAACAGGGGCCGAGAGGAGCCAGGAAGGGGGCGAGCCCGGGGCTGGCCCAGCGAGGGCCCGCAGCTGTCGCAATCCTTCGAAGGCATGCGGCAATAACGTTTTTAAAATTAGCAAATCAATTGACAAGTTTTCCAGCGTTGCTTACCAGCCTGGTGTCACAGCAGAGAAGAAAACGGTGAGCAAAGTGTCGCATGTTATTCCCAAAACCAAGGGCAGACAGGCCTGCTTGTCACGCCTTCCACGCGCCTCGCCATCCAAATGGGTCCGCACGCCACGGTGCGCTCGCTGTTTTCTCCAGCCGTTGGTGGACGGAGGGAGGCCGCACCGTCGTAGCCTGGACAATGGCTCCCACCCTGCCAGTGCCCTGGCCGACAGATGTCCTTATGGAGGGAGCAGAGGAACCAAGAAGCCAGAGGCCAGAGTGACAGGAGAAAGGGGTCACGAGCCAGGCATGCAGGCGACCCCCAGGAGCCCCAAAGGGCCAAGACGCCCAGCCTCTCCGAAAGGCCCCAGGAGGGACGCAGGTCTCCTGACACCCGGCTTTAGCCCGGGAAGCAGAGTCTGGGCTTTCGGCGTCTAGAGCTGTGAAGGAGTAAATGCGCACTATTGTAAGCCACTGCCTTGTGCAGATTTGCCCCAGCAGCTGTGGAAAACTCAGAGAGTGAGTATTTTACAAAAGTTAAGAACACATTTTAATTCAGAGAGACACGGGTTCAAGAAGAGATCCTCCACTTACTAATCATTAGCTTGCTTCATACGTTTCATTTCTTTGGAATGTGGGAGTTGCTAGAGCCCCCACTTAATAAGGTTACTTTTGGGTTAGGAAAGGCCAGGGAGGTAAAACCCTTGCTGTTCTCTAGGTTTCTAGTGGCGCAAAGCCACGTCGTCGCAGCCTCAGCAGCTTCCACCGCGCCCTGGGGTGGCCTCCGAGGCTCACACGGTGGCAGTCAGGGGCGGGGGGAACTGTGGTCTCCCGCGAGGCCTGACTGGAGAGTGGGCTTCCACGCCCACGGGGCTGCCCGCGGCACCCGGGCTTGGCAGGCGGCGGAACGGAGGGCGCCGGCGGCCCTCCCTCCGCCCCGGCCTCCTAGACGCTCAGGGGGACGCAGCAGCTTGCTCCCCTCGGCAAGAAGGCCCTCACCCTGCTGCGTCGCCAATCACACCCGTGGCCGCTCGCCTCCGTCCCATCGCCTGCCCGCGCTGCGCTCTGCGGGTTGGAAGCAAGCCTCCCTTCTGCCCCTGGGGACGCGCGTGCCGCAGGAGGCGACCCTAGGGTCCGTCTGCCCTCGTTCTTAGGGCACTCGGCACAGCGAGCATGCCCGGCAAACCTTAAGCATTGTTTTTTTGGGTAATTAGATGATGAAATACGCGGCTGCTTTTCCGTCAGGAAGAAGAAATCGATGCCCTCCTCCACCGCTGCCTCTGAACTCCAAGATTCGCACCTACTCGACGACCTATCGTCCTGGAGAGACAATTCGGATAGAATGTGAGCTGAATTTCGAGATTCAGGGGTCAGAGGAAATACGTTGTAACAATGGGACCTGGACGGAACCTCCAAAATGCGTGGGTCAGCACCCCCCCCCCCCCCGCCCCCGTAAGCCTTCCCTAAAGTGGCATCTGCTGCATTGCTAACGGCGTCTTCCCTTGAAATTGTGCCTTTTCAGAGGTAAAGGGGAAGACAGCTTGTGAGGAGCCACCGCTGGTCGAGAACGGTGCGGCGGACCTCCACTCTAGGGTTTATTACAATGGGGACAGAGTGACATACAGCTGTCAAAGCGGTTATCACCTCCGCGGACCAAAAGAAATAATCTGTAACCATGGGAACTGGACACGCCCCCCTGAGTGTGCGGGTATGTGCGCTACAGCAGCGTCAATAGCTAACTGGGCAAAAAGTTTCATCCTCTTTATTTAATCCACAGCCTTATAGCAAGAGGCCACTGCAGAGAATATTTTTTTGTGTTTTGTTTTGTTTTGTTTTGTTTCTGACTCTCGGGAGCCATCTGTAGAATGGAAGCCAGTGTAAGGGATTGGAAAACTTAAAAAAAAAATCCAATGCCCAGTAGGGCTGGCCACTCCTACCTGCCCTGGTGTCACAACTTAGGAGCTTTAAATGACAGCACATTAGTATCGTTGTGCTTCACTGGGGAAGACCAACAAGGACATGATGGACGGAGTGGCTGGCCATGACCTTGATCTACTTCCTCTCCCCTTATGTCCTACGTCGGGTGTCCAACCTTTGGGCGTCTCTGGGCCACACTGGAAGAAGAAGAGTTGTCTTAGGCCACATGTTAAATACACAAACACTAATGAAAACTGATGAGCAAAAGAAAGGCTTTAGGTGAATTTACGGTTTTGTGTTGGGCCGTCCTCACAGCCATCCCGGGCTGCGGCTGGGCACCCCTCCTCACAGGACAGAGCACCCTGCTCCGGACCCTGGCATCTGGCCCCTCCACCCTCTGAGACAGTTTCCTGGGCCTCCGGTTCACCGAGGGGCAAGCCTGGGTGGGCCCCTGCCCCGGGTGCGCCCCTGCCCCGGGTGCTCCCCGTCTGCTCTCCCTCTGGTCTCTCCGTCGGGTCCCGGAGAGGCCTCCGCAACGCGTGCACCGAGGGTGTAAATTGCCTAATAGAAGGGCTGTCAGAAACGGCAGAGAAATGAGCAGAGTTCGAGGCAGACTCGAAAGTGAAAGAGAAATGGTAGTTTTTATCCCTGGGTTGGCTGCTGTCTGAGATGAAGGGACGTGGGAAGGAAAGAACAAATGTGGATGGTGACCGGGGACAGACTTAGACTCGCCCCCATCACCAGGTTAAAGAGCGCTGCTTCCCCTTCTACACATTGTAGGAGTATCTGACTCACGAGTCTTCCCCAGGCAAGAAGAGTGAAAAAATAGCCATCCTTGAGCGAGGGCAAAACATTTGCTCTCCAGTCTTGCTCTGTACATTGAAAAAATGTTGGAGCTGAAAAACATTTCTTGTTTCTGGTGACTTTGAAATCAGTTGTCTAAATTCTATGGTTCCAATCTTGGTGCACTATTGTATGGGGGGCTATATGGTAACATCAAATTCACAGGAATTTTAAAACAACCGTTTGTCTCAGCAAACAGGGAGACGTGTCCAGCCCCACCTGGTGTCGTCAACGGCGCCATCGTCCACGGGTCGTTGGCGAGCTACACAGCGGGCTCCTCGGTGGAGTACAAGTGCAACCAGTACTACTTACTGAAGGGAGAAAAAAGGTCCCGTTGTGAACACGGACAATGGTCGGACCCACCTGTCTGCCTAGGTAACACAGACCACACAGAGGATTTTTTTCGGAAGCTCTCTCCCCGGTACACCTGACGTGTAACCTTGTGTGAGATAGAGGTGGGCAGGCAAGATGAGTTGGCACACTCGCAGAGCATTGTGAAATGACCGAAATAAGGTGGCTTAACGTAGCCCTCACCCCGCCTAAGCGCCATTCTTTGTTGTTATGTTTAATGAGAGCATTTCATACCTACTCGCTTGGTAACTTTCAAGTGTGCAAAACGGCACTGGGGACGGCAGCTGCCATGTTGGCCATTAAGCCCCTGGACCTTATTTCTCTTAAAACATATTGATTTTCTTTTACCATTATGTTTGTATTTCTATGCGATTTTCCCACAGTGTTTTATAGCATGGAAATACTAATTTTGTGTAAATTTTTTTCCCCATGGTTTCCGTTATCATTCCTCTAAGCAGAAAATCTCCAATAGGTTAGGGCCTAGGACTATATTAGTTCTTACCCTGCTACTTCAAAAAATTGTGGTAAAATACAAACAACAAAACTTTATTATTTTAACCACTTTTAAGGGTACATTTCAGTGGCATCAAGTATATTTATGTTTTTATGACTCATCGTGTTCTGTGTCACCTTTCTCCTAAGTGACGCGTCCTATTAGCATGGGACTCAAAGTCTCTGCTCGCATGGAACTCAGGAACTCATGAGGAGAGCCCTGGTCAATTTGATTCATTCCTCAGCACAGCGTATTGTTATTAGTTTCATTGCTATCACCTCTTTGCTTGAATGGCCCGTCACCTTTTTTATATCTTGTTGAGCAAAAAAAAGACATATGTATTTGTAGTTCCTCTAAATATATTTTGCTTTGAGACACAGTGTAGCTCGTGGTAGTGTTTCCAGCAGAGCATGGGGGCAGCTCTGTAAAGAAGTACCTAATGAGAGAACATCAAGAAGATAATATTCACCTCTCATTTTCAGCTTGTAGTTTTGCCTCGTTTGTATAACTTTGCTAGTCGGGGTGATATTTAAAAGTAATGTGACTGGTCACTACAGTTGCAGTTAACTGGTTGCATTGTGACTTTTGCTAATAGTAAGGATACATTTCCCATAAGTTAAAATAGCCAGTCAATTAAAAATAATAGCCCTGCAAACTACAAAAGCCAGGAATATAATTTTGTAATATATCCATATGGTGTCAGATGGGTCCTAAACTTACTGGCTGGTCGCCTCATAATGCACATAAATGCCTAGCTCTATGCTGCACACCTGAAACTAATATAATATTGTATGTCGATTGTACTGGAAATTTTTAAAAAAATTATAAAAAAGTCAGTCATTCTAATTTACGATGTAAGGAAAATAATAGGGACATGAATACATTCATTTGACAGTGATAAGAAGTAAGTACTTCCTTATGTCCATGTTTGAGGCGGTCTAGTCACGGTCAATGTTAAATATAAAACATTGCTGTGGGTGCCTGTCCTTGTTTTCATTTTGTGACCATGGCGCTTTCATCTTCGTCAGGTGAGTAAAGAATTGAAAAGAGCATTTGTCTTGCAGAGCCATGCACTGTGAATGAGGAGGACATGAAGAGAAACAACATAGAGATGAAGTGGAAGTACGAAGGGAAGGTTTTGCATGGAGACTTAATAGACTTTGTATGCAAGGAGGGATTCGATCTGTCTCCATCAACCCCACTGTCTGCGCTATCTGTGCAGTGCAATAGAGGACAAGTGAACTATCCTTTATGTGTAAGAAAAGGTAAAACGATAGCGCCTGTTACAATTTCCCAAGGGATCAATGTCGTCACTTGGATCCCAAGTATCAGACCCAAAGCAATTCGCCACCATCACCTTCTAACCTATAAAACTGGGAATGGCCTGATCAATTTCCAGTCAACACATACACTTCATTAGGAGGGTACGCTGACCTCATGTAATTTCAATCGGTCAGTATTGTAAAGGGAGAAATCAGGAGGTTGGATAAGCACCGCCAGACAAGGAGGTGGGGTGGTGGTCGATTGCCCTCATTAGCGCAACCAACAACTCTGTAAAGCATTGCTCTCCTTGGAGTTTGCTGTGGAGCGTTCTCTCAGAAGGAGGCTCCGTGTAGAGTGACAGATTCTGTGTACTCCTTGGACCTAAGACTCTGACCTGTCCGAAGAAAAAAAGGAAGAGAATACATAAAGGGTAGCTTCAAGAGGAATTGCACACACAGTCACTTTCAGCTAGGTAGAAAGAGAAAAATAAAATCATGATGGTCAATTCTTGGCTAATTTTAAATGTGTACTTAAATGTACCACATGGGATTCTAATTGCAACCGTGAATTTTATAATGTGAAGTACTGCAGAAATGCTCCTGATATTTAAAACTTATTTGAGAGCTGTCTTATACATGCTTTCCCATGAAGTATTTCATTGTATTTCTGTAGCAGTTAAGAGATCACTGGGCACCGAGTATAGCAATTCCTTGTATATATTTTTGCAGAATCTAAGGGAATGTGTGCATCTCCTCCATTTATTAAAAATGGAGTCATTGTTCAATTAAAATTCGACCCCTATGAAAATGGTTCCTCCGTGGAATACAGGTGTTTCCAACACTATTTCCTACAAGGGCCTAAAGAGTCCTATTGTCTAGAAGGAGTGTGGACCACACCGCCCTCATGTTTAGGTATGTGCTACTATTTATGTCTCTATTTAATAAAATAAAATCATCTTCTTTCACTTTCTGTTCTCTTTGAGTTGTTCCAGCACTAATATAAGGCTTACCATCTGCATTTGTGTTCTTTTATTAGAGAGCTTATTTAATCACTGGATTCTATTCTTTCCTCGGGGATTTTCAAGCAGTGCGCCTTGTGACTTTCTAACACATGCAGTACCTGGCTATTAAGCCCGGGGCACTGACCCCTTTTCCCTTAGGTTGTCAAATAAAAAAAAAATGACAACAGCCAATACAACAATAGCCAGCTGGTGTGAATAAACCAAAATTATACTTTTTAAAAAATCAGATTGGCAAAAAATACAACACATATTTTGCTGCGCTGCAGAATTTTAGTAATTAGTTTCTATGTGCCATGAGATTTAACAAAAAAAAGGATCAAAACCACTGCTCTAGATCATAAATAATTATAGCCCGGCTCGCCCTAACAAATACTTGTGAGGCACATGCCATTTGTCAGGCAGCTAGTGGGGGGGGAGGGGTGGTAAGATCGCTGAGCTGGAGTGGTCAGGATCAATATGATAGTGATTACCGCTCAGGGTGATTGGTACTGTAATTGAAAGCGTGACTACAGTGTAGAAACAGGGATAGGAGTGAACTCCTCAATCTGGAAAGATGAAGCAAGTCAGTATCTTATTAGCTATTCACACCAAGAAGGTAGTGCTACCTTCTGAGGACCTCAGAGAAAAATGGAGGCGTGTTTTCTGTGAGCTCTGAGCAGGTTTTCCAACTTAAATATTAGCTCTGACTAACTCACTTGTCCTGCTCGTGCCCAGAGATTTTAAGGTTATCGTGAGTAGAGGACACAACACTTCCTGGCAGTAACGGCATGTATCAAGATGAATTTTTTTTTTCTTTTTCAGAGCCCTGCAGATTATCTTTTATTGAAATGGAAAATAATAATTTACTCCTGAAATGGAAGTTTGACAACAGGCCATTTATTTTCCATGGCGAGTATGTTGAGTTTGTTTGCAAAAGAGATAGTTTTATAGCTGAGCTATCTGTCACGGGACCTGAACTTAGAGTACAGTGTGACAGAGGACAGTTAAAATATCCCAGATGCATTCAAAGAGAAAGGTAACAAGAGGCTTGTACCTACAACTCTTTTGTTTTGGTCATATCGTTAGTTAAGAGATTCATCATGTTGTAAATTTCAGAAACAGTATGTTGTACAACACCGCACTTTATAGTCATTATAAAGGAAAATAATAATTTTCTTTTTCTTAATAATAAAGAACCAAGCAAGCTCCTAGAAGTATTAATTAATTCAACAAGATTTCTGAGTTGTCTGAACTCAAAGCATTGTGTGTTATGTGATACACACAACACTTTGGCGATTTGGTAAATAAGTCAATTTATATGTGCAATGTTTAAATATGGAAGACTTAACCTATGTGTTCTGAGATAGAAAAATCACATTTTCTCTCACTTCCCAGTATAAGTTAATGAATAATTCATAAAGATTGGAAACAGTTATACAAATCTTTCTGCTGATTGATGATGATGTTAAACAATGATTAAAATTATAGTATTTATTATCAGAAGCACATTTCTATATACAAATTTGGAATCACTTACTAAAGTTTTTACATATGAAAATTTTAAAAATATATTTTCAACTTCTTGATAAATCGAAAATAACCTATTTTTCTAATATTAAAATAATACAATAAAATTATGGGTGTAAAACTTTTTTATTTTTAATTGTGGTAAAATTCAAAATAGAAAAATTTTATATGTTATTTAAATGTTTTCATGCATTTTGGATTTCTAATTTTTAAGATAAAATAACTTAGAAAAATGAAAAAAACCCAGTGTTAATGTAGTAAATGACATTAAGTTTATAAAAAAGAATTGGTGGACTAATTTTTCAAGTGTGGTTTTATGCTTTAGAAGTACCTAGTCAAAATAACAACTAATTATATGAAATCTCAAAGGGCTAAGACTGTAATAAATATTTAACTAGAAATGATGCTTATTTCAAAAATCAATCTCTCTCTCTCTCTCTCCCCCTCCTCCCTGCCCCCAGCATGCTGTTTTACCAAGAACCCTTAAGGACATAAGTTGGATCGCAAAAAGAAGAATCGTATTTCCATACATCATAAAATCCTTTGAGAAACATAATTTTTTGGAGAAAAATATTGAATTGGAAACCTTTAAGTATTTACTTGCCTGAAGATTCAAATCTAAATCCTTTATGGTGAACATTTCCTTATCTGTAAATAAAAACGAGAACAAGTCTTTCGATTCCTTGTTTGTCCTCTGTTATATTGTTGATCTACGCATCAAAGTATTTGTCTTCTATTGTCCACTTCCTTCCATTATTTTTTAATTCAACCTTCAAGTCAATGTTAAGGGCACACACTCTAACGATAAGAATGTCTACCTTGTGTTAGAATAGGTACTTTATGTAACGCAGAAGAGACTTTCTGACGGTCACCGACTGGAGTGAGATGCCATAGTGGGTCTTAAAGAGATTCTGGCGGCTGTAGTAACAGGGAGACTGATCCGGCAGCGGCGATGGAAAGGGACTTGGGACAATGACAGTGTCATCAACTCCGGTGGTCAGTCGCACAGGAGGGGCGGCAGAGACAGCACCCAGGAGACGGAAAGAAGAGAGATTTAGGATGGGAAACCATCAGGAAGGTAACGGATTAGACGCGGGGGAAGAGCGCGGGAGGCAGAGAAGAGACTTCGGGGGGCCTGGTCTCTTCGGCTTGACCGAGCGGACGCGCGGCCGTCTCTGTGGGTAGGACGCACCGAGGGAGGAAGGACTGTGACCAAATGGCGAGCAGAGGAAGACGTTCCCTTCAAAAATGTAGTTACCGGGCAACGAGGGTAAGGGAGCAGTGGGTTCTCGCGGCCGATGCTGCGATATGCCCCCGAGGTTCCTTTCAGAAACGACTTGCTCCCCAGGGGCTGGGAGTTCAAAAATGGTCAGCTCCCTCGGGAGCCCTGGGTCCTTCGGGGGGCCCACCCCAGGCCGTGGTCAAGAATCGGCCCCTCACCCCAACTTAGACTAGCTCTAAAGGGTCACCCCAGCTTTGGGGCTCCCTGTATAAAGTTGGCGGATGTCACAGTTTGAAACCTGATTGCAGCTCAGCTTCTCCGCCCTGCTGCCTCGCTTCCCTTCCGCAGGGGTGGACGCTAAGAGCAGCCCCTAACCCCCTCTCGGCTGCTGCTTGCCGCGTGGGAGCGCGCTTCCCTGGGGGTCCGAGCCGTGAGCGCCACCTAAGCGCGGCGGTCACCGGAGCGCGTGGCGGGGCCCGGTGAAAAAGCCGAAGCGACTCAGAAGTGCAGTTTGGAAGTTCGAGGACAGTCGCAGGGATGGAAAGCGCAGCATGGAGAACGGAGGCGATGATATTGTGACAACCACGTGGACAGTACGGGACAGGGGCTGGAAATGTCAGGGGACACTTCGTAAAACGTGCAGTTGTCTAACCACTACGCTGTATGCCTGAGGCTAATACACAATAATATTGGCTGTAAACTGAAATTTAAAAATTCTTTTCAAATTGGACAGTTGATTAAAAAAAAAAAAAGAACCGGGCACTGGGCATAATTCGGAGTTAGGAGGAGGCTATGGAAACGAAGTTGGCACAGAGGTGAGAAGCAGGCCTCGTTCAGGGCTCGGGGAGTCTCCAAGGTGTCGCGGTCGGCGGTCGCAAAGGTAGCAGCGCAACCAACGCCCCCGGTAGGGGAGGCTGGCCTGGCCGAGGCGAGGGCTGCACGTGCTGTTTGGGAATGGTTGGTCACCGCTGAAGAAACAGCAGCATCCCCTGGAAGCTGAGTCTGGAGCAGGTTGAGGAATAAAAATATAAGGTGCAAAAAAAAAAAAAAAAAAAAAAAGAGACAGGGTGTAATGAGTTTATCGCTAAGCATGAGAGCGAAGGGACAGAGGTAGGTAGCTTGGCAGGGGAGAGAGTGCTAAAGGAGGTCTTTTTGCATAAAATGGGGAAAAAATGTGAGCATCTTCTAATGAAATGGGAAGGCGCTGGGAAGGATGGGTGGAAGATATGGCAGAGGCGGTTTGCGAATGGATTGCAGAGGGTTCCTGGTCAAGTGACAAGGGATGGGACTCAAGGCCCAAGCAGAGACAGACTCATTCGTGGGTGGGAGGAGGGACAGGGGTTGGGGCCGGAACGAGGTGATTCATGGCTTATGGCTTCTGTTTCCACTGTGCGGGGGGAAGTCATCCGTTGAGAACAAGGGGGTGTATGTGGGGGGAGAGCTTAAGGGGTTGAAGAGATCAGAGAAAGTCTGGAAGGGCCAGGTGGCGAGGGGCCGAGGTGAGAGCAGGCGGACGGGTTGCTGGACAGACAAGCACACCCGGCCGGCGGACGGGCTGCCCCCTGCACTGTCGCTTCCAGCTGACCTGTGAGGGGCTGAGAATCGTGTCGCAGCCGCCGCCACCACGCTGCTTTTCAGAGAACTTGGTTATGAAATAATCTTTTTAATCATAGTGAGTTCGAAGCAGAGTTTGCTTGGGTGACTCGCCATCTTTGTAGCAAAGGGACGCGAGGTCCACGATCCAAGAATGACGAACAAGGGGGCGCCCTGGGGCGCGCCGAAGCTCAGAAGGGGGCTGCCTGGGCTCTGCACCAAGATGCTTTCATTTTTCAAAAGGAAGTTAAGAATTCCTAGGTATCTCTCCATTTATTCAGGATAAGGATCAAAACACTGGAGAACATTATACATTAAAACTGAATTCAGGGCAAGGGAGCGTGATTCTTTGGAGGAAAAAAAAAATGGAGTAAATGGGAAGTGTAAAGTCTAATCCAAACTGAGAAATAGTTTGGCTAATCGGCTTACTTATAATTTGGAGACTAGTTATCAGAATTTCAACTTGACAGGGTCTTTGCTTTTGTATGTTTTCAGAATAACTTCTGAGAAAAAAATTTCAGTTCTTATATTTATTTAGCATCAGGTAAACTGTTCTGTGACCAGGTATTTTAAGATTTACAACGTTAGCCGTAGCCGGGTGGCTCAGGTGATTAGAACACAGTCCGGTACATCTTACTGACAACACGGGTGTGACATAGTTTGTTTTTTTGTGTGTGTTTGTGAAGTGAGTATATTTTGAAGATGGAGACAAGCATTTTTTCCCATTTCCTCTGAAGCAAGAGTCTCAAATTGCCTCAGAAGTTACGGAGAAAGCTTTGAGAATGTGAGGAGAACACTTGGGTGCCAGCAGGCCATTGAGGAGATGGCATCTAATTTCTAGCCACAGATGTTTTATGAACAGAACACAAAATATGTTGTTTTGCCACACTTAAATGTGATGCTTTTAAGAAGTGATTTAGTGATCTTTCAGATTACTAATGATATCTAATACCATAAATTCTCACTCATGAATAAACATGAATTAAACCATACTTGAAAAATTAAATTGAACAGAATTGGATTAGGAATAAAAATATTCTCAATGAACGTCTGTATTTAAATTTTAAGACTGCACTATAACTCTCATTTTATTCACAAGTGGGATAAGCAATTTTCCCTTCCCGGCATGTTACTCGAAATGCAGAATGTGGTGACTTTCGACGATGACGCCAAGATCGACAGTCAAATTCAATAATATCACCTGTTTTAGAATAAAGTTTTCTCTCGTTCCTCCATCTTAACTGTATGTTATGTTTTTCCATCATTTCTTCTGATATGACACATGGCTCTGAAGGTAAAAACAATGGACATAAAACATTAAGCGGCATACAGATGCTCACTGCTGAATTTTAGACCGCCTTTCAGAATCTTCTACGCTGACCCAGGAATTTATTCTCAAAACCTTTTCCAATGGAATTCACTGAAAAGCCATCATGTAGATGTAAGTCATTGTAAACATGACATACTCTGTGTGGTAATTAAATGTTGTCACCAAAGTTCACAAGACCACTTATCATGTGGAGAGTTTTCATAAAAGAACCTTTGTTGCTCTTGTTACTTAAGAATTTTGCAAACATCATCTGCTCGTGCATCACTATCAGGCAGTCCAACATTCGACAGAGTAATGGTTAATCCGTGCAAGTTCTCTTATACACGGCAGAACATCACACCCTCTACACAGATGTCCCAGGACCCGTGAGGGCAGGAACGCACTTACCTAAGCATATGGGTGGTTCTGACCACTGTCCGTCATGGCAGGTTATTTCCCTGTTTCCCTGCAGTTCATAGTAAGCCTGGCATTGGTACTGCACGGACGCTCCTGGAGCGTAGACCGCTGAGGAGAATGTGGTGATGTCTCCATTGTCGATAGTGGGAGGGGGCCCACACTTTCCACTGGAACCTACAGATAATATTTGACTTATTAAGAGACAAACCCATCAAACAGAAAACAGAGGAATGTACAACTATAGTACAACATGTAACATGAAGCTTCATGCGAGTCTGAGGAAAGGATTCAATAGAGAAAACCTAATCATGTAGAGTGAGAATCACACCATTTTGCAGCTTTCGCTGATGCCATAGTGAAGGTCACATAAACCAGAAAGGAACATGTCTGCTTTGCCCCATTCCAGTGCAAAAATGTTTTTGGTAATGACCAGGTGCCAGGCACATAGTTCATGGTCACAGAAGACTCTTTGTACTCTCATACAATGCACCGCAGCATCCCTTGGACTCTAGGCATTTAATTTTTATTTTTGTTAAACAAAAAAAAAAAATTTCAAAATTTTAAGAAATAAATTGGTAGAAGGTAAAAGGGTATGTTACTTTCATATTTTGGAAAGAGGGACTAGAAGCAGGACTTCCTGTGCTACCTCTTCTAAATACAACTACAACTTCTGGACAAATATAAACCAACATGAGGCTGTGAATGGCCCCAGCTGGCGTAGCGCGGTTGGTTGGGTGTCATCCTGTAAAGCAAAGGTTACTGGTTCGATTCCAGGCCACGGCACGTTGCTGGGTGGTGTGTTCTGTCCCTTGTTAGAGGCAGCTGGTGGGTGTTTCTCTCCCTCTCATTCTCCCTCCCTCCCCCACTTCCTAAAAAATGAAGTTTTTAAAAAATTATAAAAATAAGTGCACAATAAACATAATTTAATACCAGCATAATAAATATGGAGGGGATGAATAAATGGTAACCAAACTCCCCGACAGAGAGGGAAGACACAAAGTCTAGCCTAGAGACTGTTCTCCTAAGCCACTGACAGTGCTTTAAGAAGCCCACTCTCAGGGTCCCAAGTTCCTGATTCAAATTTAGCTTCTCCTTGGTTTTCATATAAAAGCGTAAGAAACTCCAGCTTTACTTTAACTCCAATATATTCCTATTTTCCACATGGCTCCTTAATGAAGTGTTTTTTTTTCATATTATAAATTATACCCTGAGAACTGTCACTTCACAGGTGCAGAGTTCTGAGGATGTGATCAAAACTTTTGTGCTAGTTTTTAAATGGTACGCGTTTAACTTTGTTAATGCCAAGCAGATTTGTTTGCTGGCCATGTGATTTTACAAGTGTGATATTTTAACTATCACTGCATGAGAAATTTAATTTTATCCTCATGCTATGTCAACTGATTTTGCATAATTTTATTGTAAACATTAAGATCACATTGCTGAAACATGTAAGCGTCTTGCAAAGATTTTTGCTGTGTTCCTGATGAGTGTTTTCTAATTTTGCCTAAATTTCATTTGCGTGAGCAGGCAAAATAATTTCTAGTGATTCTTCAGAGACTGGCACATCCACTTCAACAGAATTGGAACCCTAAAACTACAGCCATTTACTTACTACAACCATTTCTTTAGCAAATAAAAAGGAAGACAGGATCAGGGGGGACAGCGGTTTACTTACCGGTGCGGCTGCACGTGGGGGCCGCGGACCAACCGCTTTCTAGACACGTGATGCTACCCTGGCCATTCAGGAGGCTGTAGCCCGTATCGCAGACAATGTGCACAGTGTCGCCTTCCTCATGTGTTTGTCCTGAAGATGCAGAATGGCCATTTTCCACCCAAGGGAAAAAGCACTGTCCTGAAAAGCCAAAAGATGACTTCTATAAATTTTACATTGAGAAGGGTGTTACATTGTGCAAACTTCACAACAAAAAATAAAAGTGCCAAAACTACTTTCTTAGAAAATGAGTTCCTGGGCGCTAACGTTGGCATGTAATGTCGTTACTCATTACTTACCCATGAAACCATTTTTACATTTGTGAAGTTCCTTTAGATTTCACGAGAGTGACCACTGTTTTCTCACTTGATTGGCTAACTTGCTTTCTGGAGGAAGAGACGACTCACTTCCTTTGTCTGCCCCTTCCGTTTTCTCTCCTAATTCTGACCCTTCAGCCCCTGCCCACACTGAGGCGGTGAGACAGATGTAACTCACAAAGACGCAGCTAATGAGAAACACGAAGGGAAAATAGTAAAAAATGCTTTTTTCAAACGAACTAAACAAACAAAGGAGCAAAACAGAAACAGGGACGTGGAAATAAAGAACAAACTGGCAGTGACCAGAGGGGAGGGGGAGGGGGTAAGGGGGCAGGAAGGGGAGGGGTCCAGTCAAGGAACAGCCGCCTATAAAGGGCCCACCCACAAGGACCGCGGGGGACGAGGGGTTTGACTGTGGGAGCCGGGAGATGTGTCCGGCAGCAGGGAGCAATGGGGGAAAAGCTAGGACAACTGCAATGGACCAGAAATTTAAAAAACAAGAAATAAGCAAACGCATTTTTTAAAAAGCTAAAATAAAGTGCTTTATCCAAAAGAACAGTACATTTTGAACAGATATTACGTGTAAAAATGAACTCTCCCGAGAAGAATCTGTGTTCCGATAATTACCAAGTCAGAGCGTTTAAATCAAACAGTAGTTGAAGTGATCAACCATCAATATTTGAAACTGAGAAAATGGAGATATCCCACCAAGTTTGTATCTTATTTTTTGCCGATTTCATGCCTGAAGAATGAGGTACCTTCCCTTTGCTGGTTCCTCCAGCCCCCGATGTTGTCATTATTTAGACTCTGTGACCCCTATTTGCGACCCCTCCCCCCTCGCCCCACTCACTGAATATGCTGAATTATTCACTCACGGGGAATGATCGGGGTATTTACTCACGGACACACTTTGGCGCAGGTGACCATCCTTCCTCTGTACAGGTTATTCGAGTCCAGAGTGATTGCGAAGGAGAGGCAAAGCTATGATCACAGGTGTAGTAGAAATATTTTCCCGTAGCAACGGGGAAGGTTTGTTTATATCTGTTTTCCTCATATATGTTTCCATGTTTTATTTCTGGAAAATCACAAGTTCTTCCTGAAGGAAAAAAACCAGAATCCTACATGAATGAACAATTCTTCTTTATTTGAATAATCCCATGGATGAATTTATTATTTTGTTTATCGTACTTTATCTGCTTGTATTCATGATTGGAGAATTGGGATAATCTATAATTCAGAGTTCAAAGGGATTGGAGGAGCTTGCGATGTTTAAGGTTTAAGTTCTTTAGAAGTATTTCCAAGATTAAAGTCACAGAGAAAAATGCGCACGCTGAGGGAGAGGACGGTAGGGGCTGGAGCCGGTGACCCTGCCGGAGCCGAGGAGGCCGCTCTGTGACGCCCGTGGGGCTGTGTGCAGTTCTCAGCTCACTTCCCGTCCTGCTTCCTCCTGCGTCCTGTGCGCACACCCCCCCGGAAGTCGTGGCCCAGTCGAGGCAAGGAGATGCATACCATGTATGCGTGAACGCATTTTTGTATATGGATATGTGTCTGTAGGACCCTGTAGGACATTGTCAATGAAGCCATGAAGAGAATTGGAATAAAAAATATGCATTGAGTGAACAACATCAGCAACACCAGTACAACCAAGATGGAATTACTCAATTCTGAAATGTCCCCTAAAAATGTGTATGTAGGTATAAAAATACACCTGAGTGGAAAATAGAAAAGTGGTTTTCGATTCTTACCGTCCGCTTAAAAAAATATGTAGTGATCATTGCATTTGCTTGCCAGGGCTCCCTTGCCCACTGCTGCAGGGTCGTGGCTTAAATAACAGCAATTTATTCTTTTTACACTTCTAGATGCTAAAAGTTCCGAATCAAGGTGCCGGCAGGGTTAGCGCCTCTCTCCGTGGTGTGTAGATGGGTGTCATGCTGGTGTCTTCGCATGGTGTCCCTTCTGTGCGTCCGCGCTGTCTCTTCTTGTGCACGCACCAGTTCGGTGGGCCCGGGCCTGCCGTGATGACCCACTGTGACTCCGTCACCTCTTTGCAGACCCTACGAGTTTGGACTTCAACATTCGGACTTTGGAGGGAGCCAACTGAATATACAAAGGTGTCTCTGCGCACACAGAATGTCCCCTGAGTGTGTCCCTTTGTCCTTCACAAACACTGGTGAAACCCAGCCACAGGGTGTTGGCTCAAGGGTTACTTTTAGAAAGAGTTCACTAACAAAAATAGTGTTAAACGGGATAGAAGCTTGGTTGTGCTGTTGTTATTTTGGGGGGGGGGGGCAGTTAGTAGCTAGAGAAGGAAATTGCCCAAATATACCCAAATAAAAAACTGAAATAACAGACCAAAGCAGCAAGCTATTTAAATGAATTCCTCTTGCAAACTAAGGGATAAAACATAGTGATTCATAGTCGATATCTAAATGGTGGAACGAAGGATTCTAAGGCACATTAGAGGTTTTATTTACATTAACTCAGGAATGTGAGTATTTGATTTTAAAGGAAAGTAAGAGACTTTTAAAAGATGCAGAAAGGAAGGATTTAGAAAGATGGTAGAGGAAGGAGAAATATGTAATTTTATAAATAAAATCTTAAAGTTTCTATACATGCAATAAATGTTATTTAAACTAACACACAAAATAAATCACTTTTTAATTAAATAAAAGTTAAACTACCAACTCTACTGGTTATAAGATATAATTGTTTAATATGTAGATTGCACTTAGAGATAATGTAGACAATATTTTGCAATAAAAATGAAAACAAATCAGTGAACAGTAGAGATAATGTTACAAAAATAATTTATTTATTCATCATCTCTCAGAGAACTCCGAACTCTAATAAAAATTTATTGCCAAATTTCATTGGGAAATTAAGAATGTTTTACTTTTTGTTGAAATAAATATTTGTTTTCACCTGTTGCTAATTTTTTTGAAATATTAAATTGACTGTAATGTTAAATACATTTACAGGTTTATTAAGGTATAATAAAAATTATAAGATGCAAATATTTGAAATGACTGATTTAATGAGTTTTCACATGATTCTAAAAGACATTCACCATATGTAAGATTATGACATAGGAGAATCAAGATGGCGAAGGAGTGAGTGGAAGTCACACTGACCTCCTCCCAGGAACAACCTGGAATTACAACTAAATTGTGGAGAAATCACCTGGAACAAACAACTGAACAAGAGCGAGAGAGGAGCCTTGTAACCTCAGAGACAGAAGAATCAGCTTTAGCACAACCTAACTGGCAAGGAGTGTGGTACAGACCTGAGAAGGCGGGCAGGGCGCCCACGGGCGGCAGGGCGCCCACGGGCGGCAGCGCCAGAAGGATATTGAAACGGCCAGTTGGATCCCCCTGAGTAGAGCGGGGTCTACACTGAAAGCCGGGATCTCTAGCCCACAGCACCAGAGCCCAGAACTAACGGAAAACAGCCAGTTGCGAAAAGCAGCAGGTTTGCTCTCTGCCAGATACAGGCGGCTGAAGATGCAAAGAGCCTTCTAAAAGGACATCACAAAATTTTTATTTGCAGCCACTTACTCTGGTCTCTGGCAAAGGCGGGGGCAGAGTGGGCTGGAGACGCCTGAGGAGAGACTGGGGAAGGAGGCTTTGGGGAGAGAACTGAGAGAGTATCCGGCGGGATTTTGGGGCTGACTCATCCCCCAGGGGGCAGCCCCCGTCTTGCTCAGGCAGAGACCACTCCCCGTGAGCGGCACCAGCGTCAGAGGACCCAATGGCCCCGCCCCTAGGTGGGATTCCACCCCGCCCTGTGCTGTCTAAGCTGCCTGCTGAGTGCAGAGTGGCACCTACAGACAGTGATCCCTGGCTAAAGGGAACACAGAGAGGTCTGGAGACACTTGAGGAGAGATGGGGGTGGAGGCTTTGGGGAGAGAGCGGAGAGACCAGCCAGGGGATCCCGGTGCTGACTCCTCCTCAACATGGCAGCAGCGTGAAAGGACCCAATAACCCCGCCCCCAGGAGGGACTCCGCCCCGCCCTGAGCTGTCTAAGGTGTCCTGCTGAGTGCTGACTAGATAAACAGCTGAAGGAGACAGCCACAAACAGTAGATTCCTGGAAGTCTCGAACAGACTGCCTAAGGTCAGACAGGGACAACATCTGACATCATCAGAGGCAGATCCAGAAAGTAAAAACAGTGGTCTCCAGCCATAGAAGTTCACACCACAAAGTCAGGAAATCAAGACAGATCAACTTAAGAATCAGAAGCAAAAGAGAATAGTCTCACAAATAATGGGAAGACAAAGAAACATCCCTCACTCGAAGGGAAAGGAGGAATCCCCACAAAGAGAACTAAATGAAATGAAGGCAAGTAAACTTTCAGATATTGAGTTCCAAACAATGGTTCTAAGGAAACTCAATGAGCTCAGTGAGCACAGAGAGAATTACCAAAAATTACAGGGAAACTACAAGGAACTTACTGCAAACTATATCAGCATGAAAAAGGACATAGAAACTATCAATAAGAGACAAAAGGAAATGAAGAATACCATTTCTGAACTGAAGAACACAGTAGAAGGAATCAAAAGCAGGCTAGATGAAGCTGAGGACTGAATCAGTGAGCTGGAGGACAAGGTAGAAAAAAGTTCCCAGAAAGAGCAAGAAAATGAAAAAACCCTCAAACAGAATGAAGAGGCATTGAGGGAAATGCAGGACAATCTGAAACTAAATAATATCTGTATAATAGGGATACCAGAAGGCGAAGAGGATGAGGAAGGGATAGAGAACCTGTTTAAAAAAGTAATGATGGAAAACTTCCCTAATTGGAGAAGAGAAAAAGGCACACAAGTCCAGGAAGCACAGAGGGTCCCATTCAAGAGGAACGCAATGAAGCCCACTCCAAGACACATCATCATTAAAATGGCAAGTATCAAAGACAAACAGAGACTCCTAAAGGCAGCAAGGGAGAAAGAGGTAGGAACATAGAAGGGAGCCCTGATACAGCTAGCATCTGACTTCTCAGCAGAAACACTGCAAGCCAGAAGGGAACGGCAAGAAATATTCCAAGTCATGAAAAGCAAAGGCTTGCAACCAGGACTGCTCTACCCAGCAAGGCTCTCAATTAAAATGGAAGGCGAAATAAGGAGTTTCTCAGACAAAAGAAGGCTAAAAGAATACACCGCCACCAAACCAGCACTGCAAAATATACTAAGGGACTGCTTTAAGATGAAGAAAAAGTTTCTATCAATACCCATTTCCTTTCAGAATTGCCAATACTTGATATTACCAATATTTTTTAATATGTATTAATCTGATTGTGACAATGATGTGTCATTTTAATTATTCCTTTATTATTTGTTGAAACTAAACCTATTTTAGTATATTTCTTTCCTATTTCTATTTTTTTTTAAAAGCTTTAAATGACTTTTTGGAATTCTTACCCATTTATTAATTAAAGGTTTGTAGAACTATTTTTTCTAAAAAAAAAAAAAAAAAGCCAAGAAACAAAAAACCTATTAACCATGTTTTAGATGTGTTGCAAATACTTTTCTATTCTATTCCTTGTCCTTTAACTTTTTTTATACTATGTTACTATATAGTTAAATGTTTAATATAGTCATATTGTCAACATTTAATTTATAGGTTCTGGGGTTGAATATTTTACTTCAGGTCATGAAAAATATTAGTTCTATTTTCTTCTAAAACTCCTTAGATTCTACATATTGATTTTTAACTCACCTGAACATTTCTTGTATGTGTAAAATAGGGCTCTATATTTGTTTTATTTCATGTAATAGTGGTCCATGCACCTTATTTATTGAATAAGCCCTATTTTACCCATTGATTTGAAATATCAACTTAATCATACATATATTAATCAGATAGAAATGTTTGTCTCTAGAATGCTCATTATATTTCATTGATCTATTTGATTATTTCTGTGCTGGTGTCATGTTGGTTTAATTGCTGAGACTTTATAATGGTTTTAAATTTTTAGAAATATTTTATAATTAACTTTGACATTTAAAAAATAAATAACTAAAATCGATCTACATTTGCTAAAGAAAGAGAGAGAGATGGAACTCCTACCTTTTGAGATAACATGGATGGAATTGGAGAATGTTAAGCTAGGTGAGATAAGCCAGTTGATGAAAGACAATACCATACGATCTCACCTACAAGTGGACTCTGTTCAACAAAATAAACTAATGAACAAAATAAACCACAGGCACGGAAACATGGAGCAGACTGAAAGTGACCAGAGGGGATGGGGAAAGAGGACAGTGGTGGAAAGAAGGGGAAGGGAATAGACAAGGAACACGTATGAATGACCTATGGACACGGGCAACAGAGTGGGAATTGACTGTGGGGGTGGGGGGCGGGGGGGATGGGGGGAGGGAGTAAGGGGGGAAAAATTGAGACAATTGTAATAGAATAAACATGATTAATAAATAAAACAATAAAATAAAAATAAAAAAGATTATGAGACTATCCATTGTTCCTAAAGGCTTCTTAAAGTTCTGTGAACATATTTAAATAACCTCCATAATTGGTTTTGAGAGTCCTTTTGCTGTGAAACTAAGGAAATAAAATTAGTAATCATTTATTTTATTTTCCCCAGAGATGAATACACAGTAATCTTCCTATAAGTTATTCTCTATTATGATGTCAGAATACACACTATTCCTACGAGTCGGTCCGCTGACACCTAGAGACACGTGAAAGTAGGTACGACACGAAGTTGCGGGTTAGAGCGAGGCTGCGTGTGCAGCTCTGGTTTCAGCTTACCTTGCCCATGCGCCCCGGAGACCCACAGGGTGACAATGATGCTGATCAGGGACAGCAGCATGTTGGGCACCTCCGATGGTGTGTTAACACAAAGATCCCAGTCGTGCTGCTTGGGGTTTAAATCTTCCTTGTGAGCGGTTGTTCATGTGACTCTGAATTTGACTGCCCTGCCGGGAAGCTAGTTTATTGATGGCACTTAGTGAATATCAAAGTTCAGAGAGTTTTGCAAATAAATTTTCCGTAATGGTTAATCATTTCTTGACTTCATTTCATCATTGTACTTGTGCAACTTATCTTAGAAATAGTAACACACTTGCTCAAAAAGGGATATGAAACACTGACTTTTAAATGAAACAGTTATTGAAAATGCGTGAGGTTGCAACTGTCCCTTGTCCTATATGGACCCTCACCCAGCTTCAGTCCTCAGGGTCTGTGAGCACCAACTAGTATTTCTGGACCCTGCCCTCACCTCTGGACTTCCTTGTCCATAGAAAAGCACTGATTTCCCCCTCCCCCTGCCCCCGACAAATGTATAATAGATCACATGACACAGTACAAGCGTTTTTCAGCATATTCTTGGCATTAAGATTTCTTAACTAATGTGCTTTGAGATACCTTGCTATTTAGGGTACAATATATTCAGGTGCGCACAACAGAAAAAATGGGAAGAACAAAGCCTCACCCTGAGAAGTAGTTTGACTAATACGCTTCTGTTTGAATGTAATTTGGAGACTGGTGATAAGACAGGGCTTCTATTTGACAGTAACTTTAGTTGTTTTTTTATATCCTTTTGAAATAAGCACTGAGAAAATAAAAATTCAGTTCCTACATTTACTTTGTGTCAGGTAAATTGTTCTATGGCTAGATATCACAAGATTTACAACTTTCAAATAATTTATTATTTTTTTCAAATAGAAGAGCAACTCTTCAACAACGTGAAAGAGTTCCTACCGTGAAGATGGAAACGGGACAAAGAATGAAGTGCGTTTCACCCGCACAACGCTCCGTCCTTGGTCCCCGATTCACCCTCTGACACCAGCAAGGGCAGAGAGCGATGGGCTTATTTTCACTTTGCATTTTAACAGCTAATGTTTTGATGGTATTATTTCCCCCAATAAGCCCTAAGCTCACGTGGTTTGACTGTTAAACCTCTAATCCAAGATGCACAAAGCCACATTGGTATCCACACTGCACTTTATTAAAGCCTAGGCAAGTAGCACAGTCCCAGAAACGGTGAGTAATGACTGTCTAGGGACCGAGCGCACGATGGTACCGTTCGTTGTGACACCCGTGGGAGAAGGTTAAGCTGAAAACTGAGGGGCCACATTGTACTGATTTCCTCGACATGAAGGAGGAAAGATAGGAAGGGCCAGGAGCGTCTGAGCATGCGGCGAGGCGGCGCGGGCGGACGGGGTCGCCGTGTCACCCACATCTGGGGAGCTGCACTGTCCCTTCCCGACACACGGCTTGAAATGACTGCTCTGATGTCACCGCGCTGTGTCCCGATTTACACGTAAATTCAATGACATCCCCTGTTCTTGCGTAGTATGTCTTGTCGTCTTTCCCTTTCAACTCTATGTTATTTTCATTCATGATTTCTTGAGAAATGACACATGGATCTGAAAGTAGAAAAATAAGTAAGAATTAGTACTCTTTGCTTTCCTGGACGAACACAGCTGCACCCCGGGAGTCGCTGAGGATCACATCGGATGACGACGTCATCTAAACGGCTAATGTACGTTGTCGTGGGCCAAGTGCTGTCCACCCACACCCTCATCCATTACATTTTCTCTCTCTCTCCCCTTCTCTCTCTCTCTCTCTGTATCTACCTACCTACCTACCTACCTACCTACCTACCTACCTATTTATCTATCCAGTTTTCATTCTCAATGTCAAGAAAGGCTGCATGTAAGCACAGGTGTACACATAGAGTGGATTTGAATCCCAACTTGTTTTGAACAAATTTTTCTACTTCACTATATCACTGCGCCCTCATCTGTAAAATCAATATAAATGTTTCCTTCTTTAGAAATGTTTTTGTGACACTAGCGAGTTTCTAGTTCATTGCTATTGCAATGTGACTGTAAGCAATATTTCATATATTATAATATTCTTTAGACCTTGTCTCTTTTCTATAAACAAGCTGCTGTTGCACTGTACAAATTATTACCTGCAAGAAATTTTAACAATCTTCTATTGCGTGTTTTGGGGTGGGATTGCTGAGTAAGATCATACAGGCCTCAAGTGTGCAGTTCTGTGATGCATCACCTGTACATTGCAATGTGTGCCCACCCCCAGAGTCAAATCTTTTCTGTCACCAGATATTTGACCCTCTTACCATTTACCACCACTCTCCCCCTCCCGCCCTCGGATAACCACTATACCAACGTCTGGGTCTCTGGCTTTTATTGGTTTGCTTTTCTTGTTTGTCCATCTTTTGCTTTTGGTTTTATATCCCACATATGAGTGAAACCATATGGTTCATGTCTTTTCCTGTCTGAACTATTTCACTTGCATGACGTTCTCGCTGTCCGTCCATGTTACCCCTCATGCCAGTATTTCCTCTTATAACTGAGTAGTGTTCTATTGTCTATATGCGTACCCTTCATCAAATCATAGATCTAATTTTGAACATACCACGCACTCCTCTCTCTCTTCTCTTGATTCAAGTATTTTGCGTTCTATTTCTGCCATCACTGATACTGACGAGGCCTTAGAATTAGCTCAAGCTATGTCCTCACACATCCCAGTAACACATACAGGATGGAACTTCATAAAAAATACATATGACTAGTGACATTCAAAAGTTGTCAAAGTCCCTTACTACATTTACATGCTGTTCATATCCAAACGTGTATATTATCTGTGGTCTACACACCTCCAAACATATATTCCATGACTTTATTTTTTTATTTGAAATGTTTTTTGTATTTATTAATTTGTAGTGATAGAAAGTGAGACAGAGAGAGAGAGGGAGAAACTTCACTGGTTGCCTCCTGCACAGAGACCCGGGGCCACCCCCGCACCTAGGTATGAGCCCTGAGCAGGATTCAACCTGTGACCTTTCAAATCAATGACTCAGTGAAGTCTTGCCATAGAACTGCTTTTATGTCCTCAGATGTGGATAATTCCTTTCCATTTTTAATGTTTGGAAAAGTTAACACTTGTGGCATGAATCACACATTAGACTCGTCCATCTAATCATTCAAACATGAGATTGAGAATTTATCTTTGAAATTAAGTAGTTGTCTTTCCATATAATCTAGGTTGGAGCTATTTCTGACTATTCTGACGTGTACATATGCATCTTGACTCCAGTCCTGCCACTTCCAGGGTCGAGAGCACCGATTTTGCTCTAAATCCCACAGAAGGGGACACACACACAGAGGAGATGATGAGGAAGGTTGGGTCCAGAGCGGGCTCAGTTGCTGTATCACAATGGGCATGTGTGTGTTTGCCTCCTTTCTTGGATATTAATCGATCTAAAGGCGTGGGGTTTGTTTCTAGGCTCTCTATTCTGTCCCACTGATCTATATGTCTGTTTTTATGCCGGCACCAAGCCGTTTTGACTACGATAGCCCTGTTTAATTGTTTGATATCAGGTAGCATGATTCCTCCAACTTTCTTATGTTTTTCTCAAGATTCCTGTGGCTCTTTGGGGTATTTCTTGTTTTATATCAATTTTTGGAATATTTGTTTTAGTTCTGTGAAATATGTCATTGATATTGTGATAGGAATAGCATTGAATCTATATTGCTTTGGGTAGTACGGACATTTTATGATTTTATCTTTCTATCCATGAATGCCATATCTGTTTCCACTTATTTGAATATCCTTAGATAATTTTCTGAAACCAAGGCCTTTTACATCCTTGGTTAAATGTATTGCTATTTAATTTTTTTGAAGCAATCATAAATGGGATTGCTCTGAGGGATATCACCTCACACCTGTCCGAATGCCTGTCGCAGGAAAACATCAGACACCAGTGCCGGTGGGGATGTGGAGGAAGGGGGGCCCTCGGGCACTGCGGGTGGGAATGCGGCCTGTGCGCCCCTGTGGACAACAGTACGGAGCTCCCTCAAAATATGACATATAAAACAGCCTTACCGCCCACTTCACAGGAATTCTTCACAGGATTTATCCAAATCTAAATGCTAACTCTAAGGATATAGACAACTCTAACTTCATGACAGTGTTATTTACAGTAGCCACGATCTGGAAGCAGCCCACGCGCCCACCAGTAGGTGAGCGGGTAAAAAAGCTGTGGTCCACCTACACCGTGGAACCCTCCTCAGCCGTGTGAGAGAAGGAGATCTTACCTTTCGGGACGGCACGGATCGACCTGGAGCGCAGTACACGAGGACAACAAACCAGTCAGGGAAATACCAGTATCATATTATCTCACTTATACGTGGATCAAATGAACAAACTAAACTAACACGGTGGAGACGGACGCACGGATACAGAGAGGAGTCGGACAGCTGCCGGGGGGGAAGGCGCTGGTGGTTGGGGGCTGGGTGAGACCCCTGGATGCGGACAACAGTATAGTAACTGCCAGAGGGAAGGGGGAGGGAGACAGAAGCGGACAGAGAGAGGGGGAGTGGTGGTGGAAGGGGGCTTGGCTTAGGGGGGGAACACAGCGCACCAGATACTGTAGAACTCTCCACCCGAAGCCTGTATAACTCTCTTAACCATGTCCCCTCAATAAAAGCACTGAAAAAGGAAAAAAAAAATCGGTGTGTCTGAATATTCCTGTTTAAGGAAACTTTGTATTGTTTACACAGGTATTTTCCCACCTTATTGCCTTACGCAGGAGTGTCGGAATGTCCAGCATTCAGGAGGACAGCGGTCAGAGAACACAGTTCTAGAACATCACTCACTGCACGGATATTAGGCTACAAAGAGCACTTGGCATGACTGGAATTTTCTCAGGATCCAGAAGACTAAGAAGAACTTACCTATACATCTCGGGGGTTCCGACCACTTGGCATAACTGCAGGTTACATGTTTAGGACCCCGGAGTTGATAGTAGGCCTGGCATTGGTATTCCACTCTTGACCCCGGAGGATACGCAGTCAGTGGGAAGGAGGTGAGGTCCCCGTTGCTAACAGCTGGAGGACGCCCACACTTTTCTGCAGATTCTAAAACACAATTTCAGCGTTGAGGAAGGAGTAGAAGTTTTGGTGGAGACTACCTAAATACAGCCCACGGGACTCGGAACCCTGTCACAGGTGCATCGTAAACCTGTGACGTAAACGTACGGGGGAGGATTTCCCCTCAAACGAGCGCTACGTTGAAGTCGACTTTTCGACTCTCGGCCAAGGAAACCCAGGAACGAAAACACTTACTGAAGCAGGTCGGCAGGTGGGACCAGCCGTCCTCACCGCACACCATGGACCCCGTGGTGCGTCCGTCTCTGTTTTCATACCCATCCAGGCATTGGTAGGCCAGCGTGTCATTGGGCCTGAACACTTGTCCTGTGATGACGGCCATGGCGTTCTCAAATACGGGCATGCCACAGAGTCCTGAAGGGAAATAAGGCTGACAGCTGTACGCCTCAGGCCACAGCAGGCATGACCCAACCGAGAGACCTTATGCCGGCAGTGACCACCGTTCCCGTCGGAGTGTGTAGGCCAGTGAGGGGTCCCTTGCAAACTCCTGATGCTCGGCGTCACCTTGTGCTGGAGAGCCTGCCAGAAAGCAGACTTCCCTGTGCATTGATCGCCGATCACCAAAGCCTCTAAATGTATGGCCACAACATGTAGTCACGTGTATATATAGCTGCATGTCATGGGCTGTTATTGAATTGAAGTATAATTTTATGATGACATTGTCGTTTTAAGGACCATGAAATTTGTGCATTTAAGAAGCAATGTATGGGCCTCCCACTGAACGCCATGGCTGGGGAGCGGGAACCTGTGCTGGAGCACCGTCCCTCAGGCGCGGCTGACAGCGAAGGACCTGCAGACTTCTCCTCAGGAACAGCCACTGCCGAGCCCTCTTCTGCTGCGGTGTCTCCAGGAACGGAGGAACCTACCAACGACACCAAGAGAAGAACTGACATCCTGTACAGGCTGTGGGAGACACCCCTCTAACGAACACAAAGAAGTGCACCGTAGAGCGGAGCCACCATCGGAGGACTCATTGCCTGCATCAAAGAGCTCCTGGAACTGTGGCTTCCCAACAGTTGTTTATTCCTGTGAATCAGTCCTTTGCCCTTCTCCTGGCCAGGAAGTTGGGGCCTTCTGTGAGTGTTGAGGCAGGGACGATAAACTGGTCCTACATCAGTGCACATCTCAGGCGCGGGGATGGACTGCAGAAAAGACCTTCATACCCAAAATGAAGCCTCACAAAGGAAACAGCTCTGAAAAGTCTGACACGTTTGGTCAGAGACTTGTGAATATGACCTACTCAGCATCTTATCTGCTATATGCGCACTTAAGCATTCTTAAAATCCATAGAGTAGATAGACCCACAAACATGCGATTTCCTTACAGAAATCACGACAGAAGACCGACATTAGTGTATACCCAGCACTACAACCATCGGCCCACATGTGCCTCCAAGACGTTGAAAAGGAGGCTAAGATTGTAAACGCCTGTCTGCCACCAGTTCTTAAAATTGTTTACTTGTAGAATTAACACTCTGCTGATTGTCTTTCCATTGTAAAAGTCAGTTTAGTTTGCTAAAGGATTCTCTTTGTGCTCCCTCTGGGAATTCCAATGTGTTCACGATATGGGACGTGATGTTCCCATTTATGTTTATACCTACAGTATCACAAGACAGAACTTCATTGTCCTGACGGCCTCGCACCTTGCGTGATCCAGGAGAGGGCAGCCCAGCTGGCAGGAAGAGGCAGTCTGGTTTCACATCTTTGCCAGATGACAGTGGCAGAGAAAACTGTCCTGCTCATTTCTAGCAAACATCTTGCCAAGACAACGTGTATATTGACACACTGGAGGACAGTTTTAGAGAATATGCATTGTTTAGATTTATTCATTTCATTGGGAAACAAAGGGCATTTTCGGCAAATTTCCATCCAATCATTTGATGATTCTTGAGTCGCAACGGTTATAGTTGTGACATTCTGTTGGGAAACGCCCGGCCCGGCCTCAGGAGCTGTAACCCTGCCAGCAGGCCGGAGGGCCCCAAGGTGGGAAATAATCAAGAGGCCTTGGAGAAACAAGATCCTGAGGCGACTTGACCTGTTCCCTTGGGCCGTGGCGCCGCCCCCGCACCTCTGCTTTGCCTTGTGAGGGTCAATGGCCAATGATGGGTAAGACCCCTCGGGGGAGGGGCAACCTAAGACAGGCCTTGGCCAATAGGAGCAGCAGATAAGAAATTGGGGACATGGAGAAGGGGCAAAGAGGCCCCCACACCTCTCAGCTTGACTTGGACACAGCCAGAGTCCTCGTCACAGCTGAAAAGCAGTCTCCTTATCTGTTGGTGGTTCCCTCCCCCGGCCTGGCTAACAGTGCAGGAAAAACAGCCCTAGATCAGATGTGGCGGTTGCCAGGGTAATCAGGCCTAAAAGTAAATTCTTTAGAGTGCACTCTGTTCCTCCCTCATATCTCTGGTCAGCTCATGCTGCGAAGGACCTGCACGTTATTTACACCCCTTGCCCTTTGTCATTAAGGCGCTCGCCCTTGTCTTCATTCTCTTTTGTTTAGACCAGTCTCCTCGCAGGCCCAAGTAAGTCAGTAAACTCCTGCCACCTGTTTTCTTAAAGGCATCTATTTTCTGTGAAACTTAAACATGCTAATGTAAACGTGTGTATGTATGCATTCCTGTTGCCTACCCCACTGAGAAGTTTTTCAATAAAAGCTTTGGAACAAAGGGTGACGGGGCTTCCCCACTAGGAGGGTGCGCCACGGCCTTCTCCAGTGGGAGGAAAGCGCCCCACCGGCTCTCCCGGCAAACAGAGGTGTTTGCAGCGTTTTGTGTTTATTCCCGCTCATCCGTGACGACCCCGGGACGGGCTCTGCGGGTTTCAGAGCCCTGCTCCCACCTCAGCGGGCCCCCGCCGGTGTCCCTCCGGTTTCAGGGAGCGCAGCGCTCTCTGCGGCGCTCCCCCGCGGCGGCGCGCCCCTACAGCAGCCACGCAGCATGCCAACATTCTCTTATTTTTACAGTGTCAAAGATGCTCAAGTAAAGGTGGCAACATCTTTGAGTCTTTTATAATGAATTTTTTCAACTTGAAAATGCTGAAAAAATAACTGGAAAATGCTAGTTTTTATATGTATTTCATGCTGTGACTGAAAATACCTTTTTTATAATGCTATTAGGTTGCTCATTGCTTGAAGCGAGATTTAACATTCTTTCTCCATTTCCACTCTACTCCCCCCGCCCTACCCGCCCCCCACCTACCACATTCTAAGTTCTTTCCCGCTGTCTTTGCCCGCGGGTCCTTCATACATGTTCCTTGACTGGGCCCTTCCGCTTCCCCACCTGCCTTATCACCCGCCCCCTCCCACCCCCCCCCCCCCCGCCGCCGTCAGTTTGAGTGAGAGGAGCACTAGCCTCCCCTGGAGGCCAGCTGGAACATTCCATCCCCACCCCACCTGTGTCTTTAGCCTCCTCCTCCTCCTCCTGAAAGCAAACCTGAAGCTACGAGTCCACCCGCCCTTCTGTGACTGTGGAATTGGGGACTGCAAGTGGCCAGGATGGTGTTTAGCAGAAGCCTGGACCCAGATGACTCAGGCCAACGGGCGCTGAGGTTTCCCACCTCGGGAGTTTTATTTTGGGGAAATAAACCTTGTATATTAAATCCCAGTGATCGTTCCGTAAAACCCATCAAACAGATTCCTACAGAGTCACCTCCATGCCGTCTATGGTCAGATGAAGACACCATCATGTCCACGAATTCCTCCAACACATCTTCTCATCCCACTTCCATACCTACGTTGGGACGTATTGCGGTCTGTCGTCTGGGTTGTCCTATCAGGGATTATAGTCCATTCTCCAGCAAGTGAGCTCAGAGGACCTTTCCTGTCTGCGTTGGTGCTGCCGCTCCCGTCCAGGAAACCTTCTGGGGGCTTCTCACCGCAGGTCTGTTACACGCCGCTCAGCGCGTCCCAGTCGACGTGAGCCACTTTCTCTCTCCTCACTCTGTGTGCGCTACACTGGCCATCAGTTGTCCCACAATGAAAGAAATCCTTCCTTAAATTTAAGACATTTCGCTAGAAAGTCATCTCTCTCTAAATACTCATCCACCCAAATATTATGGCAGCTACGCATATTTTGAGGTCTTTTCTGTTACATTCCTTGCTGGGCCCATGCACAGCGCCCTATGTGCGTCATGTTCTGTATGTCCCCCTGTGCCTCGCCCCATGTCCTTTACGGCATTGTTCACAGTCACTAATGCCTGGCTGTTTGCTTTTCTCTCAGTTAATCTCCTTATTTTTGTACATAAGCTTAGTTTTTCTTGTATCCGTTTTTCTTTACACCTACCAATGTGCTTAGTCCGCCATCTTTATTGAATGAATTAACGGTAAATAGCCCATCCCCTCTATGTGCAGGGAATGCAGGAGAAAGAGCATCTTTCAGCTCCCCACTGGTACTCGGCCAGGGCTCACTAGATTCCCGAGTTCCCATCCACGCTCAGTGATCACGGCTTCCCTACAGACACAGAAGGCGGCTCCCATCAAAGTTGAGCACTAGTAGTTCGTGATTTCTAATATAATGTCCATAAAGTTTATTTTCTAAATGTCAACCAAAACCCACAAAACAACTAACAGACTCCTACCAACTTAAAAGATGAAAGCCATTTAAAAGTTAAAGTGCTAATTAAACACATCATAGCTCTAAGATATAAACTTATATGTGAAATGGTTGTGAGAGATCTACATTTGGCAATGAGAAGCCAGAGCATTTATTTGAAATTTAGTTAAATTTTGATTTTAACTTTTTCTTCAATGAGCACATTGAGCAGGATTTCAGTGTAAATAGTAGAGTGACTTCTAACTCTGTTTCATTTCACATCATTTAGTGGCATTCATGAAGTATAGCTCTGTTGTTTCTTAATAGATAAGGTAGCATACTCTAATGGTTACGACAACTTTGAGCTATTTAGACACCATTAGAATGCGAAAGTACTTGTGTCTTTTTTTAAGGTGGAGAGGACTTGATATATTCAGCTTGAGATGTGAACATAAATCCTGCTGTACAAATAGGTCTGGGTCTCAGAAAATCACAGACTGCACCTTCTCTTTGCATTCCCTGTTCTCTCCCAATGCGACGCCACGGCTTGAGGGGACAGCCTCAAATGCACGTCTCCTGGCCAGGCCTACAGATTCAGCTCTGCAGTGTGCAGCCCGGTCCTGACTGTCCCCGGGACACTCACGTGCCAAGTCAAGCTGAGGTGTCCCTCTCCGAGTGCCCTTCCCACTGCCTGCGGCACCTCACAGGGAGGCAGCTCCACGCGCCGGCTACTTACGGAAACGATTCAAAGTAAACACAAGCGCCCCTTGATGCTTACCCTGTCTGACACCCAACGGCCAGCCACACTACCTGTGTTTTCTACCCACAAAACGCACCCGAGTCTGTCCCCTGCTCTGCTTCTCCTCACCCATCACCCTACCCCAAGCCCCGCCTAAAATTCTCCCTCGGCTTGAGGGGAATTCCTCATAGTTTCCAAGTACTGTTTTGTTCCCAAAGCCTGGCACAAAGCCATCGCTTAAATCACATGAGCGATTTAAGAACATTCTTCTCAATTCCACTGCCCTTCGACACACACTCCCTGCCAGCAAGAAATGAGGCCATGACAGGCGTGCTGGGCGTCTGCCTTAGCAAAGCTGGAGAGCGCTGTGCGCATGCGGGCGCCTCACTCGGCAGGAGCCCCTGAGGCCCGAATGCCAGAAACGAAGTGATTCGTTCCACGAGAACAGTATTTCTCAACAAGAAGGGTAATTTTTAAACTTTCTTTAGATTTCTTCTTTAAAACATACTATTTTAAAAAACCCACAGGCTAATTTAGCTTTTTTCTAATACTCTCTTAATCACTCTATTCTTCTATACTTCCCAAGATTGAATGGAGAAACCGGTCTCCATTTATAACTAGTATAAGAAATTAAATTGCTAAAAACATACCCTCCATCTTTACTAACACGTTCCTGGAATGATGTTCATACGGGTTTAAGTAGTTTTCCTTACATTGTATAACATATTACGTAGCCAGCTAGTTTAAAAATGTAAAAAAATAAAGAAAAGGTATACTAATAAAAATAATAATACAGACAATTTACTCTCCTATTAAGACTGTTGGCATGGTTAATTGATCACAGTTTGATACAGAATGAGTTTGCTATGAAGGCAACCTTCATCATTTTTTCTTTGGCTAGTTCTCATAGTAAGTACAGACATTTAAAAAACTGAAAGAATAAACGTGGATATTTTAAATATCCACTTCCAGTGAATGATACATATAACCTTGTGGCATTGGGATAACTAAGATAAAATGAGCAAACTGTTCTTAGAATATTCTCATGAACATCGAGGAAGCTACAAGTGTTTCTTAGTCCCCTCTAACTAGAGGTTCATATTGTTTTCCTAAAAATATATTTTTTTCCCACAAGAGGGCCTACTCTGCAGTGTCAAACACATAAATTACACAGGAGACATAATTCCAAAATTATATGCTGTGAACCCACATTTTCACTTAAAAGCATAACTTTAACATCTGGAATGACCACTCCAACATAAAAGTCCGATCCCCTAAAAACAGGGACAGGCCACGGTCTCAGCCAGAAATAAATGAGCGGCCACCACGACGCACAGATGGCTCCTGCACCACTTTGTAGATCACAGGGGCTTTTACCGTGGAAAGTCCTTCAGCTGAAAGATGGCCTCACATCTGCCTACCAGTAATTAATTATAAAAGGCAAAAGATTACATACATCTTCTCAAATACTTTTTCATTTGTCTTTTCCAATGGAACCACCTCAGCTCCCGCCACCCCCAGGAAAAGCAACCAGGTAGAGTAAACATCTGTGCCACGGTTACCAGGACGATCACGCAAACGTCATGAGTGACTTACTGATGCATCTGGGACGAGCGGACCATCCACGCTGCAGACATGTGACGGATCCTGATGTTTGACCTTCTTCTGTTACATAACCTGGTTTGCACTTGTATTTTGCTTCGTTATTTAAGGAATATGCCAGTTTAGGTTCCGACATAAATCCATTCTCAATTTGTATATCCGACTTCAAACATGTTACTAAAGGGAAGAGAGCGTGACGGAGAGATAAGCATATGGCCCATAAACATGTTCATCAGGATCAAACAATATTACAACAAAAAAGGTTTCTGTTGTCATTGAAAACCTGGAAGAACCCCAATCATCGAAGGTACTGTGTCAGACAAAATAAGCCATGCGTTTCCAAAAATATTAATCAGGGCATTTAAAAACACCTGGGAACTAAGTAAGCCTTATAATACTCAGAACACCCGGTGAGAAATTACTGTGAGGTCAGAGGAGGCAGGGGCAGGGCAGGGGGCAGGCGGGAGGCAGGGGGCATCTGTGAGCGTGTCTGCAATAAAAATAGAGTTAAAGAATGAAAGAAATGTAACAGTAGTAAGTTACGAGGAGTCCGTCCCCCCGTGGAGGGGACGCCCCCGCCGGCCGTGGGCCCTTGCACGGGCCCTTTCCCAGGGCCTGTGCTGAACGTTGCTGAGAAGGTGGAGCTAAGTTCTCGCCACACGGAAAACCACGGAGCCAACGTGACCTGACGGATATGGGAACTACCTGGACCTGGTGGTCATTTCACAATGTGTGCACATGTTAAAATAACACGCTTCCGTACATGCCATTCCCGCTTTTTCAATTAAGCCTATTAATATTTAGAAAAGAACAACAAATTTGACAAAGATAACAATGTCGGCAGAAATCAGAAAAAAGACAAGCACTGGAGAAAATGAAGAGTTAAAAGGTGGTTCATTGGAGAAACTGAATGAAATTACCATAGGCAAGGCAAGAATACCGAAGAGAGTTCCAGGCCCACACAAAGAAGAATCTGAACCAAAGCTATGAAATTAACCTTGGGAGCTGCACGCACAAGGCCAGCGCGCGGCTCTGATTCCTGAAGATAAGGCTAAGGATGCGAGCTCCATCCTCCAAGTGGCTTTAGTTGGTGGGTGTGGCTTTTCCAGATTGCAACACGGAAGAACACACCCAAGCCAAAACGTCAGTCACACCGGACTGAAGAGGCAAAACCCGGCGTTCTCAGGCAGGGTGACGTCCCTGAGCTTGCGATCCACCGAACCGCGGGGAAAGAGTGGTGGAAGGAGAGCGCTCCACAGATCTGCAGAGCTGACTATATCACACTTCGGGGCAGGGCCGAGCCCCGGGACAATGGGCAGGGAAGAGCAACTCCAGGGAGAGCTGGCAGGAAACCCTGAACTCAAAGGTTCGCAGGCCCACCCAGCACTGGCGGACACTCATACTGGATCAGCCCCATTGCGAAGGTGTCCTTCAACCCTCCTCCTTAGCAGAGAGGCCAGAGGAGGCCTTCTTCATCCTTGTTCTGAATGAACTGGTCCTCGCGGGCAGGCACCCAAACCAGCTTTACCAGCTTAGGAACAAGCCTTGAGTGGACCGAGTCAACCTGATCACCCGCAGCCTTCCAAAACCCAGTGCAAAACCAGGGAGACGCGAGGTCTCCGCCCCAACCACCAGAGGGCGCTCTCCAGGGGCCGGGGCCAGCTCAGGGCGGCCACACCTCAGCTCCCAGCCCTGCGAGGATCCAGCCTTGGATCTGTGGGCCCCAGGGGTGTGGGAATCCTGTCTGCTAGATTCCCGGACTCTTGCAGAGATGCCCTCATCCGCTGTGGTGTTCAAAATCCTTGTTCTTTGCGGGGAAGACACAAAGACACAAAGAAACGGCCAGCAGGTCGCCCTGCCCTCGCCACTCCATTGTTAGATGGTTCCTTTTGCGGTCTTTGGCTTGTTTTTTAAAAACTAATGTCTACCAGTAGGCATCTTTATTATGCTAGTGATGTGTCAAGATATTGGCATTTCCACTTAAACACACCTGAAAAGAACCCAATTAGTCCATTGGCCAAACAAGAAGCTGATATAAACATTTTGCCCCAGAAATTACAGGTACATTCTACAAGATCACAAACAGACTGGATCTTAGACCAGCTTTCTTACCAACACGGACGCATTTGGGAGGAGGGTACCAGCCATTCTCCGTACATGTCAGGGTGTTCTGTTGATCTAGGAGACTGTATCCAAGATAGCACAAAACTTGTACAAATTCACCTTGTAGATATATTTGTTCATTTATTGGAGAATATCCATGCTCCAATCGATTTAAAACACATTTTCCTAAGAATGATAAATGATGATGAAAAAGCCTGGTCCATTTGTCAAAATAATAAATGAAAATGCATCCTCATGATATTTAAATTAGAATGCATAAGCAATGCATACATAACCTTCCAATAATAACACACAACTTAAGGAAAACTAAAGGTGCTACAAAATGTTTTTTAAAAATCAATATTAAATATAATTATCTGTAGTTCACTGTTAGACTATGGATAAGTGACATAGGTATTCTGTAGAGTCTATTTATACCCCTCGTGTTTTTAATGAAGAACCTCTCAAACAAACAACCTATATTGGTCTTCCTGCTCATAGAATGCATCCTTCGAACTTACCTTGATCACACAGCATCATTGTTCTCACCTGAGTAATTCTCTCTCCTCTTAGAAATGTCTGCATGGGCACAAGGATGAAGGGCTTTACTTACTGAGGCACGGCACTTTCGGGGACCATCCGTCTGGTGTGCAAGTAATTATACCCCGGCGCCTTTCTGTAGGAGTCACATAATTGTCATCGCAGGAATATGGATACTGTCGCCCGACAAAAGGCTGTAAGCGTGGTATAAGTATGTCATCCCTATACAGGCGCCCATGTTTTATTTCTGGTAATTCACAGAGCTCAACTTGGAATAAAAACAAACAAAAAACAGTAAAAATAATGTTTTACATTAATAGAATCTAATGAGACATTAGTGGTTTCCTTGATGAATCATATTTTCTTATTACCATAATTATACTCATTGCATCAGGGATCTAGGACAAGAAGAGTTATAAATTCAGATGGTGTAAATAACACCTGTTTGCTGATCATTTCGCAATACATGCACACATGGAGTCATTCCGTTGTACACCTGAAACAATACAAGGTTACCGGACAGTTCTATCTAAATGAATAACTTCCATCCTCCCTGTGACTGGCACAGGCACTGAGGTCCGTGTCACGGAGATGCCAGCATCCTCTCTAAGGGCATCGCGCTGTCACATTCATGTGGGCGCTTGTCCTGAACTGACACTGAGACCGTTGACCTCCTATTGGCATCATTTCACTCTCCCCCATGGACTCCCAGCCGCAGGGTGGACCCCCCGCTACAGCGACCTGACCCGTGAGGACGAGGAACGTGGTGGTGGAGGCAGGAAGCACTTGGAAAGGGGGCCAAAGAAACCCCCAGACATAGACGCCCGGCTGAACTGAGTGGCATTTTGTGACACGTGATGGTGTCAGACAACCCACAGTGCCTCCACCTCTCCTCCCCCAGGAGGAGCCAGTGCCCCGCCCCTTGGGTGAGGCCTGGACTCTGGGACCCTCTTCCACAGGGAACGACCGGCTGAGGAGACAGTCAGTGAGCAGGTCACAGCCGACGCAGAGGTGTCCTTCCTCCTTGTGTCTCAGATCACTCACTCTGGGCACCGTCACTGACACTCAGGCTCCTAAGGAGGCGCCCCGTGGTGAGGCCCTGAGGCTCCTGCTCCGCCAGGGGAGGGCGCCCTCTTGGCAGCAGGTCCCTGCCCCCCCCAGCCCTCGGCCCACGCCCTGGGCCCGCGTGCCGAGTGCTGCCCAGAGCGCGGCTGGGAACGGGGGTGAGTCAGCTGAGGGTGTGGTTCGCATCAGTGTGTTATGGGGAAGTTTTACAAAGAAATCAAACACTAATATACTTGTTGCCAGACAACGCTAGTCTTAGCCAATGTTTTAGTTCAGATCCTGGAAGTATATTATTTATAGAAAGAACTAAATACACCTGCACATATTTATCATCGAACAGAAAAACCTAAAAGACTTTTTCAACTGCAATCACATGATTTTATCCTTTTTAAAATTGGCTGCTTTGAGAAGCAAAGTGTTTTTAATCCTCTGTTCTACATTCTCAGTAAGTCAGAGACTACAACTTCTTAGTTCCCCATTTTTATGTTGAAGAGAAGAAATTTCAGCATTAGGAAGCAGGTGATGATTTGAACAGAACTTACTGGCACATATTGGAGGCGGATGCCAGCCTTTCTCTGTGCATTTCGTTGTGAATCCATCACGAGCAGGGTAATGTCTCTTGTTACACCAGTATGTGATTACGTATTCAAGTGTGTATTTTTTCCTGACAGGTATGTAGAGACCATTTTCCAGAGTTGGAGGGTCACAGGTTGCTTCTGAAAAGAAAAAGGACATGTGGAGAATGCAGAAGCCACTACCCATGGACAGAGTCCAGTCCACGAGAAGAGAGTGGAGGTCGCAGGAATCCCCCAGACCTTTGGGTACCACCTGGCTTCTCTGCGACTCATTTCCCAGTCGAATTTACATGAGCCTATTCACAAGACTCTCGTGTCTGTGGAGAGGCTTTCAGGCTGCGGAACTCAGAAGGCAGAACACTATTTTTTATCCCAAGTGATGAAAATACGATAATGTTCCTATAAGTTAGTCTAGATGATGATATCACAATACACACTATTCCTACGAGTCGGTCCGCTGACACCTAGAGACATGTGAAAGTAGGTACAGCACAAAGTTGCGGGTTAGAGCGAGGCTGCGTGTGCGGCTCTGGTTTCAGCTTACCTTGCCCATGCGCCCCGGAGACCCATAGGGTGACAATGACGCTGATCAGGGACAGCAGCATGTTGGGCACCCCCGATGGTGTGTTAACACAAAGATCCCAGTCGTGTTGTTGGGGGTTTAAATCTTCCTTGTGAGCAGTTGTTCATGTGACTCTGAATTTGACTGCCCTGCTGGGAAGCTAGTTTACAGACTTCCCTTAGTGGTTAACAAAGTCCAGAGAGTTTTGCAATATCAGTAAATTTTCACTGATGATTTCACAATCATGCCTGGACTTCACTTCCTCATTGTACTTGCCAAGCTTTCCATAGAAATATTAATACACAGGCAACAAAAGTTATATGAAACACTAATTTTTAACTTAATCTGTTGTTGAAATGGTGGAGGTTCTTTCTCAGCCTTGAGATCATATGGAAACAACGCCGGTTCCACGTTCCTGTCTCTTGTCCACATGGGGCCTCAGCCAGCTTCAGACCTCAGGGTCTGCGAGCACCAAGCAGGGTATCCCCCCCTGCCCCGGCCTGTGTCCTTCCTTTTCCATAGAAGAACACTGATTTTTTTTCTTTGCAAACCCATATTAGACCCCACCAAGGAGTACAGAGGTTTTTAGCACATTCTTGGCATTGAGATATGCTAAACTGATGTCCATGGAGGTGCCTTTTAATTTGTTCAATATGTTCAATATGTTCGGAGGCATACGTGGAGGAAAGAATGGGAAATACACAGTCTAACTCTAGCTCAGTTTGAGACTGGTTACTAGAGAGGGTTTCAATTTGACAGGAACCTTAGTTGTTTTTTTATATGCTGTCTACATAAGCATGGAGAAAATAAAAACTTGGTTCCTATATTTACTTTGCATCAAGGGTTCTATGACTAGATATTATAAGATTTACAACTTTCAAGTTATAAATTTATGGATATTTTGAGTATGTTGGCTATCTCCTGCGTGATACGATGTTGATTGTTCTCAATTAATGTCTCAATTTGATCACTATCCACTTCAACTGCTCTGCCAGACTGTGGAGCATCGATCGTCCAGCGAGAAATCTCCAGCATAACACTTTGCAAACCACTTCTGACACACTTGATCAGCTACAGCGCCTTCTCCGTACACTGCACAGATCTTTTTTTTGCATTTCAGTTGTGTTTTTACCTTTCTTGAAACAATGAAGCATAATATGCTGAAAATATTGCATATTTTCTTCCATCTTCAATATTAAAATGACTACACAAAAGTTCACCAATTTTGATAAGATTTTTAAAAAAATGTACAATAATATAATAGCTACCACAATACAATCTAACAAAATTGTTTTGAATGAAGTTGAAGACAACTAAGCACTATTAGAGCCATCCTACAGGAAAAAAACAAACTAACTTTTTGGCCAACTCAGTATTTGCTTAATTGGTTACTCCGTAGTTGAGCATCTAGATGATGGTACAGTACGCTAAAATGTCATTTGTTTAAAGGTACATTTTGGTAAAATGCTAAATCAGTCCTAGTACAGTGATGCATTTTCCGTTCCAAGTCTGTGCGAAGTGGTCTGGTTTGAAGAGAGCCAAGGAACAGCATAGGAGGGGGTTGGTTTGAATATGATGCCGGTCGTATGTGGTTTTATAGCCTGGTATATTTTGGATTTCAGATGAAATAGGGAAAAAATGATAGAAATGGTCCCTCTGCATATATTTTCATGGATACCCTTCATCTCATGGGCATGCCTAACAATGAACTAGGTTCTAACTGGAGCTAAGGACTCATTTTAGATATTGGAGTGTAGCTTTATTACAGATGGATTTTATCTTTAAACATTGCATTTTGAACAACTTTGTATATTCACACGTATTACAATATTGTGCACTAAAAAAACAAAGATTTACAACTTTCAAGTTATAAATTTAGTACTTTTTTCAAATAGAAGAGCAACTCTTCAACAACGTGAAAGAGTTCCTACCGTGAAGACGGAAACGGGACAAAGAATGAAGTGCGTTTCACCCGCACAACGCTCCGTCCTTGGTCCCCGATTCACCCTCTGACACCAGCAAGGGCAGAGAGCGATGGGCTTATTTTCACTTTGCATTTTAACAGCTAATGTTTTGATGGTATTATTTCCCCCAATAAGCCCTAAGCTCACGTGGTTTGACTGTTAAACCTCTAATCCAAGATGCACAAAGCCACATTGGTATCCACACTGCGCTTTATTAAAGCCTAGGCAAGTAGCACAGTCCCAGAAACGGTGAGTAATGACTGTCTAGGGACCGAGCGCACGATGGTACCGTTCATTGTGACACCCGTGGGAGAAGGTAAAGCTGAAAACTGAGGGGCCACATTGTACTGATTTCCTCGACATGAAGGAGGAAAGACAGGAAGGGCCAGGAGCGTCTGAGCACGCGGCGAGGCGGCGCGGGCGGACGGGGTCGCCGCGTCACCCACATCTGGGGAGCTGCACTGTCCCTTCCCGACACACGGCTTGAAATGACTGCTCTGATGTCACCGCGCTGTGTCCCGATTTACACGTAAATTCAATGACATCCCCTGTTCTTGCGTAGTATGTCTTGTCGTCTTTCCCTTTCAACTCTATGTTATTTTCATTCATGATTTCTTGAGAAATGACACATGGATCTGAAAGTAGAAAAATAAGTAAGAATTAGTACTCTTTGCTTTCCTGGACTAACACAGCTGCACCCCGGGAGTCGCTGAGGATTACATCAGATGACGACGTCATCTAAACGGCTAATGTACGTTGTCGTGGGCCAAGTGCCGTCCTTGGTGCCTTCCTGGGATGCCCTCCAGCCGCCCCAGCAGACAGCTGCTGCAGGTCACACCCTGGGAAACTGAGGAAAGGGCCGTTCAGTCACCCCTGCCCGAGGCCACAGAGCTTAGCAGGGGGACGATGGGCGGGGGTCGCGGCCCCTGTCCCCGGAGCCTTGGTCTCTGGCCCTGGCGCGCTCGGCCTCCCGCCGTGAGCTCCCGTCCAGGGGAGGTGCGGGAACCTTGCTACGCGGTCTTGGCTTTTCGTTCTCCGTTTCCCGTTCCGCTGGCAGTGACTACAAACGCTCCAAATTCATCTGCACTCTGCTGAGTTGCACCAAGGTTTGTGTTTTTCTGTTCTGCCCAGTGTTGAAAGAGAACTGCACAAAACCACAAACTTTCTCATAAAGAATCTTCTAATAAAATACAATTATGTGTACATATATACATCAACCATCTCTATATCCATCCATCCACCCACCCACCCAATAATCCATTGTTCTAATTTTTTCATTCTCTATGGTCAAGACAGGCTGCATAGAGGCATGAATATATGCATAGAGTGGATTTGAACCCCAACTTCTTTTGGACAAATTTTCCTACCTCACTCTAGCACTGTGCCTTCATCTGTAAAACCAATACAAATGTTTCCTTTTTAGACTTTTTTTGTGACATTAAGAGAGTTTCAAGTTCATTGCTAGTGCACTGTGACTGTAAGCAATATTTGATGTATTATAATATTCTTTTAGACCTTGTCTTTTCTCAATAAACAAGTTGCTATTGAATTGTAGAAATTACTACATGCAAAAATTTTAATTTTTTTCTGTGAAATGGATTGGAGTGACACCGGTTAATACTGTTGTTTAGGTTTCCAGTGCACAATGTTATGATGCATCGTCTATATCTGGCATTGCGTGTCCGCCACCCCAAGTCAAATCATCTGTCAGCAGGCATTTGAGCCCCTTTTCCCTTTTCTATCTCCCCGCCCCCTTCCCTTGGAAACCACTGTACCGATGTCTGTGTCTGTAGTTTTCCCTCTTTGTTCATCCAGTACATTCAGTGTGATATCCCACATATGAGTGAAACCATATGGTTCATATTTTTCTGTCTGAACTATTTCACTTGCATGATGTTCCCAATCCATCCACTTTATCATACGTGTCAGTATTTCATCTTATAACTGAGTAGTGCTCCATTGTATATATGTGTGCCCTTCTTTTCCAAATCATATATCAAATTTTGAACATACCATGGACTCCTCTTCCTCTTCATTTCACTGAAGTATTTTGCATTCTAGTTTCGTCATCTCTAATAGCGATAAGGCCTTAAAAGTAGCTCACAGTTATGTTTTCACACATCCCATTAACCTTTACAAGATGAAACATTATAAAAATACATATCACTAGGGATATTTGTAAGTTTTCAAAGTCCAATGTGCATTCACATGCATGTTAATATACAAGAGTATGTATTATATGAGGTCTACATACCTCCAAACATATTCCGTGACTTTTCTTTTGCTTTTTTAATTTAATTTTTAAAAAATATATTGATTTTTTCATGAGAGAGGAAGGTGGGGGGAGAGAGGGAGAGAAATTTCATTGGTTGCCTCCCACACACATCCAGGGACATATAACCCCAAACGGGATTGAACATCTGAAATTTTAAATCGATGACTCAAAATAAAGTCTTATGTCTGTCACAGAACTGAGTTTATGTCCTCAGATGTCAATAATTGCTTCCCATTCTTAATGTTTGAAAAAGCTAACACTTGTGCTGTGAACCCTGCATTAGACTTGTCTCTCAAACGTGAGATTGAGAATTTATCTTTTAAGTTCAACACCTTTCTTTCTGTAAAATCTGGGGTGGAGCCATTTTAGACTCTTCTGACTTGTGCATATGCATCTTGACCCGAGTCCTGCCACTTCCAGGGTTGGGAGCACCGATTTTGCCAGAAATCCCACAGATGGGGACACACACACAGGAGATGATGAGAAGGCTTGGTCCACAGCGGGCTCAGTTACTGTGTCACAATCGGCGTGCGTGTGTTTGCCTCCTTTGTTGGACATCAATCCATCTAAAGGCGTGGGGTTTGTTTCTGGGCTCTCTATTCGCCGTTGATCTAGATATTTGTTTCCATGCCGGCACCACGCTGACCGGATAACGGTGGCCCGGTAAAGCAGTTTGATATCAGGAAGCATGATTCCTCCGACTTCCTTCTCTTTCCTCAAGATTCCTGTGGCTCTATGGGGTATTTCTCATTCTATGTCAATTTTTGGAATATCTGTTCTCGTTCTGTCAAATATGTCATTGGTATCTTGATAGGAATAGCATTAATAAGAATAGTGTTCATATTGCTCAGGGTGGTGGGGACATTTTATGACTTTAATTCTTTCTATCCATGAACATGACAGACCTTCTGTTTATTTGCATTTTCTTCAATGTCTTCTAATTTTCTGAATATAATATGTCTTTTACATCCTTGGTAAATTTATTGCGAATTATGTACTCTTTTTGAAGCAACTATAGGGGCATTGCTGTCTGAGAGCTATCACCTCACACCTGTCCGAATGCCTGTCGCAGGAAAACATCAGACACCAGTGCCGGTGGGGATGTGGAGGAAGGGGGGCCCTCGGGCACTGCGGGTGGGAATGCGGCCTGTGCGCCCCTGTGGACAACAGTACGGAGCTCCCTCAAAATATGATATATAAAACAGCCTTACCGCCCACTTCACAGGAATTCTTCACAGGATTTATCCAAATCTAAATGCTAACTCTAAGGATATAGACAACTCTAACTTCATGACAGTGTTATTTACAGTAGCCACGATCTGGAAGCAGCCCACGCGCCCACCAGTAGGTGAGCGGGTAAAAAAGCTGTGGTCCACCTACACCGTGGAACCCTCCTCAGCCGTGTGAGAGAAGGAGATCTTACCTTTCGGGACGGCACGGATCGACCTGGAGCGCAGTACACGAGGACAACAAACCAGTCAGGGAAATACCAGCATCATATTATCTCACTTATACGTGGATCAAATGAACAAACTAAACTAACACGGTGGAGACGGACGCACGGATACAGAGAGGAGTCGGACAGCTGCCGGGGGGAAAGGCGCTGGTGGTTGGGGGCTGGGTGAGACCCCTGGACGTGGACAACAGTATAGTAATTGCCAGAGGGAAGGGGGGAGGGAGACAGAAGCGGACAGAGAGAGGGGGAGTGGTGGTGGAAGGGGGCTTGGCTTAGGGGGGGAACACAGCGCACCAGATACTGTAGAACTCTCCACCCGAAGCCTGTATAACTCCCTTAACCATGTCCCCTCAATAAAAGCACTGAAAAAGGAAAAAAAAAAATCGGTGTGTCTGAATATTCCTGTTTAAGGAAACTTTGTATTGTTTACACAGGTATTTTCCCACCTTATTGCCTTACGCAGGAGTGTCGGAATGTCCAGCATTCAGGAGGACAGCGGTCAGAGAACACAGTTCTAGAACATCACTCACTGCACGGATATTAGGCTACAAAGAGCACTTGGCATGACTGGAATTTTCTCAGGATCCAGAAGAGTATGAAGAACTTACCTATACATCTCGGGGGTTCCGACCACTTGGCATAACTGCAGGTTACATGTTTAGGACCCCGGAGTTGATAGTAGGCCTGGCATTGGTATTCCACTCTTGACCCCGGAGGATACGCAGTCAGTGGGAAGGAGGTGAGGTCCCCGTTGCTAACAGCTGGAGGAGGCCCACACTTTTCTGCAGATTCTAAAACACAATTTCAGCGTTGAGGAAGGAGTGGGAGTTTTGGTGGAGACTACCTAAATACAGCCCACGGGACTCGGAACCCTGTCACAGGTGCATCGTAAACCTGTGACGTAAACGTACGGGGGAGGATTTCCCCTCAAACGAGCGCTACGTTGAAGTCGACTTTTCGACTCTCGGCCAAGGAAACCCAGGAACGAAAACACTTACTGAAGCAGGTCGGCAGGTGGGACCAGCCGTCCTCACCGCACACCATGGACCCCGTGGTGCGTCCGTCTCTGTTTTCATACCCATCCAGGCATTGGTAGGCCAGCGTGTCATTGGGCCTGAACACTTGTCCTGTGATGACGGCCGTGGCGTTCTCAAATACGGGCATGCCACAGAGTCCTGAAGGGAAATAAGGCTGACAGCTGTACGCCTCAGGCCACAGCAGGCATGACCCAACCGAGAGACCTTATGCCGGCAGTGACCACCGTTCCCGTCGGAGTGTGTAGGCCAGTGAGGGGTCCCTTGCAAACTCCTGATGCTCAGCGTCACCTTGTGCTGGAGAGCCTGCCAGAAAGCAGACTTCCCTGTGCATTGATCGCCGATCACCAAAGCCTCTAAATGTATGGCCACAACATGTAGTCACGTGTAAATATAGCTGCATGTCATGGGCTGTTATTGAAGTATAATTTTATGATGACATTGTCGATTTAAGGACAATGAAATTTGTGCATTTAAGAAGCAACATATGGGCCTCCCACCAAACACCACGACAGAGAAGCATCATGTTCTGTATGTCCCCCTGTGCCTCGCCCCATGTCCTTTACGGCATTGTTCACAGTCACTAATGCCTGGCTGTTTGCTTTTCTCTCAGTTAATCTCCTTATTTTTGTACATAAGCTTAGTTTTTCTTGTATCCGTTTTTCTTTACACCTACCAATGTGCTTAGTCCGCCATCTTTATTGAATGAATTAACGGTAAATAGCCCATCCCCTCTATGTGCAGGGAATGCAGGAGAAAGAGCATCTTTCAGCTCCCCACTGGTACTCGGCCAGGGCTCACTAGATTCCCGAGTTCCCATCCACGCTCAGTGATCACGGCTTCCCTACAGACACAGAAGGCGGCTCCCATCAAAGTTGAGCACTAGTAGTTCGTGATTTCTAATATAATGTCCATAAAGTTTATTTTCTAAATGTCAACCAAAACCCACAAAACAACTAACAGACTCCTACCAACTTAAAAGATGAAAGCCATTTAAAAGTTAAAGTGCTAATTAAACACATCATAGCTCTAAGATATAAACTTATATGTGAAATGGTTGTGAGAGATCTACATTTGGCAATGAGAAGCCAGAGCATTTATTTGAAATTTAGTTAAATTTTGATTTTAACTTTTTCTTCAATGAGCACATTGAGCAGGATTTCAGTGTAAATAGTAGAGTGACTTCTAACTCTGTTTCATTTCACATCATTTAGTGGCATTCATGAAGTATAGCTCTGTTGTTACTTAATAGATAAGGTAGCATACTCTAATGGTTACGACAACTTTGAGCTATTTAGACACCATTAGAATGCGAAAGTACTTGTGTCTTTTTTTAAGGTGGAGAGGACTTGATATATTCAGCTTGAGATGTGAAACATAAATCCTGCTGTACAAATAGGTCTGGGTCTCAGAAAATCACAGACTGCACCTTCTCTTTGCATTCCCTGTTCTCTCCCAATGCGACGCCACGGCTTGAGGGGACAGCCTCAAATGCACGTCTCCTGGCCAGGCCTACAGATTCAGCTCTGCAGTGTGCAGCCCGGTCCTGACTGTCCCCGGGACACTCACGTGCCGAGTCAAGCTGAGGTGTCCCTCTCCGAGTGCCCTTCCCACTGCCTGCGGCACCTCACAGGGAGGCAGCTCCACGCGCCGGCTACTCACGGAAACGATTCAAAGTAAACACAAGCGCCCCTTGATGCTTACCCTGTCTGACACCCAACGGCCAGCCACACTACCTGTGTTTTCTACCCACAAAACGCACCCGAGTCTGTCCCCTGCTCTGCTTCTCCTCACCCATCACCCTACCCCAAGCCCCGCCTAAAATTCTCCCTCGGCTTGAGGGGAATTCCTCATAGTTTCCAAGTACTGTTTTGTTCCCAAAGCCTGGCACAAAGCCATCGCTTAAATCACATGAGCGATTTAAGAACATTCTTCTCAATTCCACTGCCCTTCGACACACACTCCCTGCCAGCAAGAAATGAGGCCATGACAGGCGTGCTGGGCGTCTGCCTTAGCAAAGCTGGAGAGCGCTGTGCGCATGCGGGCGCCTCACTCGGCAGGAGCCCTTGAGGCCCGAATGCCAGAAACGAAGTGATTCGTTCCACGAGAACAGTATTTCTCAACAAGAAGGGTAATTTTTAAACTTTCTTTAGATTTCTTCTTTAAAACATACTATTTTAAAAAACCCACAGGCTAATTTACCTTTTTTCTAATACTCTCTTAATCACTCTATTCTTCTATACTTCCCAAGATTGAATGGAGAAACCGGTCTCCATTTATAACTAGTATAAGAAATTAAATTGCTAAAAACATACCCTCCATCTTTACTAACACGTTCCTGGAATGATGTTCATACGGGTTTAAGTAGTTTTCCTTACATTGTATAACATATTACGTAGCCAGCTAGTTTAAAAATGTAAAAAAATAAAGAAAAGGTATACTAATAAAAATAATAATACAGACAATTTACTCTCCTATTAAGACTGTTGGCATGGTTAATTGATCACAGTTTGATACAGAATGAGTTTGCTATGAAGGCAACCTTCATCATTTTTTCTTTGGCTAGTTCTCATAGTAAGTACAGACATTTAAAAAACTGAAAGAATAAACGTGGATATTTTAAATATCCACTTCCAGTGAATGATACATATAACCTTGTGGCATTGGGATAACTAAGATAAAATGAGCAAACTGTTCTTAGAATATTCTCATGAACATCGAGGAAGCTACAAGTGTTTCTTAGTCCCCTCTAACTAGAGGTTCATATTGTTTTCGTAAAAAAAATTTTTTTTTCCTGGAAGAGGGCCTACTCTGCAGTGTCAAACACATAAATTACACAGGAGACATAATTCCAAAATTATATGCTGTGAACCCACATTTTCACTTAAAAGCATAACTTTAACATCTGGAATGACCACTCGGACATAAAAGTCCGATCCCCTAAAAACAGGGACAGGCCACGGTCTCAGCCAGAAATAAATGAGCGGCCACCACGACGCAGAGACGGCTCCTGCAGCACTTTGTAGATCACAGGGGGTTTTACCGTGGAAAGTCCTTCAGCTGAAAGATGGCCTCACATCTGCCTACCAGTAATTAATTATAAAAGGCAAAAGATTACATACATTTTCTCAAATACTTTTTCATTTGTCTTTTCCAATGGAACCACCTCAGCTCCCGCCACCCCCAGGAAAAGCAACCAGGTAGAGTAAACATCTGTGCCACGGTTACCAGGACGATCACGCAAACGTCATGAGTGACTTACTGATGCATCTGGGACGAGCGGACCATCCACGCTGCAGACATGTGACGGATCCTGATGTTTGACCTTCTTCTGTTACATAACCTGGTTTGCACTTGTATTTTGCTTCGTTATTTAAGGGATATGCAGATTCAGGTTCCGAAATAAATCCATTCTCAATTTGTATATCCGACTTCAAACATGTTACTAAAGGGAAGAGAGCGTGACGGAAAGATAAGCATATGGCCCATAAACATGTTCATCAGGATCAAACAATATTACAACAAAAAAGGTTTCTGTTGTCATTGAAAACCTGGAAGAACCCCAATCATCGAAGGTACTGTGTCAGACAAAATAAGCCATGCGTTTCCAAAAATATTAATCAGGGCATTTAAAAACACCTGGGAACTAAGTAAGCCTTATAATACTCAGAACACCCGGTGAGAAATTACTGTGAGGTCAGAGGAGGCGGGGGCAGGGCAGGGGGCAGGCGGGAGGCAGGGGGCATCTGTGAGCGTGTCTGCAATAAAAATAGAGTTAAAGAATGAAAGAAATGTAACAGTAGTAAGTTACGAGGAGTCCGTCGCCCCGTGGAGGGGACGCCCCCGCCGGCCGTGGGCCCTTGCACGGGCCCTTTCCCAGGGCCTGTGCTGAACGTTGCTGAGAAGGTGGAGCTAAGTTCTCGCCACACGGAAAACCACGGTGCCAACGTGACCTGACGGATATGGTAACTACCTGGACCTGGTGGTCATTTCACAATGTGTGCACATGTTAAAATAACACGCTTCCGTACATGCCATTCCCGCTTTTTCAATTAAGCCTATTAATATTTAGAAAAGAACAACAAATTTGACAAAGATAACAATGTCGGCAGAAATCAGAAAAAAGACAAGCACTGGAGAAAATGAAGAGTTAAAAGGTGGTTCATTGGAGAAACTGAATGAAATTACCATAGGCAAGGCAAGAATACCGAAGAGAGTTCCAGGCCCACACAAAGAAGAATCTGAACCAAAGCTATGAAATTAACCTTGGGAGCTGCACGCACAAGGCCAGCGCGCGGCTCTGATTCCTGAAGATAAGGCTAAGGATGCGAGCTCCATCCTCCAAGTGGCTTTAGTTGGTGGGTGTGGCTTTTCCAGATTGCAACACGGAAGAACACACCCAAGCCAAAACGTCAGTCACACCGGACTGAAGAGGCAAAACCCGGCGTTCTCAGGCAGGGTGACGTCCCTGAGCTTGCGATCCACCGAACCGCGGGGAAAGAGTGGTGGAAGGAGATCGCTCCACAGATCTGCAGAGCTGACTATATCACACTTCGGGGCAGGGCCGAGCCCCGGGACAATGGGCAGGGAAGAGCAACTCCAGGGAGAGCTGGCAGGAAACCCTGAACTCAAAGGTTCGCAGGCCCACCCAGCACTGGCGGACACTCATACTGGATCAGCCCCATTGCGAAGGTGTCCTTCAACCCTCCTCCTTAGCAGAGAGGCCAGAAGAGGCCTTCTTCATCCTTGTTCTGAATGAACTGGTCCTCGCGGGCAGGCACCCAAACCAGCTTTACCAGCTTAGGAACAAGCCTTGAGTGGACCGAGTCAACCTGATCACCCGCAGCCTTCCAAAACCCAGTGCAAAACCAGGGAGACGCGAGGTCTCCGCCCCAACCACCAGAGGGCGCTCTCCAGGGGCGGGGCCAGCTCAGGGCGGCCACACCTCAGCTCCCGACCCTGCGAGGATCCAGCCTTGGATCTGTGGGCCCCAGGGGTGTGGGAATCCTGTCTGCTAGATTCCCGGACTCTCGCAGAGATGCCCTCATCCGCTGTGGTGTTCAAAATCCTTGTTCTTTGCGGGGAAGACACAAAGACACGAAGAAACGGCCAGCAGGTCGCCCTGCCCTCGCCACTCCATTGTTAGATGGTTCCTCTTTGCGGTCTTTGGCTGGTTTTTTAAAAACTAGTGTCTACCAGTAGGCATCTTTATTATGCTAGTGATGTGTCAAGATATTGGCGTTTCCACTTAAACACACTTGAAAAGAACCCAATTAGTCCACTGACCAAACAAGAAGCTGATAGAAACATTTTGCCCCAGAAATTACAGGTACATCTTACAAGATCACAAACAGACTGGATCTTAGACCAGCTTTCTTACCAACAGGGACGCATTTGGGAGGAGGGGACCAGCCATTCTCCGTACATGTCAGGGCGGTCTGCTGATTTTGGAGATTGTAACCAGGATGGCAGGTAACTGCAACCGAGTCATTCTGAAAGTATTCTTGTGGAGACTGTGGAGGATATCCGTGCTCCAAATAATTGAAAACACATATTCCTAAGAATGATAAAATGATAATGAAAGAGGCCCAATAATTGGGTCAAAATAATAAATTACAATTTATGCTCATGATATTTATATTACAATGCAGAAGCAACCAAAAATAACATGTAGACTAAGACATCCTGAGGCTGCTACCAAATGTTCTTTGACAATCTATATTAAATATAATTCTCGGTAGTACACTATTAGAATACGCATAAATGACATAGGTATTCTTGTGGAGTCTCCTTTTCCCTCTCGTGTTTCTAATGAGAAACCTCTCAGAACGAACAACCTATATTGTTCTTTCTGCTCACAGCATACATCCCTGGACCTTATTTTGGTCACACAGCGTCATTGTTCTCACCCGAGTAATTCTACCTCCTCTCGGAAATACCTGCACGCGCACCAGGACGAAGGGCTTTACTTACTGCGGCACGGCACTTTCGGCGACCATCCGTCTCGTGTGCAAGTAATCCTATCCCAGAAGTGTCGTGTAGCAGTCACATAGTTGTCATCGCAGCTGTAGTAGTACCACTGTCCTACAGAAGCTGGGAAGTATGGTCTGTTTTGGTCTTCCCTGTACAGTTTCCCATGTTTTATTTCTGGAAACTCACATGGCTTAACTTGCAATAAACACAAACAAAAACACAGTATAAATAATGTTTTACTTTAATAGAATCTAATGAGACATTAATGGTTTCCTTGATGAATCATATTTTCTTATTACCATAATTATACTCATTGCGTCAGAGATCTAGGACAAGAAGAGTTATAAATTCAGATGGTGTAAATAACACCTGTTTGCTGATCATTTCGCAATACATGCACACATGGAGTCATTCCGTTGTACACCTGAAACAATACAAGGTTACCGGACAGTTCTATCTAAATGAATAACTTCCATCCTCCCTGTGACTGGCACACGCACTGAGGTCCGTGTCACGGAGATGCCAGCATCCTCTCTAAGGGCATCGCGCTGTCACATTCATGTGGGCGCTTGTCCTGAACTGACACTGAGACCGTTGACCTCCTATTGGCATCATTTCACTCTCCCCCATGGACTCCCAGCCGCAGGGTGGACCCCCCGCTACAGCGACCTGACCCGTGAGGACGAGGAACGTGGTGGTGGAGGCAGGAAGCACTTGGAAAGGGGGCCAAAGAAACCCCCAGACATAGACGCCCGGCTGAACTGAGTGGCATTTTGTGACACGTGATGGTGTCAGACAACCCACAGTGCCTCCACCTCTCCTCCCCCAGGAGGAGCCAGTGCCCCGCCCCTTGGGTGAGGCCTGGACTCTGGGACCCTCTTCCACAGGGAACGACCGGCTGAGGAGACAGTCAGTGAGCAGGTCACAGCCGACGCAGAGGTGTCCTTCCTCCTTGTGTCTCAGATCACTCGCTCTGGGCACCGTCACTGACACTCAGGCTCCTAAGGAGGCGCCCCGTGGTGAGGCCCTGAGGCTCCTGCTCCGCCAGGGGAGGGCGCCCTCTTGGCAGCAGGTCCCTGCCCCCCCCAGCCCTCGGCCCACGCCCTGGACCCGCGTCCAGTGCTGCCCGGAGTGCAGCTGGGAACAGGGGTGAGTCAGCTGAGGGTGGTGGTTCGCATCAGTGTGTTATGGGGAAGTTTTACAAAGAGATCAAACACTAATATACTTGTTGCCAGACAACGCTAGTCTTAGCCAATGTTTTAGTTCAGATCCTGGAAGTATATTATTTATAGAAAGAACTAAATACACCTGCACATATTTATCATCGAACAGAAAAACCTAAGACTTTTTCAACTGCAATCACATGATTTTATCCTTTTTAAAATTGGCTGCTTTGAGAAGCAAAGTTTGTTTTTAATCCTCTGTTCCCCATTCTCAGTAAGTCATAGACTACAACTTCTTAGTTCCCCATTTTTGTCTTTAAGAGAAAAAATTTCAGAATTAAGAAGCAGGTCATGATTTGACTGGAACTTACAGGTACACCTTGGAGGAGGTTCCCAGCCGGTTACGGTGCAGCGTGACGTGCTGCCTCGGGTTGAGTGATAAAAGCCGCTCTTACACTGGTACGTGACCACATGCCCGAGTCTGTATGTGGGCCTGTCAGCGATGTAGTGGCTGTTCGCAATTTTTGGAGGGTCACAGGTTGCTTCTGAAAAGAAAAAGGACATGTGGAGAATGCAGAAGCCACTGCCCATGGAAAGAGTCCAGTCCACGAGAAGAGAGTGGAGGTCACAGGAATCCCCCAGACCTTTGGGTACCACCCAGCTTCTCTGCGACACATTTCCCAGTCGCGTTTTCATGAGCATTTTCACACGACTCTACTACCTGTGGAGAGGCTTTCAGACTATGGAACTCAGAGGATAGAATACTATTTATTTCATTTTCCCCTGAGATGAATATACCATAATCTTCCAGTAAGTTATTCTCTTTAACGTGAGAATACACACTATTCCTACGAGCCGATCCACTGACACCTAGAGTCATGTGAAAGTAGGTACAGCACGAAGTTGCGGGTTAGAGCGAGGCTGCGTGTGCGGCTCTGGTTTCAGCTTACCTTGCCCATGCGCCCCGGAGACCCACAGGGTGACAATGACGCTGATCAGGGACAGCAGCATGTCGGGCACCCCCGATGGTGCGTTCATACACAGATCCCAGTCGTGCTGTTGGGGTTTAAGTCTGCCTCTCGCGCCCTTGTTAGTGTGGCGCTGAAGTTAAGTGCCCTGCCGGGAAGCTACGTTACCGGGCTCCCTGAGTGACTATCAAAGTCCAGAGAGTTTCACAATATCTCTAACCTTTCATGAATGATTTCACAATCATTTCAGGATTTCACAACCTCGTTGTACTTGTGTCATTTTCCTAAGAAATACCAATTCACAGGCAACCAAAATGAAACAAAACACTACTTTTTAACTTAAAAAATTCTTGAGAAGAGCGAGGTTCTTTCTCCAGCAGGAGATGATGAAGGAATAACTCCGAGTCCACGTCCCTGTAACTGTCTCTTGTCCTTTATGGGCCCCACCCAGCTTTGGTCCTCCAGCATCTGTGACCACCAATAACCAAAGCGACTAACAAACGTTTGTTAAAATCCTACCACTCAATGTTACTGAAGTCTTTGTTATTCAGTAATGTTTAATTATATTCTTAGTCTTGTAAGGACTCCTTTTCGTCCCATGATTTCCATGAAGAGCTCTCATTAAAGAAAAGGCCTCTTTGGGTCTTTTTGCTCCCAGACTACCCCTTCACCCCATCGTTGTCACTCAGGCCTGGCTGTGCCCCTCACGTGCACTTTCGTCTCTGGTCCTTGAAAGACACACACAGGGTGCTTCGAGCAGGTTCACTTACCGTGGCCTGGCACGTTGGGCGACCGTCCTTCCCGCGGGCCAGCGATGCCATCGGCCACCTCGTGACAAAGCCCCACAGCTGTCCTCACAGGAGCAGACCGTTTCCTGCTGTCCTTGGGAAGCAGGGCTCATGTCTGCCTTTCGCGTGGGGACATCTATGCTTTCTCCACGGAGTATTTCACGGTGTCACTTGCAATAAAAAATGAGGGGCAGATTAAGTAAGGATTCATTTCCATGGCCAGTGAAGCAGCAGCAGAATTGCTCCGTCGATGAACTCTCACCTCTTCAGCATCGCTTTCCCCCTGACCTGAGGGTCCCCGGGACAAGGAGGGTGACAGAGTTCGGAGGCCCAGCTGCGTGAGGATGTCTTGTGGACCTGCAGGAGATTACGCCCTGGGGTCCCGTGACGTATGACCCTGGATGTGGACTCTGCGGGAAGCGAACTGTTCACACGGCCCTGCTGCGCTGCCCGGAGTCCCTGGGGTCCGGCGCTGGGGGAGGAGGGGGCTCCTGTCCCAGCGACGGGGCTGCTTTCCCCTCCCAGCTCACTCCTCCCCGTTTTCCTTCTTTCCATTCTCATCAGAAACGGGAGCCTGGGTTTCCCCTTCTCACACCAGCTTCATGCAGAGAGATGGCGGGGCTTTATGCTTTTTTCTAGTTTTGTTTGTGTTTCTTACATTCTTGGGGTTCCACCCCCTAGTTATTAGAGACAGTTGAATATATACAGAGAAAATAATATTTCTCTTGACCAATCCACACAGCAAAGTAACATCTTAGTCCTGTCTCAGAACAGTCATTTACACAAGATGTTCTTATTAACCAGAAAAAAAAAAATTCCTTACTCTGTATATAATTATGGTAAACATTTGATGCTTTAGTTCTGCTTTTAATTGGAAAATGTGTTTTTAAGTGTATCTTAAAAAATATACTTAAAGAGATGTAATTGTGTTTCATCGCATTATTTCACCTATTGAATATTTTTCATTATATGTGCAAGTGCTATGTTGTATATTAATATTTGTACATATTTATTGAGACAATTGCCCTTTACATGACATGATTTAGAAATACTCTAGTACTTTTATACCAGACCAGTATTCCCTTTTATCCCAAAATATGTTTCCAGCCTTAAAAGCGGAAAGCAATGACGTTGAAAAACATGACGAACACACACACAGGTAATCCAGATACGCAGTGTCACGTTCATCTCCAAGTTTCCTGATCTGTTTCCTTTACTGTTTGGGGACAGACTTTTTCAAGTGCTTTGTACAGACTGTCCGGTGGATTACAAACTTTGATCGCTGCACATCTAGAGTCTTACTTTCAGCAAAGGCCTGGCAACGGCCCCCTCAAAGTGTAGCGTTTTGGCCGCCATCGGTCCTTCTCTCACATCATTGATGGACACTTTTTCCTACTTCTTTGTAGCCTTTAATGTTGGGAATAAAACGCTCATCTCATTTCATTATCAAGATGGCAGAGGAGTGAGTGGAAGTCACACTGACCTCCTTCCAGGAACAACCTGGAACTACAACTAAACTGTGGAGAAATCACCTGGAACAAATAACTGAACAAGAGCGAGAGAGGAGCCTTGTAACCTCGGAGACAGCAGAATCGGCTGTAGCGCAATCTAACTGGCAAGGAGTGTGGTACAGACCTGAGAAGGTGGGCAGGGCGCCCGCGGGCGGCAGCGCCAGAAGGATATTGAAATGGCCAGTTGGATCCCCGAGAAGAGCGGGGTCTAAACCAAAAGCGGGGATCTCTAGCCCACAGCACCAGAGCCCAAAGAGTACACAGTTAACAGCCAGTTGCGAAAAGCGGCAGGGTTGCTCTCTGCCAGAGACAGGCGGCTGGAGACGCAAAGAGCCTTCTAAAGGGCCAACGCAAGAGTTTTATTTGCAGCCACTTACCCTGGTCTCCGGCAAAGGCGGGGGCACAGTGGGCTGGAGACGCCCGAGGAGAGACTGGGGAAGGCGGCTTTGGGGAGAGAACTGAGAGAGCAGCCGGCGGGATTTTGGGGCTGACTCATCCCCCAGGGGGCAGCCCCCCGCTTCTTGCTCAGGCAGAGACCGCTGCCCCTGAGCGGCACCAGCGTCAGAGGACCCAATGGCCGCGCCCCCAGGTGGGATTCCACCCCGCCCTGAGACAATTACCATACGATTTCACCTACAGGTGGACTCTATTCAACAAAATAAACTAACGAACAAAATAAACCACAGGCACGGAAACGTGGAGCAGACTGAGAGGGACCAGAGGGGATGGGGAAAGAGGACAGTGGTGGAAAGAAGGGGAAGGGAGTAGACGAAGAACAGGTATGAATGACGTAGGGACATGGACAATGGCGTGCGAGTTGACTGTGGGGGGGTGGGGGTGAGATGTGTGGACGGGGGGCAACGGGGTGAGGACTGAGACAACGGTAATAGAATAAACATGGTTTACAAATAAAAAAATTAAAAAAAAATGGTAGGAACAGGGACCAGTGTCTGACCCAGAACATTAACAAAAACACAGAACAAGTGGTCCTTAAATATCTTCAGTGCACATAAGCACATTCAAAACAAAATACACCTTAAATCTGCACAGGGGTACCATGCGTTATCTGCTGAAGTGGGAACACCTCTAGCAGGTTGACAACGAGCCTCTGTGAGAAGGAGCAGAAACATCAGCGACGCGGCTTGAGGGCCCACGAATTTCCCCTCCGGCAGTTTCCCCGACGACACGTCCGCTGGCGCAGGCTTCCCGCGTCAGTCGCTATGGGCACAGTAAGAGATCAGAATGGACTCGCGGAGACGCCCTGCAAACCGGAAACAGCGAGGCACCGCGAGACGCGCCAAACCACCTCGCTTCCGGCGACTGAACGTACCGGGCCCCTGGGCCGTAGGAAACGGGGGGCGGGGCTGAAGGGTGTCACGTGACCCTGCGTAGACCCTTCGCTGTCCCTTGGACTGTGGCAACATCCAGGTGTTGGTGCGCATTTTAAGGAGTAGCCTCATAGAGGGGAAGGCACAAAATCTAAAATTGGAAAATACACCAATAAAACTATGGTCAGAGGTTGCTACTAGTGTGGTAAGCAAGCCAACCAGGAATTAGAAGTACATCCCGTCGTTTTGAATACTTAGAGGCTGTCATACATCCCGGGACAAAATGCGCGGGAGTTTCGACCTTCGCTCCGCAGTTAAAGTGCCAACAGCAATGGCTGCACTGCGCTTTTAAAGCTTTTTTTTCTTTTTCTTTTTTTTGAAACTGAAATATAAGAATGTGGAAGCAATGAGGAAGGAGAGAAAAATGTATTGAAGATTTTCTAAAGCCCATATCATTAAATCTGAACTGAAAAATCCCAAAGAGGCTACTGCTTGCTTTATTTTCGGAATATGGATTTCATTCTGTCGGCACACAGGCTGCAGTCCACTCCTGAGGACAGCCGGGGTCTCCGTGGGAGTCCCAGCTCTCGTAATACTATGTGAAATCATTGTAAGCTGAATGTTTACCATGTCACACACGTGTGTATTAATGCCAAGGGTGAGCAAACATTTACTGACCACCTTCTGCATATCAGACACTGTGCTTTGCCGTGGGACTTGCTTTGTGTTGACTCTTGTGACAATATCTGTTCATTGTCTCATGACAACACTCTATTGCTATTTGAGACAGCTGAATATTTTGTAAAATAGTACATCATGCTTATAAAAATATATATTCTTTTAATGGGCATGTTGTTAACGCTTGCAATGCATTTTAAAGTTCATTTCTTTTTAATAGTTCGGACAATCAAAAGAACCTAGGAGTAGAAACATTGCAACACCATTGAACTTGGCCATCTGGCACCAAGAGCACACAGGTGTTTTTTTTGAAGTAGGGAAATAGCATTCAGAACCATAGAGGTTCCAGCACATAGGTGTATATGTGCGTGTAATAGGTAGAAGCGGTACCCAATGAGCATGGAACAACATGTTCTGGTAAAAAAAGGAGAAAGGGTGAACAGCTAAATATGGAGAGAGCCAAAGCGATCAGAAATCTGTTTCAGGAGACAACCACTAGCCAAATTTGGGAGAATTTGGGCCTCCACCGGAAGAATGAATATGACCAATTGTGACAAATGGAATATTAAAAACTGAATTCATGGTGATACATACACCATTTTTAAAGAGGAAGAACAAATCCTCAAAACCACCATGGTTACTGTCAGTTCTTTGTTTTGATGACTCTGCTTATGTTTTGGTTGCTTGTTTTTTTGTTGATTAGGCTCCACTAATAGGTGAGATCATACGGTATTTTCCGTAACCAGAAGGGTGAGGGGCAGGGGTTAACAGGGGAAGGAAGAGGAAAGGTCGTCAAGGAACATGTGTAAGGGACCCGTGGACAAAGCCAACGGGGCGAGGACAGAGAGTGGGAAGGCAGGCGTGCGTGGGGCAGGCGAGGGCGGCTCGAGGAACTGTGTTTGAACCATAAATAAAAACAAAAACAAAAAAACCCAGAACATAAAATGTAAATGTAAAACGACCATGGCAGGATGCAAAACAAGTTCTCACTCCAAAAACGGGAGATTAAAGGACAAACATAACGATTAACCTCATCTTTTTCGGTGAAAGTTTAGTTTAAGCAGAGTTGGTAAAGGAACGCCTACCTCTATACAAGAGCGACAGTTAATAAATGCAGAAGAATGATAGAACTGATCTGCAAAATTACTATTTTGCGGCCATGAATGAAATAATTGACTAAAAGCAAGTGTGCCTGGTTCCACTACCATTGGGTAAAAGGTTTTGGAGCACTATTACATACACAAATATTAACACGAGTAGCCAAGAAACTCGTCCGTTGTGACGACGATCCTTTACGTGAGAGGAACCGGCTGTCCCAGTGACTCCCATTCCATACACAAGGTCCTTGGTGACAGCCAGTATCCTCACCCGAGCAAGGTCCCGCCTTTGGTTTTAATACCAGGTCACAAGGTACCGCCTCAAAGTATTTGTAGCTTAATTACTTTTATCTTTATTTTCATTTCTGAAATCTTTTCTTGATTTTGCTGGGGTAACATTGGTGAGTAAATTATATAGGTTCCAGGCGCACACTCCACAACACATCACGTCTACATGGCAAGGTGTGCACCGCCCCATCGGCCTCCTTCCGTCCTAACTGTCCTGCTTCACCCGCCTCTCCTCCCTCTCCCCCCGGCTATCACCACACTGTTGTCTATGTCCACGAGTTTTATTTTACTTTTTTTAACCCCTTCATCTTTGTCACGTAGCCCCCCAAATCTCCCCTCTGACAGCTGTCAGTCTGCTTTTGTATCTGTGAGTCTGTCTCCATTTTCTCTGCTGGTTTTTTTCATTCATTAGATTCCACATAAGGGTGAAATCTTATGGAGTTTGTTTTTCTCTGCCTGGCCTATTTCACTTCGCTAAGGCTCTCTGGACCCATCTATGCTCTTGCAAAATGTAAGGTTTATATCTTCACTTTCATCTTAAGGTATTAATGTTTCTGCAGAAAATAAAAATGTCTATACTCAACTGATTTTAGTTGAGTTTGTGCTTGAAATGCACAAACACAAATCTCATATTTCAGACTCTTGTGTTTGAATGTTTCAAAAACTCTGTATCAGCAAAATCAAGAAAATCATATTTGATCCAAACATCATTATGAAGAGTTCTTTCTGGTTCTCAACATGTTTTGTCTTACTTGGGTGTATATATATTTTAAAATCCCATTTTTGTGGTTCAAAGGTGGTATAGGTTCAAGATAGAAAAATGGGAGAATACAGGAATTCAACCCCAACTCCTACCCCATTATCTTTCAATTCAACCATAGTTATGGTAAGCGTTTCATTGCACTTCCTGCCAATCTCTGTTCTATGAACATTTAGACACTGCCCACAGCATGCTGTGGGAATGCGTGTATGTGGTTATGTTTGATGCTGCATTTTCACCGGTGTTCACGGCAGTATTACACTAGTTATGCATTGAATGAGGTTCTAATTGCTTTGAATGATTCATGTGCTGGGGGACATGTAGTGGAAGGCCATGCCTTTTCCCACGTCTGGTGAATATTTCGCTGTGGATACAGGTTAACAGGTGACATCTTATTGCCAACACGGGTGTGACATAGTTTGGTTTTTACATGTTTGTGAAGTGATTATATTTCGAAGATAGAGACAAGCATATTTTCCCATTGCCTCTGAAACAAGAGCCTGAAACTGCCCCGGAAGAGACGGAGCAAGTGTTGAGAAGGTGAGGGGAACGGCCGGGGGCCTGCAGGCCGTGAGGGGCCGGCATCTCATTTTGGTCACGGACGTTTCATGCACGGAACACACAGCATTGTGGTTTGCCACATTTTAATGAAATAACTTTCAGAAGTGATTGACTGGTCTCAGATTATAATGATAGCAACATAAATTCTGACTTATGAATAACAATGAGCTAAACCATACCTGAAAAAATAAATTGAGAATTGGATCAATATCAAGAATTCTCAAGGAATGTCTGTATTTAAATTTTAAGACTGCACTATAACTCTCATTTTATTCACAAGTGGGATAAGCAATTTTCCCTTCCTGGCATGTTACTCGAAATGCAGAATGTGGTGACTTTCGACGATGACGCCAAGATCGACAGTCAAATTCAATAGTATCACCTGTTTTAGAATAAAGTTTTCTCTCATTCCTCCATCTGAACTGTATGTTATGTTTTTCCATCATTTCTTCTGATATGACACATGGCTCTGAAGGTAAAAACAATGGACATAAAACATTAAGCGGCATACAGATGCTCACTGCTGAATTTTAGACCGCCTTTCAGAATCTTCTACGCTGACCCAGGAATTTATTCTCAAAACCTTTTCCAATGGAATTCACTGAAAAGCCATCATGTAGATGTAAGTCATTGTAAACATGACGTACTCTGTGTGGTAACTAAATGTTGTCACCAAAGTTCACAGGACCACTTATCATGTGGAGAGTTTTCATAAAAGAACCTTTGTTGCTCTTGTTACTTAAGAATTTTGCAAACATCATCTGCTCGTGCATCACTATCAGGCAGTCCAACATTCGACAGAGTAATGGTTAATCCGTGCAAGTTCTCTTATACACGGCAGAACATCACACCCTCTACACAGATGTCCCAGGACCCGTGAGGGCAGGAACGCACTTACCTAAGCATCTGGGTGGTTCTGACCACTGTCCGTCACGGCAGGTTACTTCCCTGTTTCCCTGCAGTTCATAGTAAGCATGGCATTGGTACTGCACGGACGCTCCTGGAGCGTAGACCGCTGAGGAGAATGTGGTGATGTCTCCATTGTCGATAGTGGGAGGGGGCCCACACTTTCCTCTGGACTCTGAAAAAGGATAGTCTTTGAGTTCAGGTGCCTCTGGAGTAGGTGGAAGCTACGCCAACCTCGACCTGGTGCCAAACTGGATTTACCACTAAATCAGAGAGTGAGCAGCACAAATGCAGGGCGGCTGAACAAGAGTATTGTAGCCAAGGATGAGCAGGAGCAGCCAGAGAGACAGGTAAGAAGAGAGGGGATACGGGCAGCTTGGACCCTGCAGCCACAGGCGGTGGCTGAGAAGCCGGAGGGACACCTGGGCCGAAAACCCCCAGGAAGGTGCGTGGACTCTCAACCCTCCCTCTGGAACGCCCAGCACAGAGCATCGCTACTCCTATTGCAGCCAAATCTTCCATAGTGTGAATATACCTTATTACTTATTCAGTCCACAGAGAGAACTGGGCTGTGAGCACCATCATTTTACTTGCATGAGTTCATTTATTCCGTAGGAACTACTTCAGTATGTATTCCCATCAACGCATTTTGTCCCAAATAAAGACCCTAAAACGGGGCTGAGGAGAAGAGTAAGATACTGTACCTTTGCATTGAGGTGGATCTGTCCAATGTCCATTTAAACACATCACCTCTACCTCCCCAAAGGGGTCAAAAGGTTTGATGCATTCATAAAGCACTGCATCCCCAGATAGATACCTAGGTTTAGTGCTTCGTATATTGGCATTTTCCACTTTGGGAGGACTCCCACAGGAAGTGTCTGAATAAAAAGAAAAAATTGGATACCTACTGTAGGATTCTTTAGAACTCAAATCAACAATTGGGATTCCCATATATTTCCGGACTGAAAGTCAATATGAATGGGTCTTGAAGACTGAAAAATGTCATAAATTGACATGTGTGATTGAGAAATAAAGATAATTGGGGTTTTGTTGGTGAGAGTTAAGCTTCTACACCCTAAAATTCTTTCCCACCCTCCCTCGAAGACTGATAGACATTTTTAGCCAATGTACCTGATGGTTTTTCTGGACATTTCCCTTTAGTTTAGTAAAAGAAATATAAGCTATATAAATTCAAGGTGAATTTGTAAACCCTAAAACTCACAATAACAGATTATTTGGCATCAGATTTGCTTTGAAATCATGTTTCTTAATTGCAATTTTAGGCCCTTAGAAAAATAGGTACAGTAGCCATTTACTTAGGAAATAAGTCAAGAATTGAATGCTTTGAGGACTACCACATAGTTAGAGAAGGGAGGTGAACTCTCAAAGATCCAAACAGAGGGTGAGGAAAATGAGAGAAAAATGAATTTATAATTTTACAGAAACGCTGTCGTAATTTTAGGGGGGCAAATGGTGAAGGGCGCTGCCATGAGCAACGAGGTTCCGTGGCTACGAAGCACTAACGTTCCCGAGCAAAAGTGTGTATGGGACCTGCGAGGGATTGATAAAGGGGTTCCAGGTCGCAACCCGAAGTGTTTGACGCTGCTTCCGAGTGAGCCAGTGAACTTGCATCTGCATGTCCACCAGTTTCCCAGAAGGCACTGACGCTGCCATTTCAGGGCCACTCGCAGAGGACACTGGAGCTCTACGGTCAGCCGCCACGTGCACACTCCATCCCTCTAGCTTAAAGCACGAACCTCCCTTGCTCTGACCTAAGACATAACCTGTGTTCGGTTTTTCATGACGCAAGAAGCGATTCTATATTATATGATTTGAGACACTTCAAAAAGTAAATTTCAAAAGTTTATCAAAATACCTCGGCATGTTGGATTCCCTATCCATCTGCCATTTATGCACCGTACCACATTGGATCCATGCATTTGGTAATATTGTTGACACTCATAAGCTACTTCCTCTCCTGATTGATAAGATCTCTTGTTCTGGCTTAGACCTCTGGGTATGGCATTATCAAAGCTGGGCGGGGAAGAGCAAGTCCTTTCTGAAAGGAACAACAAAATACTTGTTCAGGAAATCTTTTAAAATACATATGGGCCAATAATTTTACTCTCAAAGAATAGGTACCCACCAAACCAATGCATACTGTACAACAGTTGTCTTATAACTTGAAAATATCTTAGCAGTCTTGATTCGATTTCACTGGAAGACTCTACATGTATCACAAGTATCATACGGGACGGTCCTGAACCCTGAAGAGATCGGGACCATCCTCTGACGTTCCAATTCTTTTTCGTCCATAGAGGCCACCTACGTTGTAGCCCTATTTCTATCCTTCACTTCTGTCAAATCTCTTTCCCAGAATTACGTGGAACATCTTAGGAAATTCCATGAGTATTTACAAGCAGGTAACCGGGAAACTAACAGAGAGTTGGTTGACGACGGGGCTGATGAGCGGGGACAGCTGTGCGCCCAGAGATGGGGAGCCTCAGCGTGTACGCACATCAGAGCATGAGGCGCACGAACACCAGTGACGTCTAAGTGCAATAACTGGGTTCCCATTGCCAACCTGTTCGTGTGACTAGGGCTACCCATTCTCTACCAGAATCCAGAACTTTCTGGAGATAGCTTATTAAATTCTAGAATGACTGCAGTTTTAACTTCATATCATGGATGCTCTAAATCACAGATATTTATCAGCCCGAGAAGGAAGAAATACACTGTACTTATGCATTCTGGCGGGGGGCCCCATTTCCCTCCGGAACATGTTACGGACGCAGGTCCGTGAACCGTAAACCCCTGGGCACATCTGTATGTAAACTCTTCTCCATGCTTGTAGCTGTTTTTCCTGTTACGATTCGCATCATTGGAAATAGAGGGTGGCGAGTCACAAGGAAGTCCTGAAAGAAACACGGAAAAAATGCCTGCATATTTCCCTCACTCTGACAGTTATTTCAGGCACTGGTTGTCACGGTAAGTACTTTTGTTTGATCGCAGAGGTGCTAAGAATAGCACGTCACGGAAAAGGCGCGCAGGTGTTTCCTGCAACCAGCATTGTGGTGCGCGTCCCGCCCCCGACTTGAGAAGAGCTGAAATGGAATACGTCAATATAGTTCGGAATGGGGCTACCCACGCTTCTTCAACTAGCCGTGAGGAGTGAAAAGAGCCACATTTAGAGTCATGTTAAGAAAACTATCATCTATTGTAAGAGGTCAGAAAAGACATTGTGGAAAAAACGTAAGTTTTTTAAAAACCTGGGTGTGAGACTTCACTACAACATATACGAATATTCAGAAATAGGAATAGCTATACCTTTATGAATACTTAGGTTTAATTTCCCTACACATGCAGTTTTAGCAGGGAAAATGCCGTAGTTAAAAGTGATTTCATGTGCTACACGTTTTTTTATCCGCTTATGGACTGATAGGCCCTTGGACTGTTTCCGCATCTTGGTTACTGTAAACACTGCTGCTATGGACATAGGGGGACATATAGTCTTTCAAACTGGTGTTTCAGGGGACTCTGGATATAATCGCAGGCCTGGGATCGCTGGGTGAGAAGGCAATTCCTCTTTTCATATGTTGAGGTAACTCCATACTCTTCTCCACAGTGGCTGCTCCAGGAAAAAGAAGCAAATCCTACCTTTTGCAACTGTGTGGATGCACCTGGAGAAAACTGAGCTAAGTGAAACAAGCTAGTCAAAGAAAGACAGGTGTCATGCGATCTCACTTATCTGTGGACTCGAGTGAACGAAATAAACTGGTGAACAAAATAGACCAGGGGTATGGACACAAGGGAGAGACTGAGAGCTGTCAGAGGGAACGCGGGAGAGAGGGACTCGACGGACGAAGGTGAGGAACGTCGCTGAAGGCCATCTATGCATAGCCCATGGGCACAGATGACAGCAAGGTGGTGGCCAGAGATAAAGCGGGGCAGGTGGAGGCTGGTAGGAAGGGCAAGAAGAGCAGGGAATGGGGACATTAGTAAGTGTGGCAACAGCAACAATAAAGAGAAAAAGAAATGGTAAAGCGATGTCATAATAAACCCATGGCATTAACAAAAATAGGATAGGTTTATGCAAGAATTATTAGGTAAAATATGTTACTAGATAAATGGCATGTAAAGATATAAATGGATCTGTAAACTTACAAATCTATAAATTATATCTCCTGACTTTGATGATGATTATATTAATGAATTGCACCGAAAACAGAATTTTAGTTGCACGATGTCCTCACCTACACACTGAGGGGGACGACTCCATTTCCCCAGGTGGCACATTATCGTATGTCTCCCAGTCAACTTGAAGCCCTCTTTACAAACATAACCTAATTCAGTGCCATGCACATAGAGCTTGGGCTCCAGTCTTTCCCCTCCTTCTTCTTCTGATCTGGAGGAATTAACAGTTCCATGTTCTATATAAGGTGGCTGAGGACATGGCGTTTTCTCTACGATGAAGAACAGAGGTTGAAGGGTCAGGTACAAAGATCACGTTTGCAACGGAAAATAACATCAGACACGTTTGGGGTTTTTGAATAAGAATGATTTGAACAAATAAAATTATTTAATAACTAAACGATACTTGAAACTTGCAAAGACACAGGGCTCCATAAAATCAATGCTACCACCCACTCACTCCCTTGGTCCCTTTGTTCCCTCCTGTTCATCCTGAGGAGTAAAACTCGCACCGAGAGCAATCGCGTCTGGTATCTCCGCAGAAACCCAACGCGTCTGTCTGCACTCATTTCGCAACACAAGGGGCACAGTGCTGACTGCTTACTGTACCTAGGTTGCGGTGTAGGGTTTCGTGGTGAAGGGGAATGGATATGGAGAAAGAGCTTCATCTTGTTTCTTTACACAAAGCACAGGGGAGCTGTACCCTCATTTGATAGACAGGTGCAATGCAAATGACACACTACTGACCAATGCAGCGTGGGACTGACTTCCAGATTCCACCCTGGCACACGATATCTTCTGCTTCCTGAATCAGAGAATTGTTTTGACAGAGAATAGAGATTGTTTCTCCTTCCTGATAATTCACTGTAGTTGTCATATTTTCAGATTTGGGAATCTGAGGTGGAGGCGGACATCTTGGTATTTCTAGAAATATTAAAGTCAGATTTCTTGAGGAAAAGTCACAAGTTAAAAATATTAAGAGGCCAATTCAAGAAAGAAAACGGTCAGAAATAATGCATCTGAAAAGATCAAATTATCATGTTATGTTTTAGGTTTAAGTATGTTATAATTTTTTTTCCTTTTTTAGCATTCTAACATACCACATTGGGTTTATATCCTCATGGCCTTCTTCGTAGATTTGTTCTTTTATTCTTTGTGGTCAATCTTGGATAATTTAGGGAAAACCTATTTTAATGATTTCCAGCCAGTAGAATGTCCTAATTGGATTATCAATTCAACAACACACATTAAATCAAGACTGACACCGGAATCTTTTTTACAGATATCAATGATCAAATGTATTGGGAGCCAATGAAAACCCTCACCAGATGTTGTACCAATAGAAGCTGAATAGCCATAGGTCAGAATTGCATTTAGTTAGAGATCAATTAATAGGACACAGACTCGTGGCTGAGATATGAATTAGATGTGCTGACTAGTGACTGATGTACTGTTAAGAGTTTAAAACTGGCCCGCAAGGTTTTGTTCCCTAGCTTGCCTTAACTGGTCAAAAACCAATATAGGAAATTTAAATAGCCTACTCTCTGTTAAAGAAATTCAATTAATCAGCAAACAATCTTTAAAGGAAACCAAACTACATATCAGATGCTTTCACAGGTGAATTCTGTCGATTGTTTAAAGGAAAAAACAATATAATAACACCATGTGTAATAATATTACACATGCACATTCAGAAGACAGAAGAGCAAAGAACACTTCTCTGTGGGGTTTCTGAGCCCACCATAACCTTAACAGCAACACCTGGCAGAGGCGTTACAAGAAAAACTAACTGTAATTTAACACCCCCGTGAACACAGATGAAAAAAGCCTTAAAAATGTGTCAGCAATTCCAGTACATGAACATAAAGAAAGAATAACATATTGCCGCCAACTAGAGTTAACTCCAGGAATGAGAGATTTTTACATGAAGGTCAATGTTAAGAAAATTAAGAAAGTCTCATTATGTCGATAAGTTCAAAAAAAGCATTTAAAAACATCAACAGTAGTTGATGATAAAATTCCTCACTACACAAAGTGGAAGTAGAAGGAAATTCACTTAAGTTGTTAAAAGGCATCTACAAAATTCTAAACTAACAGTGTAATTGGGGTAAGAAATTAAGCCCTGTCTCCCAGAGGTCAGAAATAGGATAAAGATGGTTGTTTTCCTCACTTCCTTTCAACACTGCACTGATGTTCCAGCAAGTGCAATAAAGAAAACAGAGTAGCAAAATTAAAAGGCACCAGTGGAAATCTAATAGTGTATTTGAATGACACACTTGATCTACGAAAGAATAAATAAAATGAATAATATAATTTTGCATAGTTTCAGAGTATAAAATCAATATCTAAAAATTAAGTACATTTCTTTATAGTTAGAGCAAAAATTGGAAAATGTAAACATGCAAAATACCATTTGAAATATAAAATACAAAATATAAATACACTTAAAAAAACTCTAAATCTTCTACTCAAATCACGGCAGGGAAAATAGAAGCCAAAGTAAATAACTGAAGAGATATATGAAGTTTATGAATTGAACACTCAGTATGGTGAAGATGCCAGATCTCCCTAATTTATCTTTCATTAGACAAGCCATCCCTTTCTTTTCACAACGAGATCCACTGCAGAAATCGACAAGCTTTTCCTGTAATTTCTACGCTAATGAAAAGACCAGACAATTAAAACAATCTTGAGTACAAGGAGCGTAAGTGGTGAAAACACATCAGACTCCAAGACTTACTGTGAAGTTATGCTTGCCAAGGCAAAGCGGTGGGGGTAAGGATAGAAAATTGAGTGTACAGACGAAACGGAGGGTCGAGAAATAAACGGTCACTTCCAGACACAACTGATTTTTATTTCGAAGTCTCTCCCGCTCATATTGCTAGGACAATTAAATGTCCCTATACAAAAAAGAACACCGACCCTTCTTTTACACCATACTCACACTTAATTTACCATGAATGATACACCTAAATATAAATGCAAACACAATATAAAGCTTCGTATAAGAAAACACAGACAGACACATGTATTTCACTGACTGTAATAATTGCTTGTTTCCATTAAGGAGATCTGAAAATAAGTGGAACTTTGTATTGGTATGAAACTACTTTCTGTGTATTCCAGGCCTGAGGAAATTCGTAAAAATGCCGAGGATGGTGCATCGAAGTGCCCTAGAGTTGGCGAAGGCCAATACAGACGTGACAAGCGGGGAGGGGAATGCGCCCTGCGCTGTTGGAGTTGGTGGCCCTAATAAGACTGTTTCCAAGACAGACGTGGAAAAACAAAATGATGGATGACTCGATGGGCAGAGAGCCAGAGACAGATGGAAACATCAATAGATGGATACACATATCCCTAGTAATTCTGGGGAATACGGAAGAGTTGCAGGCATAGGTGTCAGCCCACGTGTAAGATACAAAATTAGTAGCGATGGCATCGCCATAGCAATGAGCACAGCCACTGCCCAGAGCCGAAGTTGCCATGTTTCCCGGTGGTCGGTTACCCTGCTGATGTGGACACATGAGGCAGCTAATACCTGGGAGCAGCGCTCAGGGTATATTCTAAATCACCTTCCGGCTGGGAACTATTTGTAAACATAGTTAAGAAAAAATTTAACGACACAAAGACACTCCTTTGCAAGGTAGGAAGAAATAGAGTGAAATCTGGAAACGTTATAATCAAGAGCTTACCTGTGCAGTTTACTGGGGGGTCCCACTTTCCATTTACGCAGACTGAGTGTTTCCGCTCTGACGTTCTCCTACACATGTAATTTACTTTCATACTATCCTCAGAGCTACCCATATCAGACTGGGTTATCTCATAATCATCTGACTTGGGTGATATACATGTCTTAACGTGACCTGTTGCTATAAAATGAAAATATTCCCTTGAAAACACTGAATATGAGAATCTAAGCAACTAAAACAAGAAGTAGTTACAGAGTCCAGAATATAATGAGATTTGAATGTAGGTCCACAAATTCTACCAGCAAAGTCATTCCTGATCCCGTGGCGTGAGGTGGGCTATCACATAGGAACGTAGCCCTGTGTCCATTATTGATGCCTCAGAGAGAGTTACTCTCATTAAGACACCTGGCACTTTGGGGCAGGCAAGAACACAGAGGCTTTCTGCTTTGTCAACGTACTGAAGGGTGATCACATGACTAAATCTGGTCCCATTTGAAATCTGTGCAAATGTTCACATCCATTCTTTTCTTGATATCAAACATTTCTACATTGTTTTTAATCCACAATCTTAAAATGGTAAAAGAAAAAAAAAAGATCTGTGGAAACAGAATACATGAAGTTGCCAGCTGAATTAAATTGTTTCAATAAAGTTAATGTAAAATAACAAGAAAAGTTGATCTAAGGTGTATAGAATGTGACTATGTAAGCATAGCTTGTGCATGATCACCAAAGTCAAGAACAAGAAATTAGGTGCTTCAGCCATGACCTATTTTGTATATATACTTTAGAATCTTTGAGAAGCTGTTTTATACACTAGATCGTCCTATAATCCAACACTATTACAATGCCATAATACCAAATTTATGCTGACTTCAGCATGGTATAAATGGACTGTTAAAGTTTTTATTCAACTATATATCTCAAAAATTCCACGCCTAAGGCAAATCCTTTTGGAATTTGATGTCAGTGGAGGCCTCAGGTACTGTTAATAATTTGTTAATGACGGAGTCAAGTGAGATGAACAGAGCAAAGAAAATTCAACTAATAGGCCAAAAAATAGTGAGGATTTTGGAATGCAGCCTTGAAAAAAAATAATAAAGGGGACTAATTTGAAACACATTAGAGTCTTGTGAATTAGTCCTGTTTCTCCAGAACTTGTCCCAAGTGTTGAGAAAGACAAAACCGACGTTCATCTTCAGTGGGTGTAACTGAAGGCACATTCGCATTCAGTCAGGAGCTGTGCGGTTGGTGCCCTAAGTCCAGTGAGGACTGCTTTCTGAAAAAGTTTCTTTATCAGGAAAAAATAAACATCTTCAGAAGCAAAGCTAGACTATGGGGAGCTACCAAATAAAAATAGAAGGAGAAAATATTAATCCTGTCTCTATCTACAAGTAAACTTTAACTTCCATACTTGTAATAAATGTTAACATCAGAAACAGATTCATAAAATTCTATCGCTGGTTTCAATTTTTCCTCTGTAGACAGTATTGAACGATAAACAAGAAATCTTAGGGCTCATTATAATTTAGGACCTCATATTTTCAAGAATATCTCCAAGTTTCAAAAATGTGGCTGCAAGGGTTTTACACTTAAAATATTAAGTTTCATTAAATGTCAATTTTCGAAAGGTATTCTCACCAATACACTGAGGTAGTTGGGTCCACTTTCCGCGAATACATGTAACTGTCCTGTGACCAGTCATTGTAAAGCCTTTTCTGCAGCTGACGTCCACTGACTCCCCGTGGTGGTAGGGAGGGGCATGGGAATCGATGGAGCCGTGATCGACTGCAGGTATATCTTCACATGAACTGTTCTCCTCTGTGAAAATGTCACAAATGATTGTTAACAAGGAGCAAACTGACAGTGACCGGGGGGAGGGGGAGGGGGCTAACAGAGAAAGAAGGGAGCGGGCCAAGTCCAGGAACATGAATAAAGGTCTTGGGGACGAAGACAATGGGGAGAGGATTGAATGCGGGAGGTGGAGGGTGGCTAGGCAAGGGGAGAGAAATGGGGGAAAATGGGGACAGCTGTAACTGAACGCCAATAAAAAGATTTAAAAAAAGTAATCTCCTAAAAGCAACTGGGAAAAAAATGAAATGAAATAAAATAAAATATAAATTATGTGTTTCTATGAATGGAAACACAAAGTGTTGACTTAAGTCAAAATACTAAAATTTGTTTCCATTACCTACACACTGGGGCAAGGGTGTCCACCGTCCATCTACACACTGGATTTTCTTAGAGCCCTTCAGCAGAAACCGGGGGCCGCAGGCGTACTCCACAACCTCGCCGTGCTTGTACTCCTCCCTCGGCGTGTCTGCGGCGTGGCCGTGGGGGAGCTCAGGGTGTGGGCCGCAGGGGCTCACCTCCTCTACGGTAGAGATGCCGTATAATTAGGGGTTCAACGGTCTATTTTACAACTTAAAATCCGTGAAACTTGCCCTCGGTTTATTACTTCTTATCGACTTTATTAGAGCGGTCTTCGACAAAGGAAAAGATAGGTGTTTACACTGGATTCATGTCTCCCAGTTCTGTTACTTACACCAAATCAGTATAGTGGAAGTATATTTAGGCCCAGGGAACATGTTCCGTATTCTAGATAAGCTAAAAACAAATGCGCACTAATTAACAAATATGATTGCGTAACTTACAATGATACTCACGTTCCTTAGAGACATTTTATCAAAACTTTTAAATTTCTCTTGATTTCTTGGGTTTAGAGGTAGAGAGGAAGGGGGAAGATGATGGTGGGGGGGGGAGAGAGAGAGAGAGAAATGTGGGTTGGTTGTTCCATTTATTGGTGCTTTCAGTGGTTGCTTCTTGTATGTGCCCGGACCCGAGTTTGAACCTGCAACCTTGGTGCAGTGCAATGATGCTCTAACCAAATGAGCTCCCTGGCCAGGGCCACAACTTTTTGAGAAAATACCATCATTTGAGGCAAGCACTTGCTCAACAAATTTTAAGTCATGTCGGTGATGGAATTGACTGTAAATGCTGAAATACTGTTGAGACACACTCAGTGAAACTTGAAGCGAAGCCCATGCTGATAGAACAAGACGCAAAAGTACGACTGAAGAAGTGACTCCAGCATCAGCCACCATCGAAGGTTAACGTCCTAAATAAGGAAACCCGAGGTGCCTCCTACCAACACGTGTCTTTCTCAAGTAAACCTCTGGCTTAATGCCCTAGATTATAGACACACTGGCAACCAACAGAAGACTAATAGAGAAGAACAATGCGACAACCAAAATTCTAATTCTTGTTTGAGCAATTATCAGATAAACAGTCACCTTTACATGTCGGAGGATCCGGGGACCATCCAAAGCTGTAACACTGAACTGAATCTGGTCCAACAAGTTTAAGTCTATGTCTGCAGGAGAATTTCAGCACGTCCCCGATAATATATTGTTCTTTCTGGGGCGCAGCAATTATGTTTTGCTCTATATCAGGAACAATACATTCTTTTTCTACAAAATAATTTATCAAATACTTTAATGAGAATATATAATTAATCATCACAAATGTAAACATTATATGTTGTGCAAAAATAAGTTGCTGGGCGTTGCATATTCAGAGCGGCATCAAGTAAGTCCTCTTCCTGGATAAACATTTATCTATCAGCTTTCACACACCCTTCAAATTCATGCGGGACTCTCTGAACAACAACGTATGTGTCCTGAAAATTTGTCTGCAAGATCAACTTCCTCATAGTGGACCTGATTTTATCACTGACATCTACGAAATTTAACGTTACTTTTTTTTGTTTTATCAAAAAAACCCTCTCTCTCACAAAAAGAACACCGATGCTCCAATTTTAATTTGCATGCTTAAATAAAAAGTGGCATTTCTGTTTGACATACATGGGAAACAGGACCCTCAGAGTGGCATTTCTGATATATTTCAGTTAGAGGAGCACTGAAAGTCACTTAAATAATAAATCAAACTGGCTATAGAAATAAGTCTGGGTCTCAGAAAATCACAGATTGGACCACCTTTTTTTATTCTCTATTCTCTCCCAGTTTGATGCCACCACTTCTGATGTGACAATGTCAAATGCACGTCTCCTGGCCAGGCCTACAGATTCAGCTCTGCAGTGTGCAGCCCGGTCCTGACTGTCCCCGGGACACTCACGTGCCAAGTCAAGCTGAGGTGTCCCTCTCCGAGTGCCCTTCCCACTGCCTGCGGCACCTCACAGGGAGGCAGCTCCACGCGCCGGCTACTTACGGAAACGATTCAAAGTAAACACAAGCGCCCCTTGATGCTTACCCTGTCTGACACCCAACGGCCAGCCACATTACCTGAGGTAATGAGATCACCTGTACATTCCTACCCCCTATCTCCACTGACAACCGTTCCAATATAAGGCTTTGGACACAGGGGCTCGGGGCCTTTTCCACTAGAGGGAAGTGCCGTCCCCTCTCCTGGCAGACGGACAAGTGTCCGGGATGGCTTGCTTTATTTCCTCCACCCGTGACGACCCCGGGATGGGCTCTGCAGGACCAGAGTCTACGCTCCCACCTTAGTGACCCCCGAACACGGACCACCAGATCCGGAGTCCACACTCCTCACTTCAATTACCTGTGTTTTCTACCCCCAAAATGTACCCCCAATCTGTCCCCTGCTCTGCTTCTCCTCAGCCATCACCCCCCCCCAATCCCCGCCTAAAATTCTCCCGCAGCTCGAGGAGAACCGCTGATGTTTCCCAAGTACTGTTTTGAACGCAAAGCCTGGCACACATCGGTCCCTACAGCGGGACTACTCTGCATCGCTCAGCTGCCCAGGGATTGAAGTTCTATTTCTAACCCTGGAGAACACACAGCTGATGGGCAAACATCAAGGGGATTCATGTAACCGTCCAGAGAACTACTGGAAATCAGAAAACAGAGAGCTCTTCTCGGGACCTGCAGCAATTAACACTCAAGCAGAGACTTAGGTGTGAATGCAAACTTGGGAGCAAAACTGCTGAGGAAGTTGTAGGAAAATATAATTTTGGTAATGAGAGTCCAGTTTTACATACCTTTACAATTAACACTCAAGCAGAGACTTAGGTGTGAATGCAAACTTGGGAGCAAAACTGCTGAGGAAGTTGTAGGAAAATATAATTTTGGTAATGAGAGTCCAGTTTTACATACCTTTACAATATATAAAAGCTTACGTTTGGAGAGACAGCATGTGCTTACTTTAATGACAAATCTGTGATGTGTGTGGACTACAGGTCACATCAAGGCACTGGGTTGATAGATTGGTATCTTTTGATTTCAAAACACCCTCTCCTCCCGAATTACATTAAATCAAGAGACACCTTAGTTTTAATCATCATTTATTAATAGTAATTCCACGTAACCCAAGTTTATTTAAAAAGCAAACAGTTTAAACGAATTTTATTACGATAATCCTGAAAAACGACTTACTGTGACAGGTGGGTGTATCAGACCAACCATTGTCCTTACATATTATGGAGCCTGTGATGTCTCCGTCTCTGTTTTTATATCCGTCCTGGCATTCATATTCCAACCTGTCATTGACCTTAAACCATGTGCCATTGGTTTTGGCTTCGGCGTTCTCAAACACTGGCATATCACAAGATTCTAATGCATAATAGAATTGAAGATTTCATGCCTAGTATTATTTAACAGACACTCTAATGGAGTAAGTCCCATCCCAAGGAAATGTATCATACTAAAATAATCTAAGAATACCAGTGCTAAGTCATCATCCTAAATTTGTTATTCAAGACAAAGCCGTGTGTTTCTACGAAGCAGTTTTATCATTGTTTAAATCATCTGAACAATGTAAGAACCTTCTTCTCAATTCCGCTATCCTCAGACATGTACTCCCTGCTAGCAATAATCTAGACCGCAACAGGTATCCTGGGCGTTTGCTTTAGCAAAGCGGAAAGCGCTATAAATGCAGGTGCCACACTCAGCAGCAGCTGTGACATCGATGCCAAAAAAGATATTATTGGTTCAATGAAAAGGTTAATTTTCAAAATGAGAGTGATTCTTAAACATTCTATAGAATTCTACTTTAAAACATATTAATTTTTAAACCTCACGTGGTAATTTAGCTTTTCTCAAATATTTTCTGAATTATTATATATTCTACACTTTTCAAGGCTGAATGTAGAGATAGTTCTACATTTATAATAAGAAATTAAGTTGCTAAAAAAATAGTCTCCGTTTTTACAAACACCTTCCTGGAGTGATGTTAATACTACTTTAAATAGCTTACCTCACATTTTATAACATGTAGCCAGCTAGTTTAAAGATTTAAAAAATAAAGAAAAAACACATATAAAAATAATAATAGAGACATTTTTTCTCTCCGAATAGGGGTGCTGTAATGGGTAATTGATCACAATTTAATATAGAATGCGTTTGATGTGAAGGCAACCTTCATCACTTTTTCTTTGGCTAGTTCCCACAGTAAGTATAGAAATTGAAAAAAATTAAAAAATTAAAGATGGATATTTTAAGTATTCTCGTCACTTCAAGTGAATGCAAAACATAATTAAGTGGCTTTGGGATACATAAGATAAAATGAGTGGCGTGTTCTTAGAATAGTCTCATGAACATCGAGGAAGCTACAAGTATTACTTAGTCTCGTCTAACTAGATGTTGATGTTGTTGTCTTAAAAATATTTTTTTTTCCCAGAAGAGGGCCTACTCTGCAGTATCAACCATATAAATTACACAGGAGACATAATTCCAAAATTATGTGCTGTGAACCCACATTTTCACTTAAAAGCATAACTTTAACATCTGGAATGACCACTCGGACATAAAAGTCCGATCCCCTAAAAACAGGGACAGGCCACGGTCTCAGCCAGAAATAAATGAGCGGCCACCACGACGCACAGACGGCTCCTGCACCACTTTGTAGATCACAGGGGCTTTTACCGTGGAAAGTCCTTCAGCTGAAAGATGGCCTCACATCTGCCTACCAGTAATTAATTATAAAAGGCAAAAGATTACATACATTTTCTCAAATACTTTTTCATTTGTCTTTTCCAATGGAACCACCTCAGCTCCCGCCACCCCCAGGAAAAGCAACCAGGTAGAGTAAACATCTGTGCCACGGTTATCAGGGCGATCACGCAAACGTCATGAGTGACTTACTGATGCATCTGGGACGAGCGGACCATCCACGCTGCAGACATGTGACGGATCCTGATGTTTGACCTTCTTCTGTTACATAACCTGGTTTGCACTTGTATTTTGCTTCGTTATATAAGGGATATGCAGATTCAGGTTCCGAAATAAATCCATTCTCAATTTCTATATCCGACTTTAAACATGTTACTAAAGGGAAGAGAGTGTGACGGAAAGATAAGCATATGGCCCATAAACATGTTCATCAGGATCAAACAATATTACAAGTAAGAAATAAGGTGTCTGTTGTCATTGAAAACCTTGGAAAATCCTCATCATTCAAGGTGTTGTGTCAGAGAAAATAAGCTATGTGATTCCAAAAATATTAAATCAAGATATTGTCATCATTAATAAATCAAAAGACAATGAGTGCTGGGGAGGCTGTGGAGAAGAGGGAACCCCCGTGTACTGCCTGTGGGATTGCAGACCCGCACAGAGGCTGTGGGAAACAGTATGGAATTTCCTCAAAAAGCTAAAGATGAAACTGGCTTTTGATCCAGCGATGCCGCTGCTGGAACTATACCCTAAGAATCCTGACTCACTAATTCAAAGCAACCTATGCACCCCAATGTTCAAAGCAGGGCTGTTTACTGTAGCCAAGTGCTGGAAGCAGCCTAAGCACCCATCAGTAAAGGAGCAGAGCAATAAACTGTGGTACATTTATACAATGGGGTACTATGCAGTAGAAAGAAGGAACCTCTACCCTTTGTGACATCATGAATGGAATTGGAGAGCATTATGCTCAGTGGAATAAGCCAGGTGGTAAAAGACAAATACCATATGATCTCTCCTATCAGTGAACCTAATCAACAAAACAAATGAGGAAAATAAAACCAGAGACTTGGAAATAAAGAACAAAGAGACAGTGACCAGAGGGGGGGAGGGAAGAGGATGGGGGAAGGAAGGGCAAGAGGCAGGTGAAGGAACAGGAATAGAGGGCGCGTGGGCACGGGCACGGGGCCGTTGGCCTATGGAAGCAGGGGAGGGCACGGGGTTAGGGTGAGCAAGGGGAAAATGTAACTGAACAACATCAATTTTTAAAAAGATATTATAAAAAAGATCTAGGAACTAAGACAGACTTTAAATACTCAGAATGCCTTATGAGAATTACTATAACGGCCCAGGGAGGAAATGGGGTCGGCGTGACGGGGGGGGGGGGGGGGGGGGGCAAAGGCGGGCAGGGGACATCGGTAATAGTGTCAACAATAAAAAGAAAGTTAAAAATAAAATAAATGTCAAAAATAAGTTGTTCTAATGCCGTCTGCCCAGTGGAGGGGAACGCCCCCGCCTGCCGTGCGCCCTTCCACGAGCCCTCCCCCAGGGAGAGAATTAAACGTTGCTGAGGAGGTGGGGCCTAGAGTTCCTGCCACGTGCAACACGACCGTACCTACATGGGTGACGGGTATGGACACTGCCTGGACCTGGTGGTCATTTCACAACGTGTGCTTATGTCAAAATAAGCTTCCGTACATGCCATCCCATTTTTTCAATTATAGCCCATTAACATCGAAAAAAGAAAAACAGGTTTGAAAAGAATAACAATGTCGGCAGAAATCAATTGAAAACAAACACTAAAGAAAATGGAGAGTTAAAGGTGGTTCTTTGGAGAAATTCAATAAAACTTATAAAAGCAAGGTGAGAATATGGAAGAGAGTTCCAGGCCCACACAATGAAGAATCTGCACCAAAGCTATGAAATTAACCTTGGGAGCTGCACGCACAAGGCCAGCGCGCGGCTCTGATTCCTGAAGATAAGGCTAAGGATGCGAGCTCCATCCTCCAAGTGGCTTTAGTTGGTGGGTGTGGCTTTTCCAGATTGCAACACGGAAGAACACACCCAAGCCAAAACGTCAGTCACACCGGACTGAAGAGGCAAAACCCGGCGTTCTCAGGCAGGGTGACGTCCCTGAGCTTGCGATCCACCGAACCGCGGGGAAAGAGTGGTGGAAGGAGAGCGCTCCACAGATCTGCAGAGCTGACTATATCACACTTCGGGGCAGGGCCGAGCCCCGGGACAATGGGCAGGGAAGAGCAACTCCAGGGAGAGCTGGCAGGAAACCCTGAACTCAAAGGTTCGCAGGCCCACCCAGCACTGGCGGACACTCATACTGGATCAGCCCCATTGCGAAGGTGTCCTTCAACCCTCCTCCTTAGCAGAGAGGCCAGAGGAGGCCTTCTTCATCCTTGTTCTGAATGAACTGGTCCTCGCGGGCAGGCACCCAAACCAGCTTTACCAGCTTAGGAACAAGCCTTGAGTGGACCGAGTCAACCTGATCACCCGCAGCCTTCCAAAACCCAGTGCAAAACCAGGGAGACGCGAGGTCTCCGCCCCAACCACCAGAGGGCGCTCTCCAGGGGCGGGGCCAGCTCAGGGCGGCCACACCTCAGCTCCCGACCCTGCGAGGATCCAGCCTTGGATCTGTGGGCCCCAGGGGTGTGGGAATCCTGTCTGCTAGATTCCCGGACTCTCGCAGAGATGCCCTCATCCGCTGCGGTGTTCAAAATCCTTGTTCTTTGCGGGGAAGACACAAAGACACGAATAAACGGCCAGCAGGTCGCCCTGCCCTCGCCACTCCATTGTTAGATGGTTCCTCTTTGCGGTCTTTGGCTGGTTTTTTAAAAACTAATGTCTACCAGTAGGCATCTTTATTATGCTAGTGATGTGTCAAGATATTGGCATTTCCACTTAAACACACCTGAAAAGAACCCAATTAGTCCATTGGCCAAACAAGAAGCTGATATAAACATTTTGCCCCAGAAATTACAGGTACATCTTACAAGATCACAAACAGACTGGATCTTAGACCAGCTTTCTTACCAACACGGACGCATTTGGGAGGAGGGGACCAGCCATTCTCCCTACATGTCAGGGAGGTCTGCTGATTTCGGAGACTGTATCCAGGATGGCAGGTAACTGTAACCGAGTCATTCTGAAAGTATTCTTGTGGAGACCATGGAGAATATCCGTGCTCCAAATAATTGAAAACACATATTCCTAAGAATGATAAAATGATAATGAAAGAGGCCCAATAATTGGGACAAAATAATAAATTACAATTTATGCTCATGATATTTATATTACAATGCAGAAGCAACCAAAAATAACATGTAGATTAAGACATCCTGAGGCTGGTACCAAATGTTCTTTGACAAGCATTATTAAATATAATTCTCGGTAGTTCACTATTAGAATACGCATAAATGACATAGGTATTCTTGTGGAGTCTCCTTTTCCCTCTCGTGTTTCTAATGAGAAACCTCTCAGAACGAACAACCTATATTGTTCTTTCTGCTCACAGCATACATCCCTGGACCTTATTTTGGTCACACAGCGTCATTGTTCTCACCCGAGTAATTCTACCTCCTCTCGGAAATACCTGCACGCGCACCAGGACGAAGGGCTTTACTTACTGCGGCACGGCACTTTCGGCGACCATCCGTCTCGTGTGCAAGTAATCCTATCCCAGAAGTGTCGTGTAGCAGTCACATAGTTGTCATCGCAGCTGTAGTAGTACCACTGTCCTACAGAAGCTGGGAAGTATGGTCTGTTTTGGTCTTCCCTGTACAGTTTCCCATGTTTTATTTCTGGAAACTCACATGGCTTAACTTGCAATAAAAACAAACAAAAACACAGTATAAATAATGTTTTACTTTAATAGAATCTAATGAGACATTAATGGTTTCCTTGATGAATCATATTTCTTATTACCATAATTATACTCATTGCGTCAGGGATCTAGGACAAGAAGAGTTATAAATTCAGATGGTGTAAATAACACCTGTTTGCTGATCATTTCGCAATACATGCACACATGGAGTCATTCCGTTGTACACCTGAAACAATACAAGGTTACCGGACAGTTCTATCTAAATGAATAACTTCCATCCTCCCTGTGACTGGCACACGCACTGAGGTCCGTGTCACGGAGATGCCAGCATCCTCTCTAAGGGCATCGCGCTGTCACATTCATGTGGGCGCTTGTCCTGAACTGACACTGAGACCGTTGACCTCCTATTGGCATCATTTCACTCTCCCCCATGGACTCCCAGCCGCAGGGTGGACCCCCCGCTACAGCGACCTGACCCGTGAGGACGAGGAACGTGGTGGTGGAGGCAGGAAGCACTTGGAAAGGGGGCCAAAGAAACCCCCAGACATAGACGCCCGGCTGAACTGAGTGGCATTTTGTGACACGTGATGGTGTCAGACAACCCACAGTGCCTCCACCTCTCCTCCCCCAGGAGGAGCCAGTGCCCCGCCCCTTGGGTGAGGCCTGGACTCTGGGACCCTCTTCCACAGGGAACGACCGGCTGAGGAGACAGTCAGTGAGCAGGTCACAGCCGACGCAGAGGTGTCCTTCCTCCTTGTGTCTCAGATCACTCGCTCTGGGCACCGTCACTGACACTCAGGCTCCTAAGGAGGCGCCCCGTGGTGAGGCCCTGAGGCTCCTGCTCCGCCAGGGGAGGGCGCCCTCTTGGCAGCAGGTCCCTGCCCCCCCCAGCCCTCGGCCCACGCCCTGGGCCCGCGTCCCGAGTGCTGCCCGGAGCGCGGCTGGGAACGGGGGTGAGTCAGCTGAGGGTGTGGTTCGCAGCAGTGTGTTACGGGGAAGTTTGTTACACAGCAATAACTAACTGATATGCTAGCTGTTAAGTGGTAGCATTCTTACCCAATGTTTTAATCCACATGTTAGAATAATAGTGAGAGAAATACATATTCACACCCACACATATTTAACATTGAGTACCAAATGTTAGGTCTTCATTAAGAAAAATGTCTTTTGAAGTTCATGTGGATTGGCTACTCTGAAGAGCCACGCGCACTGCCCCGTCCCCTGCCCTGCATTCCCAGGATGCGGTCATTGGGACTTGGTCCCCATTATTTTTTGTTCAACAGAAGAAATTTCAGAGTTAGGCAGCGGGCCGTGATAAGCGTGGAACTTACAGCTACATCTCGGAGGAGGTTCCCAGCCAATAACAGTGCAGCGTGACGTGCTGCCTCGGGTTGAGTGATAAAAGCCGCTCTTACACTGGTACGTGACCACATGCCCGAGTCTGTATTTGGGCCTGTCAGCGATGTAGTGGCTGTTCGCAATTCTTGGAGGGTCACACGTTACTTCTGAAAAGAAAAAGGACATGTGGAGAATGCAGAAGTCACTGCGCATGCAAAGAATCGAGTCCTTGAGAAGAGAGTGGAGGTCATTTTTTTGTCTTTACCATGGAACAAAATGTCATTAGAGGGAGCACAGCCTCCCAACCTTCCCCACATCGCTGATTCCCCCCACCTCACCTTGCTCACCTGACGTGTTTGTTCCCCCTGTGTTCTTGGGTCCTCTTTCTCCAAAGCCATCGTATCCACCATGCTCTTCCACGCGTGGCCATGAATTCCTAACAGATGACTTCACCTACGCTTTCCTCTTCCCTCAACCTCCTTGGCTTCTGATGTTTCGAACAGAACTGCCCACACACATCCTGCGTCTCTTCCTTGACTTGAATGAAATACGTGTGGCAGTAATGTTTCCTTTTAGGAAGGACGTTTTAAAAGCCATTGCATGAATTTTTATCTTTTATCCCCCACAGCAGCAGTGGTCAGAGATGGGCAAGGAAAGACCATGCCTCTGTCTCTTGATTCTTACCATTAATAGAATGAGCAGAGTCCCTTTCTGACCTACCCTGGATGCCTGCATGGTGAGGAAATAGAGTTTACTTTATGAAGCTAATGAAATTTTGGAATATATTTTTCTTCACTGTAACAGGATAACCTCGTCCAGGGTTTGGAGATGAAGGGCCAGATAAAAAGTCTGTGCCGACCATTCAGCTCTGCCTTTGTATTGCAGAAGCAGCCGCAGACAATCCGTGAGCAGGCGGGCAGGGCTGCGTTCTAACAAAACTCGGCTTATAAAAGGGGACAGGCGGGGTCTGACCTGGGTCTGTGTCCCGTGACCGAATGGATGAAGCTCCTTCTCTCAGTCCTTTCTATCAGCTTTGCTACATCTCAACAATAGATCAACTTGCAATATCCCTTGTGAGATAAAATGCTATGCCTTTTTTGTTCAATTCAATTAACTAATTTATTTTTCCAACTTTATGGAGGAATAATTGTCAAATACAACTGTATGCATTTAAAGTGTAGAACATGATGACTTGATATAAATACACACTGAGGAATGATTGCCAAGATCAAGATAATTAATACCATCCCTTTAAACTATTGTAGAAAGTTTCTGTTACCATTTACCTTGGTGCCATGTTTTACTTCGGACTCAAAAACCTGTGGCGGACATTCAGTGTTGCCCAAATCCAGTTATAGAACCCTAATTTACTTCCTATTCTATTCCCCACAGTAAGTGGCCAACAGTCTCCTCATTTTACTCAAGTTGCCTAACACATTCTTTTATTGCTAGATAGTGAGTCTTGCCTCCCTAGAAAACAACTGAGACGACCAGCTGCAGGTTCTCTTGAGCTTCTTAAAGTCCCTTTAACGTTAGCTGCCTCTGTTCTGAACGTCAGCCTTTTCCTATTTTTATATTCAAGCAAGCCTCTCAGACCTTTTATTTTCCCATGGATTGCAAACCTTTGTTTGTCCCTTCCCTCTCTCCCACTCCGTCAATCGCTTGCTCTCGATGCTCAAACTTCTCCAGTGTTAAGTCCCTTCTCTCTGCTGTTGTCTGAGCGGAGCGAACGCATGAGCTTTCTCCTCTGCTTCACAGCCAGGATCCTTCAGGCGCCTTGTTGTGAGCGCTGTCTTCGCTTGGCTCAGCCTCCCATGTGCTTTTCAGCCTTCGTCTCTCTGCCTTCTGGTGTCTCCACTGTGCTGGCATCTCTCTGGCAAAAGTCACCAAAGTTCTCCAGTTTCCAAATCCCCCAACTCTTGTATTGCACATATCGCAGTGGCTGGTGTAGAATTGGGGCTCCTTAATTATTTGTTGAACTAAATCGATAAAAACCCTCTGCAAACCTTCACACAAGTCATCACTGACTTCCTGAAGTCCTCCAGTGCCTCACTTTCTTATGTCGTCCTGTCTCTCCTTATCTTGGCGTGAACAACGCCATTTTGTTTAATTTAGTCTCCTTATAGCTGCTCCCCTTCCACTGCTCTACTAAACTTGGGGCCCTGCCTTCTCGGGTCTCTTCCCCTACGACCTTCCTCCTTATGCTCCGCGCTGCCAGCATAGCAGCCTGCCAGGCCTTCCGGCAGCCAAGCTTGTTCCTACCACGTCTGCTTTCACGCCTTGTTCCTTCAACAGTTCTCCTCCGGATCCTGCCATTGGTCCTTATCACTTCCCCAGAAGCGTCATCCCGAAAGACGACATAGATACGTGTGAATGAGCAGTTACGGTTCTGCGTGAGTAATTATCCTTGACTTCGTTGGCTTTCCCTTCACATTCTCTGCGTGATTCAAGACATATCCATGATCAAAAGCTACTACCATTTATGTTAACATCTTCTACCACAAGATTCTAATGTGTGTATCCAACGGCAGCTTCACACTGGACAGGTTCATGCATATAACCAAAGGCATATCCAACTTACTACATATCCAACTAAAATCATCATTCTTCTTTCAATATTTTAATTTCTGACACAGGACCCCATGACAGAAGCCTGAGGCACACCCCCATTTTCTTCCTCCGAGCATTCAGGCATTTAGTCAGACCCTAGGGTTGCGATTGCTTGAATATGTCCTCTTCTCCAGGCCGTATTCCTGCGGTGCACCTTTAGCCCCCAGAGTTTTGTAGTAGTCTCTCACTGGGACTTAAATTTATACCCCATTCTGCCAGAGTAAGCTTTGGTTATGTCTCTATCGTAAACATGATCTAATTAGCCAAGGTACTTACATGTATTAGCAATGATCATATTAAAAATGAGAAAATATATATGACCACCTAAGTACAAGTTTTAGGTGAAGTATATCTTCAGTGTTTGATGTTGACACTAACCTCAAATGCACCTTCAATATGGGAAGAGCTTTCCGCTCACTTTAATCTGCTGTATCCGTCATGTTTCCCTATTCCCATCGCAGCCCAATCGACGTACCTTAGTTTCCACTTCATAGTAAAGCTAAACTTAACACCAGGGTTTGACGTCAAACGCTACAATGCTACAAAATAAATCACAAGCATCACTAAGAGAAAAACCAAATAATTTTGGGAAATTTTGTTAGGTTCATTAAGAGGAGAAGAACTTCTGGTGGTTGCTTTCAAGCAGCGGGCCTACACCCTCTGACAAATTTTCATCCCCTACTCTTATGATCTCCATTAAAATAGAGGGTGCTGCCACAACATTGCCAAGGAAAGGCGCCTCTCTCCAAAATGCTAACACTTGAGACCGCCCAAGTGTGAGAGGCTGCGTGTGTCTGCTGTTAAAAACAGACATTAAGATTTGAAATAATAATAATTCAATATTGGCACTCTCTACTGTGAATCAGTAGAAAATCCAGTTTGCACAGCGCACAGATAAATTTGGATCAAGGGTGGTTTTTATTTAGCAGGTCTTGGTACTTTTACTTATTCTTGTCAGTAACTTGTTGTCAGAGATTGTCCCTTACTGGGTACAGAGACTGAAGTTTTGATAAATTTCCCTCAGATAAAACCCCTGACACATACAAACCATAGACCAGATGGAAGAAGATTGAAGTGTTTTATCCTACAGTGTTTCCTTTCAACATTTCTTTTATTATTTAATTTCAAATGTCTTATAGATTTAAGGCAAATATATATAATTTTGGAGTTCTTCATGATCAGCAGGTAGGTCTTTCTGCTGTAGCAGGAAAGTAAGGTGCACCTGTGACACATTTAGGTGAGGTACAGGGAGTGAAGGTCACTACAACAATGGGCAGGACACAGAGAAAAAGCTTTCGAAGAGGAAGGGAACGTACCTTTGCATGAGGGGGGCGGGGTCCACCCAGACTGAGTACAAACTGCCTCTGCTCTGTCGCTGTAACTGTAGCCCTCAGAGCATTTGTATTGAAGTCTCTCGTTCTCCTTGTAAGAGTTCTTCAAGGATAGAGGCACTCCGTGTAGAATATCTGGTCTTTGGCAGGAAATTTCTAAATAGAAGGGATTGCATTCCAGAATGTCTGTTATATATTAATGGACTGTATCCAAGGCATAGCTATAAGGAGACGTAATTCTGTTCCCATTGAATAAAGCAGGCAACCAAGAGAAAGCTCTGTTCTCACTTGGATGCCTGATGAATTTATCTGTTGCTCTTCATGTTCATTTTTGAAAGAAGTTAAAATTCTGATTATAATTATGTTGCTAATTTCATTTGATCGGAGGATAAGATAGTCCTGCTGAAATAAATAGTGGCAGCCACATTCATCAACCGTGTATATCAAATTGAACATAGCCATGAGGCTATTGTGATAAGTATTGTCACTGAGTAACCTGCAAAATTACGTATTTCCTTGTTATCAATAATAGAATAATTATTGACAGAACTATTACCTATTGATTTTGTCAAAGAAATCAATTAAGCTCTTGGTCATTATAGCTCTAAAAAGTGACCGACCTTCCGCTTGTGTGGTTTTGCCCTCGCCTAAGTGTTCCGCCGGGACCCCCGGCCGCCATGTTTGACACCATCCCCCCGGGGTAACGGCGACAGGAGCTAATTTCCCAGAGTCTATTCTCCCACCTTTCCAACGGCTTTTCCTGTTTGTAACTTAATGACCTTTTTTTTCTTGTCACTTCATTGCTTCACTTAAGATCCTTCCATGAACGCCCCCTTCAGCCTGAATGAAAGTCGAATTCTTCAGCGTGGCGCATAGACTTCAGTGTCAGAAAACCTGGGTTTGGGTATTAGCTTTACCATTTATGCAGGGTGACCGTGGACATGCGAGTTAATGTCCTTATACCACAGTTCCCTCAAATGATAAGACAGAGGTGAAAATGGCTGACATGACTGACACGCGTCATGTAAAATGAAATGACGCGTATAAAGAACTCAGAGGAATTTCTGGGAAGTAGAAAGTGCTCAATAAACGGTACTTATTAGCAGTATCACTTAGATTTTTTAGGAGGCACAGTGCTTTCAAGTGCATATGTTCATGAGAAAACCCAAAATCATTCGCATAATCAAATAAATAGCAGGTGTAGCTTACCCACACAACTTGGTCTTTCTCCACTCCAAACACCATTTTCCGAGCAATGGATTTCTTGAGGGCCGGCAAGCATGAAGCCTGAATTACACTCAAACTTCACCACCTGTCCAAAAAAGTGTTCCTGGTTCAGTTCCATCGCGCCAGTGATGGCCCTGCCGTTCTCCGGATCGGCCACGGGTAAACACCTAATGACTGAAAAGGAAATAGGACTTTTTCTAATAGAAGTTGGAAACTCTATCATGAAAAATATGCATAGATCCATGTAGAAATATAAGTTCAGCAAGATAAGATTGGAGAGAATTACTTAGATGTGGGTTGTGGTTCTGGTTTTGTTTTCCCAAAAAGCATTCAATATACCTGTTTGCTGGAGACGAAGCCTGCTAAGGGAAAACCCGTATTGAGTTTCTCTTCGGTACGTTTCTATGGAGGTGGGCAAAGAGAACTACCGCTTTGATAAACAGTTTATATTTTTGTAGGAACAAACAAATGCTTCTGAAACAAGTGAGAAATATAAAGCTTGGGATAATTAAATAGACAATTTCCACTTAAGTTCCACACCCATGTAACACTATACTCCTAAAGGTGTAACAGCAAACTTTTTTATTACGTTTACTTCATTAGGGAAATAGGTTTAAAATTTCCTTCCTCTTCCACATCAGCATTCAGAATAATTTAAGTGCTGCTTTAGATTTTATGTAATATTTTCCGGTATCCCTTAGGTTATGGCATTCAAGCTCCATTTCACAGTCAAATGACCCAGGATGCTTGTTAAAACGGAGAGCCTACAGCCACCTCCCTGCCTGTCACTCCGCAGGTACCCCCAGGGCGTCTTCAGTAACCCCAAAGGTCAGACTTTAACTAACGCCCCAGGTGATGGCCGAGGTAGGTGTTCTCTAGGGCACCTGCCTCCTCTTTTTGGCGGGGCCACATTTCTCCTCCTCCTCCTTCTCCCTTTTCTCACCCCTCCCCCCACTTACCATCCTTCCTGCTTCTTTCTCTCACCCTCTCTTTTTACTCCTCACCATGGAACTGGGAAACCCCGTTCTAATTGACCTCTTTTTTCCCACGATGACCAGATACTGGGATTACTCGCTCAAATTCTGCAGACAGGATCGGCATGGTCCCATTCTCACTATTCGCTTTCTGGGTCAGGACGAAAGGGCAGAGCTCTCTCTTCTCTTCTCTTTTCAGAGAGGCTAAGACTATGGAACACCCCCGCCCCGGCCCGCCCCCCGCCCCGGGCAGGCGGAAGGGAGCGAGGTCTCAGTCACGTTCTCCACATCGGCTGTGCCAAGAAAGCCTGTGCCTGGGGGGCGGATTTTGGGGATCCAATCAAGCTGAAATTCTGATCATCAGGTTAAATAGTGATATCTGTGTTCTTTCTAGAGGTGAGAATCCAAAAGGAAGGAAAAGTAAGTGTTAGGTTTCCTAAGCTCTAATACTTTAAATATTAGGTCAGATGAGACTGCACTCATATTTGGTTATTGAAACACAAAATAATGCAGTGCTAAAAAGGTTAGATATACACTCCACACTGTTAGAAACCATAAAAATAATTTCAGTAAGAAATATTTGATTATAGACTTTAAGGATATTTTAATGTAAGATGTTTCAAAAGACCTTTGGCATTTTCAGTATTTTATCTACCTTCACAGAGAGGAACGTTATTACTCCATCCATCCGCTTCACATTCTCGGAAATTAACCTCTCCTATCATTCGGTACCTGAAACCCAGAAATAACAGGGCCATGAGCTGATGTGTGTTTATGTGCAGTTTTAACTTTGATAACTTTCTGAATGTCCAATCTCCATTTCAGGGAACATGAAGAGCATATACATTTTCTTCTTTATCTCTCTCTGTTTTTATCTCTTAAATCTCGTTTTTATCTTTCTTTCTTTTTTTTTTTTCTTAAGAAAGGGCCGCAAATGCTCATGGAGACAGACTGGGAATAATTTTACTCCTTGGTTGGTGACATAGATCCACTGTTTCATGCACAATTTGCTGTTGTTTCTTCACTGAGTCAGTTAATTCATTGCACTTAACAGTAAAGCTCCGTCAGTTGTCACCCAAAAGAAAAACCATAAAATGATAGTAATCAGCAGCCAACCATGGGGTCCCCCTCCTTCAGCTTTATTCCACTGTCCACCCCTCCAAGACAGGAGTGTCTTCTGGTCACTTTGGGCTTTTTATGCAATCAAGGACGGTGCCAGCAAAAACTCCTTGGGGTGGGATGCATTTTCAGCACTTGTCCCCGTCTCTGGCCTAGACAGTCTTTCCGAAGTGTGACCATGGAGTCCAGTCTGCTAACAGAGCCCATGCAGTGCAGAATTTATCTGGTTATAGTGGCTCATCAAGGCTGCCCATAAAATCTAAAATTCTCTACATGAAGGGCAGTTCCTGAGGCAGGTGCAGAACAGGCAGCCATCGATCCAGGCAAAGCCGCCTCCACAAAGCTCCGGTGGGTAGCCATGAGGCCGAAGCTGGTCCCCCCAAATTAAATAGCGGGAAGGCATTTTGATAATGGCGAGGCACTTAGTGTTGTAAGGGGCTTTGATAAATTCCTCAATAGTTCTACACAGACAAATGTTTCCTCCATCTGCGAATAAGGATGTATATAGTTCCACCGACTGCACAAGTAGACCAAACGAACTCTCTTCCTCAAAATATACTTCGTCTTCCGTTGAGTCTTACTGGTCTGCTCCTATTCCCTAAGGGAAGGGAACACTTCAGCGGGTTAACTGCGAACCACAGAGCTTGGAGTCCAACAGCGAAGCCCCGTCAAAGGTCCGCCCTGGCCCCTCCGCCCGAGGCAGCAGATTCCCCGGTTCCCACTTTGCGCCTAGACCAGAGCCCTGCCCATCCGCCCAGGGCCCCTTCAGCAGTTCCGCCCAGTTCAACCCCAAACCTCCCGTAGCCCGCGTGCCTGCGGGGACGGGGAAGAGGGGGCGACCGTCCACACAGGGGCTCGTGGGGCCGGGGGACAAGGGCTCCTGTTTTGCAGCCCCAGCCAGGCGAAATGCCAAGCGAACTGTTTGCACAGTGCCTCCTTCAAACTCCCTTCCTGCGAGAGGACGACACTGGGCAGCCGAACCGAAAGTCCTCCTAAGGGGCTGGTATTCAGCTAAATGGCTATTCAGCAACGAGTGGGGGAGCGGGGACAACGGGTCCGAGGTCAAGTTTACAGGCAGAAACCATGGGTGTAGTACACCCATTCTACCATTAGGTCCCACAGCTGGGTCAACAGATTCACATGCCCTCAGACAGGCCCAGCAATATCTCCAATGACATTTAAAAACAGCGGAAAATACTTCTGTTTGCTGACCTTCCGTGACCCAAGGACTTCTTTGCGCTGACAAATAATCTGGCCCCGTCGGAGCCCGCAGCTGGGTGCAAAGACTGTTGCTTTGCTGGTGTCCCCAGCTGAGGACGCCCGCGATTCACACAAGGGGACGGAGGCCCAGGCGGGCGGCGCAGAGCCAGCGTCACAGGCCCGCGGGCCGCTCGTCTCTTTCCCGAGGGCTAAGCGCGCCTGGCTCCCGAGACGCAGCGGATGGCGCCTGGGAGCTTCCACTCTCCTTTCCAGGTCAGAGGGGCAGCCTGGACAGGCCGAACTAGCCTGGACCGAAAGGGACGCTTCCGAGGTGAAGAGTGGGGGACACCGGAGCGCTCGCCCCAGGGTCTTCCCCTTGGCGGTCACGGGACGGAAGGCTGGGCCGAAAATGACCCTCAGGCGGGGAGCGCGGGGAGACTGATCGCAGGGCCGAACGCGGGGGCGGGGGGGGGTCTGCGGAGCCCTGGGAGAGCCGAGGGCTTCCAGCGGGTGCCTCGGGTATTTCTCACACCAGTGCCCCGGTGCGCCCCGCGCATTTCTGCTCTCATAAGGGGGGAGATGGGAGTGAAGTGGGAGGTTTTTAAACACATCCATTTGTTGAGGGTCGAGCTTTGGGATGCAGGCTGACTCCAAAGCCGAAGCCGCTCAAGTACTCCCCGTGACTGCCTCGCGTCAAGAAGTCAATGCGGAGGGAGTAAGACAGCATTTGTAATCTCTCGATCCGATTTGCAATGATGCGGCAGACAGCTGCGGTGGCCCTGGCGGCTCCGAGCTCTGCGCACGCCTGGTCCCTGGTTTCCTACCGTGTCAGGAACGTTCTCCAGAACCCGTGTGTGACCTGGCTGGGAACGACAGGGGAGAAAGGTCCTAGGGACGCAAGCGGGTGCTAAGACTTGACCTGAACGCCCAGCGACAGACCAGAGTCAACGATTATAAACACAGGAGCATTTCTGGGCCCACATGATAAAAATAATTTACAGACCAGGGGACCCTAAAGAATAGTTATTACTATTTCAGTGTTAAAGTCCTGCTTCTCCCAAATTTTATAAGATTTTTATCAAAACAGGTAGTAGGTCGTCTAATTTTTCACCATGTCCTTTGTTCCTGACCCACTGAATTCCCATAATCCTCTGCACATGATAGCATGTAGTGAGGACTCGTTGGAGTGAACTCTTATTTATACACATACTACTTTCCCACCCTCCTACTCTAACAGAGTAATTACACTTCACTGTAATTTTTCAACGTTGAGGAGATAACACGGAGTCCAGATATAATCATTTTCATTATTTAATTTTAATTTTGGGGGTTCCATGCATGCTACCTGTAAAAAGGCTCATAGAAAAATATAGTAACCTTTGAAATATAAATTAGGATAGTTCTTATTTATCATATGCATGATCCATTACCTCAACCAGAGACCTCATTTTATACTGGCCACTCACCCCTCGTCGCATGTATAAACGACCTTGGCACCGTATTCAAATTTGTTTCCTTCTACAAGATCAAATGACCCAAAGGGCGTGTCTCCAGGGTGGCCACAGGGCTTTTCTGAAACGAAGGAAAGGATGTCACAGCGGCACGAAGCGTGGGAAATGTGTTTTACATGGAGGGGTCAGGGACAAGGACATTTGCTTTATGTCAGAGGACAGTATTGAGGCCGTGCAAGAGTGAAGAATGGCAAGGCTATTACTTGAGAACTGAACTGATCTGTAGGTTTCGTCTCTGAGTTTTGGAAGATTACCACCCCCTTTTTAAAGAATAATGGTGGTGGTGTGTTTAGTATGTAAGTGAGAGCAGCGATATAATGCAGTCCATATCGCTACAGTAGTAAACATTCAGTATTTTCGCAACTGAAAGTTTTCATAAATTAAAAAACAAAGGCATGGCTTACTTACTCTGGCATGTTTTTGATGGGTTGAGGTCCGTCCACTGCCCCGCCGTGCACTGCACTGTAATCACGCCGTATGTCCTGTACCCAGGGCGGCACTTGTATACGACCTTGGTGCCCTCTGGGTAGCTTTGTTCAGACCAGAGACCCGTGAGAATTTCCCTCTCTTTTTTTGGAGGAGGTCCTTCACAATCTGCAAACGATAAAGGCGGAGCAAGAGCTTCATATAATTATTTATTCTTAGGTTATTTTTGCTTTTAAAAATAACTACGTGGTTCTAGGTACAGCCAGATGTGTGTGTGTACACACACATACACACGCATGCTTACAGAAGTTGAATTTGCATAAATTTGTAAGAAGAGTTCTAGAAAGAACTACTTTCCAGAGAAATAGTTCTACTCTACTATATTGTTTTAACTGATGCACTGCAGTTGGAAAATATTTCTTGGGCACTAATCGAAGTTGTAAAGAAAAAATAATGAATAAAAAAGACAAAGTATCTGCTCTAGTAGGGAAGTAAGTTATTAAATAAGTAATCAGAGAGATGCAGATAGATTAATTTTCTTTAAAAATATGAAATATGGTGAAGCGACACAAAAATATATGAAAACATTTCAAAGAAGATAGACTAGGATGGAACAGGGCCATCAATTTTGATAAGAGTGATAAAAATCTGACAAAACTGATCAAGATATAAAAAAGAAAGAAGGCACCAATAACCATGATGTAGAATCAGAAAGGGACTCCTTTAGGAACCTTGTAAACATCAAGGAGATTTTAACAGCCCTGGCTGGTGTGGCTCAGTGGATTGAGCGCTGGCCCGTGAACCAAGGGGCCGCTGGTTCGATTCCCAGTCAGAGCACAGGCCTGGGTTGCAGGCTGGGTCCCCAGCTGGGGGTGTGTGAGACGCAACCACACATTGATGTTCCCCCCTCTTTTGCCTTCCATTCTCCTCTCTCTGAGAATAAATAAAATATTTTTAAAAAATCTCTCAATTAAAAAAAAAGATTTTAACAGGATACTGATGAAATTAGATGAATTCCTAGGGAAAAAAAGACTTAAAACCGACTCAAAGAAATTTCAAAACTTCAAGAGTTCTAGAACCAAAGCATACAAAGAAAACTCCAGCATCCATGTATAGACTTAGCAGAATTCATCTGCTATTTTTATAAAACATACAAGGAGAAATAACCTAGTTATCAAAAGCTGAGATGGGCAATTAAAAAACTCAAAGAAGATAATGGTGAAGGACAGGAACATGTGTTTTACCAAAGAGGAAAAAATGCAAGCGGCCCATAAACTCATGGAAGAATTGCTCCCACTGAAAAGTAAAACCATATGAAACCCTAAGGAAAATAACATGATATTGGTCAATATTTGAGAAGTCTCCAAAAGTCCTACCACGTGGAAAGAACGTGGAGCACGAGGGATTGACGGCAGGAGGAAAATCGGAGGTGCCGAGACAAAAAAGCATCCGGCAGCTCGCGGTGCAGTTGCTTCTCACCCAGAGATTTTATTTCTAGGAATATGTGCACAAGGGAACTCGACTTCAAGCGTGGGAACACTTAATAGCCACACAATTTTCTTAACAATCAAATACGGAAACAGCTCCGACGGCCACCAAGAGCTGCATGCGTAAGAATGAACGGCATTGACTTGCAATGGAATAATATACCAGGACTACAAAGGGACGTGAGAAGAAAAAAGAAATAATCACACGAAGGAGAAAGAAAGGTACGTCAACTACCACAGGATTATTTAATCTATATAAAATTCAAGAACAGACATATAGATCAGGAATGAGTACACAGGCTCTGAAACCATTGAAGAAGAGCAAAAATGTAATTAGCATAAATATTAAGATAACATTTTCTTCTAGGAGGAAGGCAGGAATATTAATCTAAAAGAAACCTACAGGTTATGGCGGATGGTCTACTTCTGGACATGATGATTATAATTAATTGTACTACAGTACAATCACAGTTTATTTACTCATGTATTATATTTTACAATGAACACTGAAGTAGCAGAATCTGCATGTACTGTATGATTCTTATTTTGCAAAAATTAATGAATTAAATGACATATAAAGAGAACACAGAAAATGAACAATGAAGCTCATGCCTACTATTACTATGGCTAACATTTTAATCTTTCCTATCACTTAATTTATATATAACTACCCCTGATGTTAGAGTGATTACGCTAGTAAGCCCCCAACACACTGCTTTTAAAAATGACAAATTTAAAGATACATAGTTATCACCACACATTTATTGGTATTTTTACATTCAATAACTCCCTTCCTGACTTGGCTTTAAAACTCACAGATTAACATTCTATTCTAGAATTTCTTTTTAAAGGACAAGGGAAAAAAAGAATCAACAGAGCCAGGTCTCATCCCAGAAAATATTCATTATTAAAACGTTTCACAACACCTCATAGAATAGAAAGCTCCTATGAAACTATATTTTTCTGTAATAAATACTATTTGTGTGGGATTCCATAGGTGCTAATTTTCCTCTGAAGTTTTTACAAGTTTTTAGCACATTTTTCTCAGGGAACTTTGTAATAAATGATTCCACAGTAGTTTTGATTTTTGTAAGTTAAGTAAATATGTTTTTTGCCACTAGATGGCGGTAATACCCTGTCAGAAAAGCACACAAAGAGCCCGCCCCCTTCAGCCACCCAAAGCAAGTTTTTGTTTTATTTTTTTACAACTTCAATGTTCCTTTGTTTTTAGATGAAAATTTCTTGCTTAATTACAGACTAATAAGAGTGTTTTTCACTTTTGATGTTCAGACCCACTTCATGGTCTTCAGATTATTAGTAAAATAAATAAGTTAAATTTCAAATGGAAGATGCCTATATAGTGAGTAGAGAACATTTTTCCACTAATATAGTGAGATTTTGAGAAACTCAGTTCCCATTCTGTTATTAAACTAATACAAGGAAAGGGTAGCAGAGTTATTTTCAATTAATTAATTTGATTTAAATTATCTTTACTAATGTAGTGATCTTAACAAAAGAGGAATTCAGCCACAAAAAATTCAGCCCATTTGCTGGCCCTAGTCAATGAGTTTTCTTATTGGTTATTGTTATATTTCCAGATTTATACCTCTAATTCTTGATTTTTCAAATTTACCGAATTGTTTTTAACAACCAGCTATAAAAGGCAAAAAGATACATGTCTCCCACAATCTTCCCATCAGCTTCTCACAACATTTATTCTCTGTCCTGGAGTCTGCGTTGACTCCTGCTTCCTGTACAGCCAGAGCCTCCAAGTTGATTTCTCCTTTCACTCCGAATAATACCTAAAGTTCTGTGCTTCTTTCAGGGGACTTTGAAAGGCATCTCTTGACCTTGTAAGAAAGGATATAACACCCCTGCTCCGCCTGCGATCTTCCCCAGCTCTCCGCGAGCTTTGCTCTGGGTGCTCTCTTCCGGTGCCTTGACCCTGAAGCATCCTGACTGCAGACTGGTGACGGCTGGCTTTGTCTCATCTTTCTGGCTGCCTTTCCATACGACTTCCTTTACAATACAGCTCATGATCCATAATTACGTTTATGTTTACTAGAATTTCACCTATATAGGCTCCCCAGGGTAAGGACCCCCTCTGCCTGTTTTTACGGTGGAGGAATTTTCATTAGCACCCACATCTCCTAATGCCTCCTGTGCTTCCTGCCTGCTTTTGTCCTGCTCGTGAATACTTTGGGTGTTATCCACTCACGTCATAACAAAATATTTACAGTAATGATTCGCTAAATTGTGTTACAACAATAATTAGACCTATCTTAGGATATAACTTTTATTTGCCTGAATTGACAAAGAGCTAACTGTTCAAATGCATTCTCGAAAACTTCAATTAGAAAAAGAATTATTGGCATGTAGGTACATTCACCACATTCGCTTGAATTAAAGGAAATGAAAATAGTTTCAGAAGCATGGGAACATGGTTTGAGGTAGGAGTCATCTGAAAGTCATTACTATTGTTATTTTTGAATAGCCATCACATTTCTCAAGTTCTAAGTTAATGAGTAAACTAAGCTTTCTTAAGTCTAAATATTTACTTGGATTTAAACGATGAGTACTTCATCTTGTGTTTGCATAGTCCATTAAATATCAATTCATTTTTTCTTTGTAAAACACTACCTGGGTGAACTGTTTACTCACTTGGTTCTGACTTTCCAATTTAAAATTATTCAGTCTATAAATAAAGAGTATGAATAGATTTGGCTATTAGACTGGAACAGAATTCATTTTACTTTAATTTGAGGGACATGGTTATAAAATTTTGGTTAAAGTTAAAAAACAAATACACTTGATATTTTAATAATCAGTATTCACCCAATTTTCCACTTTCAAATTTTGAAGGAGTATTATTGACATGCAAACACAGAGCTAATTACTTGTGTTTAATGTGTGTGTGCACATACACACACACATTGTTTGAAAAGTATTCTTAATCAAATTAAATAAATCATAATAAAATTATACTTTTGAGAAAACCTAATCAAATTTGTTCCGCATTGCTTTGGTAAACTAAAGTTGGTCTCTCTGTTCAATTAATCTATTTTTCTAAAATAATTTTGGGAAGAAACAGCAGATTCTACTTTTTAAATAGCCTAATTCTAAACTTAGTAATTTTTTTTTACTTGCTTTCTTTTTTAATTTATAAATCATGTTTATTCTATGACAGGTGTCTCAATTTTCCCCCCTTTCCCCCCTCCCCCCATCCCCCCCGCCCCCCCTCCCCCCCCCCCCCCGCTCCCAGTCAATTCCCACTCTGTTGTCCATGTCCATGGGTCATTCATACATGTTCCTTGAAAACTTAGTAATTATTAAAATATATTATAAAGCAAAACTAAAAATCAGTTTAAAAATGGACAAAATGGAAGTAGCAAAAATATTTGATATTAAATTTCCTTCCTATCTCCTCATTTGTATATATGCACATTACTTATATATGCAGGTATATGATATCCCACTCACTTTTCAAAACAGGAGATATTCAAGTTATTTTACAAATAACAGAATAATTAAAGGTAGTTTGGGAAGTAATATAAATAAATACTCACGTAAATAAAATATTACTTACAATAAAGTTTTTTTTAAATAAACTCTAGAAAAGCAGAAAAAGACTATGCTGCATTTAATAATCATTTGAAGAAACGAATTCATGTTTACGAAATTCAAACAGATGCTTATACAATTTCTTTTAAAACGTTGGTAGTGAGAAAGAGCAGAAGAGAATTTCCCATCACAACCCTGAGGCCCGCGCGCTCCCCGCCTCGCGTCTGGCGGCCGAGCTCCCCGGGCGGGCGCCGTCCCTCGGCCCCGTCAGCCCAGCGTAGGCCTTTCGCCTTCCCGAAAGGACCCTACAGTCTCCTTTGTTAATCTCCATCACGATACTTTATATGATAAAATGTAATGTGTTAACAAAGTGCAATAATCATTCCTTCTGTTTTCCCCACTGAGCGGCCCTCTTTTGGAAAGTGCTGGTCAGTGAGCGCAGGACCCAGCAGTTAGTCAAGAAAGAATCATTGAATGAAGAAATGAACAAATACGAAAGTCTCTGGGGGCTTTTCCATTGTATCCGTAGTTACGGACGGCCTGTGGAAGGACCATAGATGGGAGCAAATATAAAAGGAGAGAGAGGAGGACACAGGACCAAAAATTCAGGTGGCGAACCCGAGAAGCTCTCACCTCTGCGACCCCGCTGTCCAGCCTGCCCATGGCCCTAGGTTTGAGTTTATGTTATACTCTCTGAAGTCAGAGATCAACTTAGCTCAAAAATATCTTTTGGCAACCTTTGAAGGAAGATTTTTACAATCTCTTTTCAATCTATTGGATTTCTAATTAACAAGGTTTATGAGAAACTTGGCTCTCTTCGTTAAAATGTCAACAACAAGTAAAAGTACTCTGTCAAATCTTCTATTCTCCTTTCCCTTTATTATCTTTGTGATTTTTTTCTATCCCATCACTTTCTCTGAGCCATTTTTATGTTTCCTTATCATTTCAAGCTAAACTGTAATAACTTTTTTCTTCGTTACATCATGTCCTTTTCAAGCACTGTGTTCTGAGACTGGTTGCAGTTATTAAGAAATGGGTCAAGCGCACTCGGGTTTAGAGAACAGGATGGGCTGGTGAGCAGCAGGCCACGGCCGGACAGCGGGCAGAAGGGTGTCAGGGGAGGGGAGGAGGCAGAGCTGGAAAGGAGGGAAAGTGGTAACGGCAGTGGAACAATCAGGGTTCGAGCAAATGAAAAAGGATCACCTTAGATTCTGGCTCCAGGGCTGACGATCAAAGGCCGAGAGTGAAGAATCGTTACTAACCTGGGCTTCCACTTCTGTTTGGAAACGTCCTTCTAGCTGAGAATAATTTTAGCAATACAGAAACAGTCCCATTCTAGTTTACCATCTTCTGCAAGCACGCCGGGAGCAGATGCCCTGCCAGGACAGGCTAGCCTTAAAAGGAGAAGGCTTGCTTCGGCATGTCCCCACCCCACCCCAGGCGATGCCGGGGTCCCTGAGCCCGCCGGACCGAGCCTACCTGGAAATGCGCCATCTTCCAGAATTACTTAGTCTGGTTCTTATCCTGCTCTTCATCCATTTCTACCTTCCCCCACTAAAATTGTTGCGGAAAAGTTATCAACTTAAAATAAGTCACGGCAAACTAATTTAGTTTCAGGACTAATCTGCAGACAAGGAAAAAAACGGCTCTTCTCTAATCACTGAAAATTCACACCATTTCCCTCCACTGGCTGTGCATCACGGATGCCTTTGTGTAGGTCGCAAGGCCAGCGTGAGTGTTGTGTCCACGTGGCATCTGCTCATCACCTGGCAGGAAGGGGCCAGGCATACGGTCAGTCTCCCTGTGGCACGCACAGTGACCAGTTCCCCGGTGGACGCCGACGTCATGCTTAAATGTGAAAGAGAAGTTCTAGAAGTCATCTGAAATCAATTACATCAGCAAAGAATTTAAACTCATTTTATTTAACTTTTATCCCTTAATACTTGGTAGCACTGAATCCTGACATTTCAAATTGCACTTGGTAATCACCGAAGCAGTTTATTAAACTTGGCACGATTCTGGAGTTTTAAACATGAGCGAGAAATAAGACAAATCTCTGCATGACAAATGATGTCTCCATAAAACCTCAAAAAACAACATGTACATGGTGTAACCCTAAAAGTATTCCTACTAAAAGAAGACACGTAAAGAAAAAGTTCTCTATGGTTAGTAACATTAACATTGTTCTGAACGGTGTGTCAATAAATAATATTTTACTTTTAAATACTAATTGTAATATTGATATGTGTAGGGAAATCATGGCATACCTAGTGTAAAAAGTAGCTGATGTAAAGTTTACAAGCTAAAAAATTACACCCGAGTATATCAGAATGTATAACTAAAAAAGCTGTATTTTTCAAAAAGAGTTAAACACATTGGAATAGACTTAAATAAATTACTAAAGGATACAAGTAAAATAAAAGATATCTGCCTTTACTCTGTAGTAGAGGACCCTCAGGGACAGAGGCTTTCCTGTTACTTGCTAACGACGTTCCTCAGTAGTTAGAGGCGGGCACAGGAGGAAGCGTTTCACTCAAAACCTGCTGCCTTGCTGAAGAGGACTGGGGATTTCTGAGTGATAAGTAACTCATTCAGTTGGAAAATGTCAATGCGCCACCTCTCACATAGTTGCCTGTCATGAACTAGGAAAGCAGATTTCCTCCAGGAAGAAACTTACAGATCTATTGAGAGACAGTGATAGAATTAAATTTAATGATAAACCCAAAAATTATCCCCCTGATACTGGGGAAAAAAAACTCCTACATGCACATTCACTACAGCTAAAGAGTGTTCTTCTAGAATATACTTTACATACAAACCACAGGGGAAAACCCCTTTTCAACAACGCAGGTATCACAGAGATTGCATTTTCATTTTTTTTTTTCAAACTTAGGGGATATTTTGATTCTAAGGATCCAATACTCATCCACAAGCCTTTTAGGCCATAACAGTATCAGTTCTAAATGATAAATAAATATTTCTTTAGAGAGAGTTAATATCTGTATCAGAAATAAATCCAATCATTATATAAAATAAGAATTTTATTGTCTAATTTATGTTCAGGTTCTGTATATGTTCACATACTGCTTAATACTTTGACCTAAAGCATTTCAGTAAAAATTCCAAGTAAAAAAAGAACATAGTTTAAGACAGTTACCAGGGAAGCGATTATACATATTATAATGTTCAAAAATATTTAAGAATATTTTCTGGAATTTTACATTAGAAAGAATTACAGTAAACAATCAGGTTGTTTGTATTCACTCAGATAAGCTTTGTATAGGATTTGGACTTCACACTGTCCAAGCCACTAAACACCAAGCTACAGAGCAGTAAAAACCCCGCATTTTCTAGACCCCATTTTTAATACCCCTGTGAAAAGCGTATTAGCAAATGCTTGATATTAGACTTAGAGAAAACACAGTCTTTCGTTTCTCACTCTTACCTTGTGCTACACAAACAGTGCACAACACCAGGCACAGGACCGCTGCTGGGAATCTCATGATGGGGATCTTCCAGGGGCACATTTCATAGCGGACAGCGCTCACTCTCTCTGGTCCTCTGCGCAGAGAAGCTGTGGTTAGGGCAGGAAAGTACTTGCTCCGGGAGGGGGTTTTGAAACTTAGCTTGGAAAACAGAGAGGTGGCCAAAGGCCCCTCCCATCAGCAGCCTTTGCAAAGTTAGAGAAAAAAAATCCACCGCCAGCGGCAGCAGTTGGCAGAGTTTGCAGACACTGTCAGGGACTCCCGCTGAGCCAGCTCTTGCTTTGTCTTTATAAACCCAGGCAGGGCCTCTGCTGGACGCTGCTCGGGTTCTGGAAAGGTGCAAAGCCCTAAGGAGCGATGCCCCCTGGGTTCGGAGACGCTCTAGTTACTCAAAGCGCACTCAGGCTGAGAGCGCGGGAGCCCAGGAGATGGCGTGCGGAAGCTCTTCCAAAAACCCTTTACGGAGCCCGAGGGTAGCCAAGGCTCCCACGACGACAACGTGGGTAAACTTTGCCAAGAATGCAAGGCGGGCTGACCTGGGGCGCCTGCTTTTCCTGCAATTTGTGAAATTAATCTTCCTGTGTGCCAAGCAACAGGTTCACTCCCCTGGGGCATAAGGGAGTTGAAGAATTCTAAAAGCACGAAATGGGAATGCTGGCTTTTAAAACTCTGTCCTGAGAGAGTATGCAGGAAGGGAACAGAAGCAAAATGTTCGCTGAATATTAAGAGTTGAAGTCACTGAACAGGACTCTCTCGCTGGGACCCAGGAACCCAAGTGCCCCCTCTGGGCCAGGCCCTCCCTCTCCACCACACAGGGCACCCCCTAGCCTGGTCTCAAAAAACATGGAATCGATTGGCCAGTGTTTACACTTTACATAAATCAGATAATATAGTGATCCTTTTGAGTTTGGATCCTTTCACTAAAAATTTTGGTTAGGTCATTCAACCACACTTTTGCATGTAGTTACAGACTATTAATTTTTATAGCTGTGTAATAGTCCGTTACTTGAATAAGCCACATTTTATTTATCTGCGTGCCCGTGAAGGGGCATCTGAGTAGATTCTAGTGTGGGCTGCCGTATTATTCAAAGTTTAAAAAAATCAGCATTTCATATTTTTAAAATTAGAAGTCGGTCATATCTATACTAAGTGGCAAGCGACTGTTAAAATCAATACATACTACAGGAGTGTGGAGGAAGAAGCAGCTACTTCCTACAAAGACTTGATTTGGGATGGTCTCAAGAATATTTCATTATTAAGTGGTAGTTTAAGGGAAGCGTGCACCTGAGCAAAGACTGAGCAAAGTATATAGGTAAGCATAGAATGTTCTAGAATCAATCAGAGTCCCAACACTGGAGCATTGGTGTTGTACAGGGAAGTTGCCAAGGAAATAAGAGGGCTTTTGAATGAGGAGAGCTTTGAATTTCAGATTTAAAAAATTGTACATTATTTCACAGGCAATATGTAACCTTTGATAGATGTAATCAAGGAAAAGGAATGCACCAAGTGCAGTATTGGGGTACCTTGGGCCGTTGTGTTAGGGTGGGCGGAGAGGGGACGACTGGGAAGGACGCGAACCAGGCGAGCAGGTCGCTGAAGGAATTCACTGTGCAGCAATGGCACGGAGGCGGAACGAGGAGACAAAGGCAGGCCTGCCGGACAGAGTCGGCACTAATGAAATGTAGCCTCAGGAGTTCTCATTCGAACAGACACAGCCGAGGACCTCAAAGCAACCCCAGTGATGTTTCTTCATGGTTATGATGTTTTCGTAAAAACTGAAAAGATGTCTTAACAGCAAGAGCACAAACTCGCCTCCCATGACGCTTCCACCGCGCCAGCTGACACCAGGCAGCCCGGGGCAGGCGCGGGACTCAACCGGGAGGTCAGGCCGAGAACCCGCCCAGCTTGCGGCCCGTCACGGATACTCCGCAATCACAGTGGTAAACAACGTGGGAACCCGGGGCCCTGCGAGGGTAAGACTGGCCCCTGGGAATATGCCTGTCACCCGTGTGCGCAGTCCGTCGGCACCGCGGCACAACGGTTGAGGACACCGCACACGCATGTGAGCGTGCTCGGTGGTGCCCGGGACCGGAGCTGTACGGGCAATGAAGAGGAAACACGTTTGTTAACGTATGGAAACGATCGTCATCAAACACATAGCAATTTAGGTGAGGCGAGGATGGGGGTTTGCTCCTGTCTGCATGAGGCAATGACATCAGCGAAGACACCGTGACACCGTTGTCTCGGCAACGACGTCGAGGGCAAGCTAGTTTACGCACCTCGGCTCAAAGAGTATTTAATACTGATCCCAGCACAAAAAGCCTTTTAATGCCCTGACATTTGGTACTTCATTATATCAAGAAAAGTTGACAAGAGTTTTTCCAAAACTTGACAACAATCCTAACAATTTATAGAACAGTACAATCATGAGTTGTGAACCTGAAAGATCTTTTCAATATTTCAATAACAAGTCACAGATTTAAATCACACATGCTAAAGAAAAGACTGAGTTATTATTCTACTGTCTCCATACAGTAAATATTAGAAAAACTGTGTCACCTGAAGAGATTATAATCCAAAATTCAGCCAAAAGTGTAAAAATTAAAGGTATCAGACAATTAATGTAAATATTAGGTTGTTTCTGGTTTTTATAATGTCTATGGTATTTGTAAATTTTTTGACTTTGTGATTGGCAATAATTCACTTCTAATTTCTAATTTTAAGTCAATACTTGCTTTCAAACCTAATATTTGTTCTCAGTCTGCGTCCTTTTTTAGGTGGTCCATCCAAACTGTATGTGACATCCCAAAACACCGGATCTTTCTTGATTACGTGCAGTATTAAAAGCGACAGGTAACAGCAAAGGTCAGTCTATGACATCTATAACACCTTAAGGCCCCTTATATAGTCCTAGAGACATCTTTTTAAGGGACGGTGCTTTGTACTTTGAATATTTCCTGAAGCTAATCACTGAATAACGATTTTTGTCATTGGGTTGTCATAGGCCATTGATCGCTCTGGCTTCTGAACCCTTGTTTATAATGGCAGCCACAAACACACTTACTCTTGTTGAAGTTTAAATTAGTTAAATTAAAAATCCAGTTCTTCTACATCTGATCCAGAGAGAACGTAGGGAATTCTCGTCTTTCCTCCTTGGTCCCGTGAAAAACAGTGTGCGGCTTACCCCAGGTAAGCGCGGACCGAGGTGAAGGGCCACGTGAACCCAGTGCCCTCCATGCCGGGGGCGAGGGGGGGGGCCCTCTCCTCCCTCCCAGGACGCCCGTGCTTTCGCTTCTTCCCAGCGGGCGCTGCTGCTCTGCTGGCATCAGCTAATGTAATCACTTATAGGAAAGCAAAGAACAATGTCTCTGCATTCTCTTTAATTCTATTTGGGAGGAAATGAAAACACAAGGGCCTCCATTCTTATTTATTGCACTTATTTTATTAGGTGCTTTTCTTCAACTAGATGGCAAGCTCTTCAAATAATCCAGCCTCTTAAAGGAAGAGGAGGACAAGCACTACCATCTCCCTGGAACTTGCTTCGGCCTGCTGGGGAGCCGGGGAGCCGGGGAGCCTGGGAGCCGGGGGCCTGTGGGGAGGTCGGGCCTCCTTCCCCTGCACCCTCCTCTTCTCCTGGCCCCTTTCCCTGGTCCCCACACTCCCATCCCAGGGGTCCACACACAGCCTCGCTGTACCTTTCGGAGACTTTTCAAGCCTCTATTAAGAATCTGTGAGCAAAAGTCCCTTGTTTGCCTCTCCGCTGAGACTGCTTCATGCTCTCCCTGACCTAGCAACTATGGCTGGTTGATGATTAACTTTTATGTGTGAGGCGCTGTATTAAATACATTATCTACTCTAATTCCCTCATAAACCTCGTAAACTGGCTCTATCACCCCCTTTTTATGCAGGTGACTTAGTGGCCTACTTCAGATTCGAACCCAGGCTGCCTGGTTGCATGGTTAGATGTGTAAACACTTGGCTGACCGCCGTTCTGACTCTTGTAAGCGCGTGTGACTCCCAAACTTTGTGACCAGTTTTTGCCCTGAACAGAGAAAACTCTTAGAATTGGTCCATGAGATGAACAAGTGACTCCGTGTTCTCCCATCCCTAAAACAAAGGAAGAGTTTAAATACCAATCAGCTAGACTCCTGATAATAGAGATGTGCCCACCCAAACTCCTAGGAGATACGGTACATCCTTTTGCTCTGCCCCTTGAAGTTGTGAATCTTTTCGTCTCTTTGGCACATGTAAACACCGCGGGCAAAAACTAAAACTTTGTCCACAGAGAGTGAAGGAAAAATCAGGTGTGGGGTGGAAGGTGGGAGAGAGGCCTTTTAAAACACAGAGTGCTGCACGGAAGCTACCTGGCCCCAAATCTGTCCAAATCTTGCATAAGGTTATTTGTCAAGGGGAAATACACACATTTTAAGTCTTCTCCACAAATATCAGGGAAAAGCTTGGGCCACGGGAGAGAGTGTCTGACTCATGGCTGAAGTCTGGAGCGAAGGTTAAGGGGCCTTTCCGGCGTCGGGAGGTGTAGGAGGCTCAGCAGGACACACTGCGCTTGCGTGAGGTTCTTCTGCCTCCCAAGGACCCAAGGATGTTGCCAACACTACTTCATAAGAAAGTTCTCTTTGGTTGTCTTAAAAATTAGCTTTCATGTTAATAGCATATTTATGTAAAACTGAAACTTAATTCTCTCTCATTTGCTGATAGGACCGTTTTCTTGGACTCTTGTTCTGTTCTTTATAAGATTGTGAAAGGCTTATGTTTACCTTTTGCGTAATCTGTCTAGGAAACAGCGATTCTGTGCTTTATGACAATGATTTCCTGTGTTTCCCGTTTGCTTTATCGAGTCTTAGATTGTTGAAGGAAAACTGATTCTTCTCCATTCAAAGGGCGAAGTTTTTGTTTATTGGGGTTTTTTTTTTTTTTTTTACAACTGTAAAACACCCTGGATTTGCCTTTGATTTCTTTAATTGTGACTTTGGTTAAATGAGTAACTAAATATTTTCTCACCATGACCTATGATCCTGTTTAATTGGGCGTTTTATATCTTTTGACATTTATTACAGACTTCACCAGAATTAAATTTTAAATGAAGTCTTATTGACCTTGAACTAACTTGGGGCTCTTTAGGAGGATCCCTGGAACATCTCTAAAGATATATTCTCTCTTTTTATTAGAAATATTAAATTAATTAAGCTTATTAGATATGTTAAATTACCTGGGAAGCATTGTCTAATAAGAAGTGACGATGCTTCC